TAGACGGTTAGTCGCGAGAAGAATCCCAACCAGTAGGTGAGTTAATCGTGACGATGGTCCAGAAACGGCGAAAGATTTGGAGCAGTTCAATAACTATCGACGTCAAGCAGCAGGCATTATTACCACTACGTAGTAATGTTCAGCATCAAATGTCGTCACGGAGCTGTTGCTACAGATAAGCAAAGAATGAAGAAGCACGAGCGGATGTGAAGAAGGAAATTACTACACTATCCAGTTTGGAGAGGGGAGAAGTCCTTATTCGTTTAGACATATTCGGACTTCATGTACATTTTCATGCATGTATGTGGAGCAACCCAAGTAGTTTTTCCATAATAAGGTTCTTAACGTTTTTTATATTTGTGGTGTATCGTGGTGGCTTTGGGTGGAGATCAGTATACATTAAGTTCACCATACGGAGGAGGGGAGCCAGCACCCACACCCCTGTATGCAGTCGTAAACCTACGGTAGAGGAGGAACCCAAGGACTTTAGTACCTCTGATTCATATAATTAGAGGTCCAGGTACGTTCACAGTGCTTGCAACGGCTCGACCATTATAACTTGCCAATTTCTCCGTTATATTTAGCAGTCGTGGATGCAATGTGAATGTCAATAATTTTATGGGTATCCGTGAACTGAAGGAATTCGTTGGGTAGACGCTGAGAGTGGAATGAGGATACGCAAGTGCGAATACGATGTGGGGGCTTACTCCATAACTTTTGTATTGTATCATAAAGAATTGTGACGTAAGTTTAAGGCGGTGTTTTTGACAGGTACAGTGCACTAGCGATTGCGTAGACCATATGAGGACGTAGGCTTAAACGTAGGGGAGCAACAAGCATGATTAACGCCATGCAAAAGGCGGAGAAACAGGTTAAGGTTGAGCTTAAGGCGTCTTCACCAAAGTAGGTCAATCTTCAGTTTCTTACACCTTCCCTCACGATCAAGTTCTTCATGACGGCCCAGTGCATAGCGGTTAAACTTTCTTTAAAATATTCTCAGTGCACATCCTATCCGAAGCAAACACATTGCTGAAGACGATTGTACCATATTCAAGTACTGGGCGGGTTATTACTTTGAATAAAAGTATTTTGGCCTCAGTGGTATGTGCGTATTTAAGCAAAAGGCCAACTGAGCCCTCCACTTGGATATAAGGGACTGGGCACACTCCGTAAATGCTAAGCTCCGAGAACACCTAATACCTAAATCTCATGCTGAATTATATGACTGTGGCACAGAATCACCGAGGTGTAAACTGACGTTTCGGTAGGAATTATTGAAACAAATAATTCTGCATTTACTGCAGTCAAGTGGGAGTTGCCATGTTTCATTCCGAGCGAACAAATGCGTCGAACCCTCCCCGATTTTATTAAAACCCTCACTTAGCGATGATTGAGGGAAGCCATACATACTTTTTAAGTCGTCAGCAAATAAATGGGGCTTCTCACATTTTATTACGTTAGAAATATCACTTGTGTAAAGGAGGAAGATTGAGGGCCCAAACACGCTACTTTGAATGACACTCAAAATAGGCTCTGGGGAGAGTGAGGTGTGATTGAACTTCACTGTTTGAACTCTGCCTAAAGAACGAGCCCATCGAAGATAATAGAGTGTCACTAGTTCCAAATGATTCAACCCTCAGAATTCACCGATTGTAAGGTGCTTTACCAAATCCTTTTTTGAGGTCAAAAAATGGGGCAGTTACGAAGAGTCCTTCACCTCTTTTTCAGGTGACCTCCTCAAAATAATCCAGTGAGCAAGTATTACATGCACGACTTTTAGGAAACCATGGTGCATAGGGGAAAGTAGCTGGTGCGCAGCCACGTAATGGGTAATTTTTACACAACCACCTTCTCCATAATACAAGAGGCCACAGATGTAATATTTACGGAACGATAGTTTTGAGTATACGACGTCGGACCAGATTTATGCGTGTGAGATGTGTGTGACAGCTTTCAGCGGTCAATGTGGCATGTCTCACTAAGGGATATTGAGAATAGCTTCATAGGGAAGGGTGGTACGTCCTCACCACCCCTTTTTAGAAAGACAGATGGGATCCCATCGGGTGCGGCAGTATACGAGTTTTTTTAATGAAGCAACTGCATCAGCTATCTTGTTCCGTGTAAAGGAAACACTGCTTAGCGAGTAGTGTGACGGAATGGGCATTTTTATGTCTATTACACCATCTTCATATGTGAAGCGGCCTGAACAGTGATTGCTAAGCAGCCAACAAATCTTACTTGGATCATCGTAAAGAATATTCCCATCAATGATCAGGCCACCAGGGATCACCCCAGATAAGTTTGCACCGAATTTTAAAACCCTCTCTAACCACTGAACATCGCTTGTTTGTGCGTTGCAGCTATTTTTCTGTCCGATTGCCTCTGGTAACCTATTTGGCTTGAGGTTCTCGTGTGCAAGGGGTGAAAGGTCATTAGATCGGCAGAAATTTCTGGCATGTCTGCGAATGCTCATACGTACATTCCCTGTGATGAAATTCACTTTTGTCTTCCTGACTACTGAAACCGCCGAAGCAATATGATCGTGAATTACACTCATGGAACTATAGAAGATATCACTTAGTTCATGGGTTGAGCAGCCGGTGAGATAAGAACCGTAGTCCAAGCGTCGCACCATGTACTGCATCTCTTCCCAGATATCATTTTTATATCGCCTAATTACGGTTGTTTTTGATCTGGGAAATGACGTAGTACTGAGAGACGGTCGGAAGTCACCAAACGCTACTCTGTGATAGCTGCCCGGAAATTCTGGACGGACTTGAAAGGCAAAAGACAGTAATCCATTGGCCAAAACGAGGTCAAGTATGCTGTTGTGTCTGGTTTGCCGCATTACATGCTGCCACCATCCCCTAGAATCTGACCCATTAATGAACTCATCAAACCGCTCAGGGGGAGTAAGCAACTGCCACTTGATGTCAGGCATATCAAAGTCTCCCCATATACGGTTTATGGAGTAAGGTAGTGTTGTTAATGAGTGAACGCCTCTGCAAGCCTGCCATCATAATCTACGGCAGAGCAAGGGACGGTATATACACTCTAAGAGGATAGTTATAACATTTGGAAACTTCGCCACAACCCACACTGAGTCAACCAGCAAAGTAAGTTTTGGAGCACTGAAATTTGTCGCAGCACTGTCGGACCCGATATAAGTCATGCAACCACCACCTCTACCATTATATCTATCTCCCCCAAACAAAGTATAAATGTCGACAGACACATCAATATCGGGAGTGTCTGGAGTACACCAAGCTTCAGTGATAAATATCAGGCAGGGGTCAGACATAATCGGCAACATAATGACCTCGCTTATTTTGTTACTTATGGAACGGGCGCTAATCGGACGGAATGTCGGAGAATCGGATGGGGAATGTTACTTAAACCTGTAGCTGTGGACACTTCAGTAGCAAGGCCATTCTCCACCCCAATGTTGCGCAGAAGCTAATCTAAGTGTTGATGGTCTATGAGGTGCTTAGAGCACCTCACAGAGATCGTTTATTTAAGAGGTTAACATACTGTAACGTGCCTGTTTAAATCCCGCGGCAATGATGGCATGACAGCAGGGAATCGATAATGCGGATTTGTGACTCTCTCCCTTCTATGGTCAGTCTTGGCATTTAAAAATTATGCTCCTACATTGTCCGGCAAAAGCGGCAAGATCTGAATAAGGTGGGTTGTCGCTCTAATGCAGATAAGCTTGGGAGTCTGGTCGTAAGTGTATTTATAAGTTAATGATTTTGGTTAACAAAGATTATCAACATAGGAACAGGAACGCAGAGGTACAAAAAGGATCTTCGAAAGCCGTGAGCTTGAATCTAGTCAAGCTTAACAGTTTAAGCAATAATCTCATGCGAATTTGACAGATGCGAATGCCAGTCACTTATTACCCACATTTGTTTCGTTCGCACGCGTGCAGGACAAAGGAAGAACGGAATAGAGTAGTCAGAGTGAATGCCTTACTTGATAACTCATGCCAAAATTCGGCTGCTTTACGACTAACATAGAGCAGCTCAGCGTAACACAATAACAGGCGAAATAGCGCGGATGCCAAACTGTATGCCTTCACCTAAGCGAATCTGTTTTAACTGTAAAGGTCAGTGTCAAAGCTAAATCTCATCAAACCCTTGGCTATTGAATTTAGGAAATTATTTGCCATCTCAAAAATTCTATAAAATTCACTGTCAGCCGAGTCAGAACTTCCGGTACAAAGAACAGGGTCAAAAAACGCTTTCTTTTTAGTAGTAGCCTATCATTAAAATGGAATTTCCTAATTTGCACAACCGATGATATCGGTTGTTTCATCTCACAATTAAGTTTATGACGCTTACAAACGATGTCTGCATTGAAGTCTGGAATTTACAACTCTGCAACGAGTTTTTGGACAACTCGCTCAAAGGTCTATCCACCAAATATTAAACTTTTCTGTACGACCTCACGCAGAAACTTAGGTTACAGTCCTTCTTACTTCAATGCGACACTAACTGTAAAATAAATCCAAAGTCACTTCTCTAAAGCAGTGAGCTTAGGTCCATGACTTGAGGGCAACCTATGACAGCTCTCGATATATATTCTATGAGATAGCAAGGACCGAAATGTGACTTGACAAAAAGGCATAACATATTGAATAATTCTGGTCACCCGCCTCGTCGTTCGGTTAAAGGGGAACACCAAGACAGATACTAGGCGTAACTATAGTCTGGAGTGTTCGCCGTGCGGAGTTTGTCGGGGCTACATCACTCAAGTCCTTCAAACACAAATCTGAAGACCTTCCGAGGTCATAACACGAGGACAGATACTAAGTCGTTAACATCCCAGTCTTCCAACTTTATTCTTTGCCTTCACACAAAGGTTCTCACAGATATAAACTTGTGGCTGCTAGAAATGTAAGAAACTTAAAAGAAGGATTTTTTATCCTGTCAACAATCATTTGTGACCATTTGCGATATTGGACCACGTGTTAGCGTGTCGTTGGAGCTCATTCGTTTTTGTGCGTTACTTGTGACCCTGCTCCATTTTCAGGACACATTGATTCGCCTAGGGAGGTGTGGACCACAGCGTCCGTAATGACTCGTGGGGAGACGTGGAGTGAATTCTGTTCAGTCGTAAGCACTAGATTATCGATTGAGGCACTCCAACTCTTCAAATCTCACCTAAATGATAATCGTTATGATGACAAACCTGGTTGTGGTTTGGAGTTTTGGAAATTATATTCAAAAGGATGCGTCGCAAATTTGAGACTTCATTGTCTCCGTGTTATTTCGTACATGATCACAAACCTGTTGGAAATCTGTTCGCAGAAAAAAGTAATCTCAACCGTTTGTTGGGCTGCATTTTTGCTAAGTTCGCTAATAATATTTTCACGCATCGCATCACAGTTTGCTTAGTTTCTATCCTGTGCTTTGTAGTTAGAGGATATAATTTAGTATCCGATTCAGTTGATCTACGTGCTTAATGTTCGATACAGTCCAAAGAACGGAAGTGAAAACGGGCACCCATAAGATCAAGGTTCTTATAAATGACTTTCAGCATAAAATTCTTATCAGTTAACTGCATAAACTCCACCGAGTGCTGTGGAGCATGTCTGAGAGACAGTTTAAACCATTGAAAAATCCCCCTCAAGTTTATATACCCAAATTTGGAAATTATCCGTCTTCAATACTGTTTCGAGGGTTTGCTGTTCTTCATTGGGGAAACAAATTGTGAAGATTTCGCATCATCTTCTGGATCCAAAAGTTACTATTCTCACCCTGAAAAATACTTTACTTTCCCGTTCATGGCTTTTTCAAATTAAAATGCATTTTTGGAGTAGCTGACTCATATAATCCGGTCGTTACAACTGTTTTTATCAGCTAGATGTCTTATTATTCCCCTAAGTGCCACGGGCAGCTACTTTTGAAATGTGAAAATCAGTTGTGCTGGATGTCTAACTTGCCCTCAATCATAGTAACGATGTCTTGGGTTTCTGCACAATCACAGGAGGTATCCTGCTACGAAAGGCCATTACCTCTGGTTGGTAGTTTGAAAATCTTATCATGAAGAGATGAACTAAAAGTATGTTTAGATTGGAATTAAATGGAATTGAATTGTTTCAAAACTACTTTTGTCCTGAAGAATTGTTGGGTTTATTAGACTCGGTTGTGTTCTTCCTCTTCCCACGTACTTTCTCATTGGTCGATAAAAGCTACCCGTGGTTATGGTTACAGGTCCTTGTGCAGCCGACAAATGACTTAGTTTTGTTGCTTCTAGCAAAACTCAGTAGTGAGGGACTTTAAAATGTTAGTTAAGGGCTGGTCGTATCGTTTTGTTCATCTCTGATTTCCTCAGTTGTGAATCATTTTCGGTGGTCTCAATGACCATCATGTCTTCAGATTCAAGCGTTACGATAGTACTTACTACCATTGTTTCTCTAATCTTGGCATTTACCACCTTCCATCGCTCGTGATCATCAATTAAGCGCTAAGTTTACATTAAATCTGTATGGAAAGCCTGCCAAATTGTGTCCTTATGCAGTTATTGTCTCAGAAACGTCATCTGCAACCCACTACGCTTTCTTAGCCTTTTTCTGGTGGTCACTCGCGGTCATCACTTATTTTGCGTCATACTTTTGTGGATTACCTCTGGATCAGTAACGTATTTGACCTCTAGTTCCACTCCTATTTTAAATATAGGCCTAACAGCAGGACTTTCAGGGTGAGTTTAGGAAGCTTTCCGATACCTGCCAAATCAAGCAAATGCGCATTGAAACTGACAGTGGGCTTAAGTATGTATTCTGTAAGAAGTGTCCACTTCTACGATAGCTCCTAAACAGTAAATGAAAAGAATAGTGTTAGCTAGTATAGTATATTGAGAAGCATACAACTGATGTAGTTTGTTATCATAGCATTTACGTCTTTTGATGCGTCATTTCGATGTTATGAAATTATTAGTTGGTACATGGTAATGAACATTGTCAGTGCTAAGCTGTCATTCAAAGCTTGGTAAGTAAACAGTATAAATAAGAGTTGCGTGGGATTGATGTCAGATGAACATACAAGATCAATGTAGAACCTCGCACTAAAGTTGCCACACCGCAGTAGCATACAAAGCACAAGCGGATAGAAAAAGAGTAAAACCAAACTTTTATGAGTGAATAAACAATTTAAAGATAAAGGATAATGCAAATTTCCAATCTTTAAAAGACATCAAACCGTTGTTCAGGAAGGAGTGTGCTATTTTCAGGGCTGACTTTTGCTAACCCCTCGCCTTCCCTACGGGAAGGCAGCCTCAGCGTGGCACAGCTGGTCATCCAGGGGAAACACCTTACTTTTGTCACACCCCATCCAGCTAACAGCAGTATTTCTCCCTCTGATTCCCATCACAGTGTAGTAATTTACACTACAACTGTATATGACACAAGCTAGCTTCTAGCAATCCTAGTTAGCAGACCAAAACTTGATAACTAAACCTATGCTCTCTATGGCTCTAAAAAATGTGTAGATAGCCAAAACAAAAAGGTTTTTGGTTTAATTTCTTACCTAGATGTATTATTTCCATCGACCAGAATATTCAGTAATATCAAACTTAGGCGACCCCTTCGATGCAGGAGACTTGTGTTCGAACTAAAGAGAACAAGCAAACGTGTCATGTCACTAAATGATCTTAATTGAAGTTATGCTTCTGTCTAAGTGCTTACAGCGAATCGCCATCACTTTCGACGGTGACAGCCATTGGTATACTTTATAAATATGTACGTTTCTCATCCTTATTTTATTCCACAGTGTGTACTGATAGAGGTGACTGCATACTTCTAACTTCTCAGAAACTGATTTTCCGAACAACTTAGAGTACGAAAACAATATAATCTTCCTGAACGAGAACACAAACAAGATTTGACGTTCCCAAAAGTGTAAAATAATGGTGCAGGGTTGAAGAAAGTGTTGTGAATTAGTGCATCAAATTTCGGCATGGATACAAAAGACGATTTTGACAATTACTAGTTTGATACCGGCAAGATGTCAAACATCCTATTAACCAATACTTAAACTGCCCACAAATTCATTCTTCTGTTTCTGAAAACTGAGCTGCAAAATTTGGAAATGGAAAGTATTAATAAGATACAAGTTTTGGTCATAGTTTGCACAGAGGCATTATTGCTTCTTCTTAGAACCATAGGTGAAACAGTTTTAAGTTTCAGGCATAGATTGCTGGGTAAGGTCACTTTGTGAAGCAAAACGGCACATTATGGAAGAAGTACGTAGGATGCGTGCTTTGCATGTCAAATCAGCGTGGAAATTAATTTGCAATGTTAACTGGAATAAAATTAGGTTGAAAAAGTAATCAGTGATGTCCACCTGCGCTGTGTGAAAACATGTGGACTCATTTGGATGTAAGGAATCAGTAGTCTTGGACCGACTGACGTCTCAACGTCTGAGATGTATTTACTGTTTACTATTGAAATTTTAACGTGTCATTAACCTTTTTTTATCTCCTCTCTGATAACCTATGTCGTAAATGCTTTCTATTCCCTCTCATTCATACTCCGTGTTTTTTGGAAATCTCACAACTAAAGCCGTGCGAAAACCTATGTTTGTCTGTCTAGGTGCATAGTAGTTTGTAAACTAGGCATAATACTTGATCTTCGATGTAGATCTGTGGCTCGTTGGTTTAGACAGTTGCCTTCCAACCAGTGAGTAAAGAGTTCAAACATCTCTCCATCTACCGAGGTTTGGGCAGCCAGGTAGTATCATTAGCCCTCACGCAACAGTTGTTGCCCTATGCCTATTGCATGAATGTACACAGATTACTGAAAGCATTTTGACTCAATTTTTGATCTTCAGTTCAAATAATCGAAGATCGAGTTTAGCAAATTTATTAGCACCACATGTTATAAAACCATCATATTCCTAGAAAAATGCTTATGTGACCAACCTCAGAAATAGCTGTATTGTTTTTTATCACCAGTGCGATTCTTATAAATGCGATCTACTGTATTTAGTTACTGAAGTCACGCAGGTTTGTCATCAGGTGGGTTGGTCATAACACACTACTCACAGACACAACTGCTCCTCTACTTTTTTGCTTGGATCTTCTAATAAATTCCAAGGCACTGCACGATAACTTGAAACAATAGTTGCGTTTCCCAGGTTTGCATGGCAGTTAGTAAAATAAATGAACGCCAGACTAGCAACCAAAGTGATTTAATCTAATAAAATGGCTGTTTAAATGTCATCCCCTAAATACTTTTAATTTCACTACCGAAGCGACTTTATATCAAACAGAATGCAAAAGTACGCCTTAAGCAGTTTCCTCAAGCATTCCAGATTCTCTGCTTCTAATAGGTGACTAAAAAAGCACAGTTAAGTTTAGAATTTCACAACTCACACCATTTACTATTGTAAGCACACATGTTTGTAAGTTTCGTCTTCATAAAAGTGATTGGAATTTGTTTAACTGATCAGATAAGAACGAATGAACTTTCGTACCACTGTTACTACCCATCCACATATCGTATTAGGTCATGAAGAGAGAGATATCAAAAGACAATTGTTGCTCAGTCTACAGTAAGATCATTATTCCGATGCAATCTGGGCATAGGTCATATGAAAAATGTCTATTATTCAAAGTGCTATAATCGCTGTCAAATCAAATTTTTAGTGGATTTCCAGGAATGCTTACTACTGAAGTACTTTAAAATGAAGAAAAGACTCATTTCTCTTTGTAGGTATCGATTCCAAAAGTCCATTTGAACATTTGTCTTTCAAAGATGAGAATCTTTCTGTGAACTCTTCCTTCACAGAACTAAGTGACCACTTCTCCCATCTTGCGTATGCTAATGCGAGTGCTGTGGTAGCGGCCGCTCGGTCCAAAGCTGCGGCTGTCTCAGGGACTCGTAACACTTCACCTCGTGGCAAGAGCTGTGATATACCTTCAGACAAAACCTCAAAGAATATCTTTTCTAGAACTCGACACTCAAGGAGCGCTCCAAACAAGGATGTAAACAGGCGGTCACCAGTTCATCAATCAGAATCCCATCACAAGCAACCATGGTTGGTAGAACAACAAACAAAAATAACTACAGATTCTTCATTAAACCCAAGTGTTTCAGAAATCAAACCAAGTTGGCGCCTAAGTTCTCTGTGGCTCCGACGTAGTTTTACAATTTCCTGGCGCCGCAGACCACCTATTGGTCTAGATGTATCTGGAGGAAAATCTGGAAAGTAAGATGTTTAATAATGTGTTGATTAGATTATGCACTCACATAACTAAAAAAATTTTCGTATCTTCAATATGTAGCGCGTTTCGACATGTTTGGTTTATTTGGTTGTCACTCGATGAATAGACCTGCTTCTCACTCCACTAGTTCATCTAACACACACTTTCAATTGTTTGGTACTAAATTCATTTCTTGATCTGAAGATAGCATTCAAGTTTGTTGACCTAAAACTTTTCAAGTGTTTATTTAACTTGGTTTGATTAGTTGCAGACACTGAAGAGATGTAAGCTCTTCGAGGTATTTTGTTTGGAAGTTGGAGAATATGCAGAATGCGTTTTTCACCTCAATCTAAAAGTATGCTGTGGGATTGGTCTATATCAATTTGCCGTTTTACTTTAGGGTGTGTAGTGACTGAGCGTGGTCATCACTTTACTTGGAAAAGTTTCATCCACAGTAGTGCGCTAATTATTGATGTATTCATAACAAGGATGCAAAAAGTTGAGTCGGCTTGTCCCACCTGGGACGTCAAGGTCCAACACATTTTATTTTTAAAATTTTCCGAGTCTTATTTTTTTTCTCTTCTATCTTTCTTATCTTTCTGTTTACAACCCCTATTGTCAGTATTTTTTAAATCATTTTTTTACTTTTATTAGCTCACTCTAGCCGTGATCTTATGAGTTGTGGCAGCCTCGATCGATATCCAACTATGCTGTTTCATATACATCTACTTGACTAACAACTCTGCAATATTCACTCTATGCTTTCGTACACAATCTCAGTTCTGGAAATTTGTTGCTAAGATACGGTAGCTTTCCAACGCTTTTCAATCCAAATCAACACATTCTTTGGTTGTTTAACTGAGAGGAGTGCATTGTTGTTCCTTACAGTCAATCCATTATCGAAAAATTGATATCTCTCTAGCATACATGGAGACATAAAGTCAACGTACAACCTCGTACACGAGCGCATCAGCTCAAGTAGCTACACTTCACAGTAGCATACAAAGCACAAATGGATAGGAAAAGAGTAAAATCAAACTTTTGTGAGAAAATGAACAATTTAAAGATTAAGAATAATGCAAATATCCAAGCTTTAAAAGACGTCAAAGAGTGGATAAATCTACACCGATGCGACCGATTTTTAGCCATTTCACCAAGAGTCTTCAGCTACTGATCCCTATCGTCTCGGGGACCCTAACCAGGTAGTTTGCATCTCCCCACACGGCTCAGATCATGAGCGAGGGACTTCATGAGCTGGTGCCATGTCTTGGTTCGTCCACGTTGAACCCTCTTCTAATCTAACCCAACTTCCCCTAGCATTGCGCTTCGAGGTAGGCAGTTGACTGACATGCACAGTACGTGTCCAAGCCATGTCAGTCGATGAGGGTTCACAACCTCATCAATCGACTTGCCTAGTACCCTTCACTTGGCCCCAACAATCCACATACGGTGCTTTCCTTGACGAATAGCAATACTGCAAGGACATATGTGATCAAAAAAGTGTAACCGTTTCATGTCTTCTAGTTTTAACGGCCGTGTCATAGCCGTATGACAGGACATAACGGATAGGTAGATAGTTGGATATCTCACCGGTCAGCACCAGAAGTGACCCAAGTTGGCAAATGCCAAACGGGCCTTGTGTGTCCGAGCTGAGATTTTTTCAGCGACCGACCCGTCTGGGCTGATGCAACTTCCCAAGCAAGTGAAGTAATTGACACATTCCACCACTTCACTCCACTCTCTAAATGCCCTGGTATGCGTTCACAGTCCCTGCCAGAGAACTCCTATCCACTGCCTTCAAGTGGTGGGAGTGTTTCCACAAATGCAAAAGGGTGCAAGCGAATGTCCGTCGCTTATCACTCATCATCATCATCATTATCAACATAGGACCAGGCATTACTGCGTAACGGTTCGAGTTGCCACACCTCATATCAGCACATCAAGTAAAAAGGTAGTGAGGTGAAGGATGAAGATAAGTGAATGCAGTCAAAAGAAATATAAAGTACGAGAAGAAAGGAAAGAGGAGTGACAAAATGGTGAGATTCGGTATAGCGTTGCTAAGATGAGGATAATGTGTGTATACATCTGCGCCACTGACTTCGGTTCTGAGCCATATCACCTAGGTTCCAGATGAAACGAATGGCCTACGAACCTATTTTGGTCACCACCAACCGTGGGAATGCAGCTCCTGATGTTGCTCCACTGCCTTGTGGATCAGTCAAAGGCTCGGGGAGTGGTCACCTGAGACAACCAACCATCTGTTTCGATCTGGGCACCCGAACAGTATCCCAGCCCTCACAGAAAATATGAATTTACAATTTACAATGTAGACTTCGAAGCAATTAACAAACTTTTCTGTGAATACCCAAGCTCTCAATTTAATTTTTAACCGATTACTCAATTTATTGCTGTTATATCGTTTTCGCTTTCACATGTTTTTATTATTTTACTTCACTCGACTGCTCTGCATTGCTTGGAACTCTGGTCTGTGCGTACCTTTTTGAGTCGCTAAACCATTGGGTCCTTAAAGCTGTCCTCCAATGCGACATCTAAAACACCTGTCCTGTAACCAAGCATACTGTGTAAGCTTGCCACTTCCAACGTTCCCACTTTGATGCAAATCAGACAATAGGCAGGTTTAGCTAGGACTTTGGAAAGCCCCGCTATTGATGTTTGCTACATCTCAGAGACTTGCATACAAGATCCCAGTAAAGTGCTTCGAGTTACTTCCCCATCTGTCAGCTCGAAAAGTATGTTTCATGTGTGCTTATCCTGGAATCCTGCGGTATTGGCAACCGGCGTCTCTTGTGTCAGTGTCTCACTTAGTGCTCGACCCAAAGCTGCACTACATAATTGGATATCCACCAACGGTTGTCTGTGTGCTGTTGGGCTAGGAGGTTCATCTCGAGTAAGAAGTAACTGGCAAGAGAAGCTATGTCTCTTTGTCATCTGTGCCTATGCTTCGACTGATTGCAGCTCGGATACAATCTAGGATGAATTCTATCAGTAACTGAGTGACTTCAACCAAGTGCGCTCGAAAGATATTGTACTGCTACCTCGGAACTTGAATGTGCAGATCGGGCGTCTAGCTTCAGGAGAGAGTCATTTGGGTGGCTAATGGGGACTAGTTGATCGCAGGATCGTCTTCTGCAGCTTTGCACAGATCACAACTTATTACTAGCCAGTACTAACTTTTGGCACAGCTATCGCCATTGTGCTACTTGGCCTTCCCTTCCCCCCCCCTGCTACTCAATTCTGAACTCAAATTAATCATGTTGCAATCAGCTACCAATGGTGTGGGTGCCTACGGGACTGCCGATCCATATGAGGTACTTGTCTGAGCTCTGATCATGTTTTAGTGTATGCTAAGCTCGTCTTGCGTTTTAGCGGTCATCAAAATCGTCGTCCTAAATAGGCAGGTGCAAGCAAATTAGTTGCAGCTAAATACCAGTTCGAACTAAATTTAAGGCTAGCTACCGATCCTCTAGGAAGTGTAAACGAGCAGTAGCTGCACTTGCAAGATGTCATGAAAATCGTGAGTGAAACCGTTTGAGGCTTGAAAGAACGTCTTGCTAATAAACGCTGGGTGTCTACGAGCTCCCTGTAATGGCATCTACTTTCTTGGGTTGAATGACATAAAATGTCATATTTTATGTCAGTCACTGTGTAATTAGTCTTGGAACTATTTTCACGATGGTCTCTTGTGAAACTGGTTTATGTGGCACCACTGAATCGAAAGTTACTTTCGTAATGATGCTTCTTCACTAATTTTCGCATGCAGTTTTGTGATTAGAATAAAGAGTTCCTTTTTTACTGACATGTTACAGAATAACAGAATCATCGTCGCACAACACTAATAATGAAATCTATGTTATTGTATCCACTGGTCAGTTTGTCTTGCACTGAGGTGTGCATAACCGGTACATTTTAGTTTTTAAGAGTTGCCAAGCTTCCAGTAAACACTGATTCAGACGCTTTGCAAACTTCTCGCCCCCTTACTAAATTAAAGCCAAGCATTATCATCCACCACCCACTCAGTGGTTGACAGTATTATATGACATGCTTTATAACTAGTGTCATGCGTACGGACGTATATATTACTCTAAATGTTGAACATCCTATGATTGTTCTTCTGTTTTCTGTATCCTTACGTACGTTTAGTTAATTTAAGTACTCTACCTCTGTTCGTTCTTCCTCACTCTTTGTTTGTGTGTTAGTGGATTATCAAACATAAACTATTGTGTTAAATTCTATTTTTTTGCATTCATTTAAGGCCAGTAAAAGTGTAATTTGGAAAACACTAGTGGTGCTGATAATTTGGCTCATGTTTTAATTGGCACCTTGTTAGGTATTACGGAAGCTTGTTACTTTAAAGGCTTTTATTTACTGATTTGTTTACATTGTTTTAATCTTAATAAACCCTCTTTGTACAATTGCGCGTCTGGTTACTTAGCTACTTTCTATTGTTATTTTATTTTGAACTAAAAACACGATAGTGTGTATCCTCGTGCTTCTGGTACTCCTGTTAGTATAAACGCTGAACTAATACGTGAAGGCTATGTAATGCAATGGCTTGGTCCGCACTTTGAATCACACCGGCCGCGTATTGAGTGCGAAAAATTTATTTCCGAAGTTGCAGTGGAGAACAAAGGTACACAGTGGATTCAATGTCGTCTTTGTTTGTATAGTACAAGTGCAGGTTTTATCTTGGAAATATTTACTCCTCCTGATGTAAGTAATCTTATTTTGATAATCTTTTTTATTGACTTGGAAACGTTTGCTATCAAGCGTTAGGAATCGATCAGTAGAAATTCATAGACACCTAGGTTTCGTGCTTGTCATTTATCAGCTATTAGTGTCTGAAATGTTGAGGAATCTCATGTTTTGGCCAAGATTCGAGTCCATGTCAACCACTGCTGAAGTCAAACTACTCTGTTCAAGTACCTGGGTTCAAAGTAAGCACCGTATGATGAGGAAAATTTCGATTGCAAATTTTTGCTTCAGAGAACCGTCTTTAGAACAAGCGAAGTTTCTATTCAGCTTACTCATGCTTATGGTGGGCGGACTACCTGACAGTTACTGATATCCACTATTTGTGTATTTCCTGCAGCTACGATCTTAATATACTTGACACCTTATTGATTTTAAACTAGTTTCCACCTAATACATACTACCCCAGTATAATGTCCGCGTTTTCTGTTTGCACCAGTGCATTCGAATTATTCTAATAGTTTCTCCCTCTAAATTCTTTTATTCTAGGAATGTTTACTGCATAATTGTGAAATAGTGTTATCTAAGGATTCAGTGACACGTATTTTTAGTATGAAATCCGGAATTAGAAAGTGCACCTGTTAATTAAATTCCACTTAACAGCTATCGTGGTGATGTTCGGTTGAAAGGTGTTTCAAAAATCCCGAATTTCTACCAACTGCTTTGTTGTATTTATCTGTGCATTCACTTAATGGTTTGAAAAATGACTTCTACAAAGAGGTTACAAACACGCTGTTAAAAGCCTGACATATGAATGCAATCATCGTTGCATGTGACTTCAGTGTGCAAGTAAACAAGATATTCTATCGGTAAACTGATCTTCAGTACTCCAGCTTGACAGACCCATAGTGGTATTCGTCCTTTTGTTCTCCGAAAACCACCTGTTGCTTGCCACTACGTTTTGACACAAGAAAATACCTCTAACACTAATTCAGTGGCAGTTATGATATCACCCTAAAAGAGTAAGGTTGTAATGTCTGTGCATAGCTGAAGTACTGACAATTGAAAGGTTCAAACCGCCATTGTTTGTCAAAAAGAAGTATGTACAACTTCTTGCTCTGTCATGACCATCGTAGAAGATTGGTCGCTGTAAATAATTCTCCTGTGATGTAATACTTTATTTCAATAATCATCTGTTTATTCTCCTATTTTATATACCTATATGCTAAGTAAGTTTCCTTTGTCATGCTACTTATTTTGACCTTTGATCGGAAATTACTCTGGAATGTTCTATCCTTTCCACTTTATATTCATAAATATACAGCCGAGAGAATGAGTTCATCGAAAAGAAACTCTTTCCTTCCTTGTAATCGCTTTTTCCCTTGTCCTATAATCAGATGGCTTTATTCCGATATTTAAACGATGATACCGTTGGAGCTCATGAGGAAATGTATTTTGTCTCCGCAACAGATACCTAGGGTTTCACATAACTCTGGTTCCAAAACATCTGTCCCCGTATTTAGGTGTCCTCAAGTAATTCACAATTAAGGAGGATCTCTGTGCTCATTTTAAAGATCAAAGGATCAAGATTGTGTTTAGGTGGACTAGCAGGAAAGTTGTTAGTATATGACAGCCGTACCTATCCTTTTGTAGATCACGATTATAACCAATTCATCTTAGGAACAACATCAAACATACAATTGAAGTTTGTTAAAAGATAGTGAATCTCAGTAGTTTCTTTCAAACTGCTAGATCCATGAAGACTTCCTGACGATTTTCGTGTGGTGATGAAAATAAAGCATATTTACTGAATAAATTCACTGGTTGGTGATCGGTAAAATATCGACATAACCAGAAACCTGCACTGGCTTGTAAAATTATGCTGTCGGTCTGTTACCAAAAATGAATCCAACCGCCTAACCAGGGTCAAATGTACAACATAGCAGTCAATTTTGTACTAATATGTGGTTATAAGACAACTATTAAGGATAAACCGCATGAAAAGGCCAAGTTGATCACCCATAACCTTAAATTGCTTTTTTGTGTGAGGAATTAACACTCACAATTAATTCGTTGCTGTTATATATTTAGAACCGTCACATAAACTCATGAAATGTGTACTCTGTGAGCAAATGTTAGGTTGTGAAGCTGTAGCTCATTAGTTTAAGAAGATGGTTTTCAACCAGTGGGTCATAGGTTTGAACACCACTTCATCTCCTAAGATTCGGGCAATCAGGTAGTAGTATCATTAGCCCTCACACAATAGCTGTGGCTCACTACCTGCTGCATGGATGTGAACAATGCTGTTGAGTGCATTTTTATCTAGGTTAAGAGATTTTAGCAAGTTATATTTATCTTGGCGATTAACGGTGGAATCCTGGATGCGCGTTTTGTCCTATTTAGGACTCATCAGCTGGATGTAGCCGCGCCCCAACGAGGGCAGTTCTTCTCGCTGAGACTAAAACCCTATACTCATCGCTTCAAACTCCAAAGCGTTATCCACTAGGCAGCTGGGGAACAATAGCCACATCTTGTGCAGCGGGTATCAGTTGTCGTTTTTAAATACTTATTTCCCATTGCTACACAGTGCCAAATTGCTCAACCTCTGTTAGCAGATAGGCTCCTATGCGGATGCCTCAATACTGCCTGATATTCATAGTGTTATATTTATCTTGGTAACTGGCAGCGAAATCCGGGACGCGCGTTTCGTCCTATTCGGGACTCGTCCGCTGGATGTGCCTGCACTCTAGTGAGTTATGTTCCCACTTAGACTCGAACCCGGTACCCATCGCTTTAAACGCCAAAGCGTTATCCGTCTGTGCCTGTAATTCACCGCAGTGTCGTACATAAAATACTAGTTTATCTTTGACTTCTCTATGTATTCTTCCGTTCATTTACGATATGCACGATCTAATATTTTCATGAAACTGCAGGCTGAACAATCGCGTTATGGATTGTGCTGCAGTCTAATTTTGGATGTCCGACTGGTTTATCCTGACGAGCTTACAGATCCCCGAAACAATGTTCTACTTGTCAAAGTAAGTTGTTTTCTGTCTTGTTTTCGAAATTGAAGTTTGAGTTGAATGTTGGCACTTAGGATTCTCCTAAACCGATAATACAGAATGACTCAGGAAAAAAGGATTGTAATTGTAATATGCATATTGCAAGCATTACTAAAAGGGCAGTTCTACTGAAAATTTCGATCAAGTTCAGTCACAATATCAAATACCTATAGTGACAGTAACATAGACATAGTGTTTTTAAAAGATAACTAATAGTATTATAACATTACTCATAGTAACAAAGAAAAGAAATAACGAATAAGAGTATTGTCGCACATGCATGCACTTTTCATGACTTGATTCATGTATGCGTCGCATGTTCTGCCTAAGCAGTTACAAATCAATCATCACATTTTCCTTGAATGAAACTACATTCTTTGGTTCACTGTTGTTCATTCATTGTTTAACATCTCGTATCGTTTTTTTTTGCAACCAATAATATGTTTTTCTTTTGAAACTGATTCGAATGAATAATTTTTTTGAAAAATTATCGAAACAATGGAATTAGTAAAAGTATTTTTGCTGTGATATGATGTGAGATCGTTGCTACTGTTCACTAATTCATATTTGTTTCTATCACCTTTTCACATTTTAATACATTTTATATTACTGAAACAGCTAAATAGAGTTAGAAGGGATTGACTCGATTTGTGGTTCGGAAAACTCTGATAAGCCTCATTTGAAACACCTTCCTGTGAAGTTGTGATATTGTTTATTCACTGTGATAAACTAAATCCATTCGCTTAACAAATATCAATGAACCTGGGACATCTTGAGAGCGAATAAAATATCATCCCTTGGGTAGTTTGTAGAAAGCTTTCAATGGGATAATGCAAAAATATCCTGTTTGTTCTGTCTAGATACCTACCAACAGAATACTATTTAGCATATTCAAGTGGAAATTGGTGAGTAGTATGTTCTGACCTAAACAAAATATTTCCCTGCCATCAATCAATGGAAACTTCGGTTTTATGATGCAACAGAAATTTGATGTTTGTTATCAAATAGTCGGGCATCATCTAGAAAAAATATCTCTATTCTTATGATTGTTTGACTTTCTCATGGCTGTTTTTGTATCTGTTTGTGCTTATAGGTTGTTCATATGATGCCTGTTAGTAGTTTTAAATTTGCTGATCAATGCTTTTTTCACCCTGTGATCATTTTTGTGAACTGCGTTTGTGTTCTGTTCATTTGACTCTTAGTTGTATTCAGTAACGGATATAAACCTGTCCCATCTACTTTGACCTGGTATCATTAGCTATCATACATTGGTTTGTAGTTCATAGGCCCTTAAATTATTACGCTTCAAGTTTCTGAGATTATTGCATTTATGGAGATGTGGCTGACTGACATAAACACTTGACTTTCAAGCCATGGACCCAAGGTTCGGATCCCGTACTGTCTATTTCGATGTAGCCAACCGCGTAGCACTACAAGCTTTCACATATTAAGTGTGATTATATACTTTAGTGCATGGACCTGTACCCAGTTGATTTGTGTTGTCGTTACTGTTGTCTAGGTCCTGTTCTTTCACTCTGGAGTAACACCGAAATAACTGTAGTATGATTTTGAAATACTCACCATTATGGTATTTACACGTACAATCGTGTAACTTCTTTTGAAACTTCTAAGTGTGTTATTTTACTGAGAGAATTTCCAGGGATTTTGAGCTTCTTTGAAGAATGTGGGCAGTAATACTATACACAAAACAGGAAGAAATCAATGAAATCTCTAAATGTTCTCAATAGAAGAACATGTGATGAGACCCTATGAACTTATGTGTGCGGAAAACTCATGATCATTAATCAGGTTTGGAAGTACGCTAATAGCTATCCTACAGTTTACAAAATTTCCTGTAAAATGCTTTTTTTAAGGATAAACCTTTTGCAATAACGTGGCAGTCTGGAAATGTAAAGTGCAGTGTACCCGTACGAAGTATTCGAGTCTAGTCAACTTCATCAAAAAGTTTTTTTCAGTCGAAAAAATAATAGTACCAGTACCTCAACTCACCTAGTGGAATATTTTACCCTGCATTAGGGAGGTTTCAAAGATTTTCGACTGATTATCCTACTTGACTAGGACTGAAGTGGCACAAAAACCATTTAAATTATTACATATTGTTCTGTGAGACTGACTGGCTGGCAAAATCAACGTAGAATTTCACACAGGTACGCTAGCTCAAGTTGGGAACCAAAAGATCGGTTGGCAGAGTAAAATGAAACAAACATTGTTTACGAAATCAGCTCGATGGTTGTCGGCAATACTCTAGTTATGGGGTTTCTGAAAACAAATTGCTGACATAAATTGGGGGTAGAATGATAATTTCATCCTCTTCCTGCTCTCGGACAATCACGATTGCCAACTTTCAGCAAAGGGATGTGGGAATCCTACAACACAAACTGAAAGCTGTAAAAAGGATTCTTTGGAAGATCAAAAACAAGATATTCAGCGAAAAGGACTTTTCAACGAATTTATTCTCAAGCTGTATATTCGTATATATGTATATAATATTTAAAGACTGTAATCCGTGAGGAAGATTTAACTTTAATAATGGGGGGTTGAAACAATAATAATGGACGACGCTGAAATTTCTTCTAAAGTCTATTATAAGCATTGATGAATTAGCAGAATCCAAAATCACGTTAACGTAGTCACCGGTTTTGCCAGTTATATGGTAACAATCAAATTGAAGTATATAATTGATGAACTTGTCATAGGTATTGAAAATGTAAATGAATAACCTTGTACTTGTAATTTTATAGTCAAGAGGTTTCGCTGGGAAATTGGGACTGACTGTAAAGGTCACCTTAGCAACTGCTGAGACAACCAATCAGGTCTCAGTATTCCGGCTAGTGAGGTAGTTTCTTATAAAATAGAAGTAATTGGTTATCACAGCAGTTGTTAAGATAGCCTTTAAAGTCGCACGAAATTGGTAGTCACGATAAACCAAAACAGTAGTAAACCATCTTGAGTTACTACACTATTTTAAAGCACAATTAAAAAGGAATATTCAAAATAAACTGAACATGAGCGGCCGAGTAATAATTGAATAAAGGTGATTATTGTATCCAAGAATTGAATGAAAACAAAACGTTGCTACCTATATAACAGTGTAATCAATTTTCGACCATGATGTTTAGAACTTAAAATTTTTCCACAACGCTTTCCAGAAGGTGTATATATTTCAAGCCAACAGTATCTTGGTCGAATATTGTCAAACCAGACTTTAATCTAGCTATCATTCCACGTTTAAACTACTAGTGACTTCATCTGTCGCAGACAATTCAGTCGGTACACTTTAACAACCTTATTGAATGACTCTACTTCAGTTGTATTAAAAAGCATTTAAATGGCAAGCATAATTACACAATGAGTTACGAATATTCTGTATCATCTCAGAACAAAATTACTTTCTAGATATCGGACATATTCAAAATACTTACATTTCTCTGGTATGACTAAATTTTTACTCATTTGTACATACTATGGAATTGTCATTCGCATTTTGGATGAATATTTATGGGTTTTTTTTACCAGTTTTAAGAATTATCTAACTCAAAATTACCACTTACAGTATTCATGAAGTCTAGTGAGCCTACGACTAACATCTATGAACAAATCAATCCTAATCCACTGGACATTTTGTTTAAGGTCACTAGAATTGATCCGACATGAACATTTTAAGGGGATATGAAAACATTGGGTATAATGCAAACTGATGTTGTATTGTTTTAAACTTCGTAATATTATTAAACACTATGGTGGTCTTCATTTCCTGGAATTATTTGGTCAACTTGTGTATAATAGTATACTTCGCTCTACATCTTATCAATTTATAAGTTTCTCAGTGAAGGTATATTCTTCTCTCAGCCCATTTTTTTGTCCGAAGCTTTGTATTCTACCTCACTGGGACTTTCCCCGACATACTCGTACCTCCCGTCTTAGCCAAACAGGGAACGTCTGCAGTGATCTGATCAAAACAGAAAGCTTTCATCCAAAAAGCAAAATCAAATTTATTGCTTATAGATACCCAGACTTAAGTTGTTACGAATGTCCTGGAAAAAGTTGAGCACCAAGTCTGATTTAATCATTCTAAGAGTTTGTTTTAATATGATTGCAGCGTCTTTAGAAAGCTGCGGCTCTGCGAAACGTTCAGAAATATTTTGTTTTGATTTTCTCAGCACTCTCGGATTATATTGAAATACATAGTCTTGTAAGAAAATGTATTACTTTTTCTTTTAAACCATTTAGTCTAGACATCTATCTAGTTCAGAACTGTTTTCCGACTCACCAATTTTTCATTTGTAGACAGAATTTGGCGATCAAAAGATTTTTCAGTCTTCAACTGAAGAAGATGCCAAGGAATGGATCACCGCTATACGTAGCGGTTTACCACCATTGCGTAGAAATCCCATTTCTCCCAGTCATGTGATAACTCCACTTCGACCTGAACGATGTACGAACTGTGATGCGATTTTGGATTCCAGTTCAAAGTCAGCTTCTGATGTTCTGTCCTCTTTACCTTTGTCATCAAATAAAGCCAATGAACTTTGCAATACATCTGATAATCACAAAGTTCATGATGCGTCAGTGGTATTTAATTCAACAAATTTCAAGCCATTATCCACAGATAACTCGACAGTCTCCACTCCTGTGTCAACATTTGCACGCATTTGTAGTCATGTTAGTAGTGTACCGGACGTCTGGTCTGCCAGTTGTGCGGCATCTTCCAAAACTGATCGTCCTGTTCCTGCAAATAAGTAAATAATATTGATTTTTCTTAGCCTTTTCAGTGTGTCTTTTCTTCAGTATCTACTGTACCGGATATAACAGACATCGACTACTTCATGTCATCTGTTTTTGCCTATTTCTCAACATATATATTATGTAATCGATTGCCAAACCATATAATTACTTCTTTTTAGGCTATCTCGCAACATTAAAATAGTCCGGCTATATTCTCAAATTGCGTAGCTAGTTGCCTTTGGAAGAATTGGCAGAAGTTTATTGTTATTGCAAAGGTGTGGAACAGTTTTTTTACCATTCAGCTGTTCATGCCTTTCATCACCAGTTTGTAACCGATTGGTTGAGTTTTACGAGTGAAATGAAACACCATATACAGCATGGAAGTATAAAGAATGATAGGTTGTTTAAACTCTAACCGAGTTAGCGAAATAGGTATTCGAGTGAATTGTAGTCACTCACTGAAGACAAGTTTTAGCTGCTAGACATATATGGTAAAAGTCGGATAACACACTGAATAAAAATTCATTAGGAAACAGTCAGATAAAATGTCCGAATAGAATCGCACTTGTAATAATTTTAATGAATGTCTAAAATTTAAAACAACCTTCTTGGTCATCAATATTATAGTTGGAGAAGTCATCACTATCACATCTTGTTCAGTTTCATCTATAGTGTGATGTAGGAGTTTTTCAGGTCAATATATATTCCGTAAACAAAACTGTGATACATATAGTGGTTACATTTTTAATCGTATAAGTTTCCGCCTTTTAAGCACTGATTTTTACAATGGCATTTTTCAAAAAATCCTATATTGAATCACTAAAGGTTACAGTGAGCTGGCTTTATCAGTTTGCAAAGAACCTTATGAAAGCACATAGTGCATAGATATCAATGCCCACAGTCTTATTCAATCTAACGTTCAGTAAGTTAAATGGTGGCACTACTTTAGATAAGATCACTTATATTAGTGAGAATAAATTACATCAATACTACTTGGGTTTGTCACATCCCTTATTCCTCTACAAGTTATCTTCAGTCTAGGTATTCTCATGTCATTAGGTTCAAATGATTACGGTTGTATCTTAGAGTTTCGGTGTTTTAGGTTTGTACACTATTTTGCTAGTGTTTTCACTATTACTTTCCGTGAAACTTATCTAACACACTTCTAGGTCGCAGTCCAGTCTGATATTCTAGACTTTATACAGGCTTGAAATTGATTTGGCTGTAAGAAGTATGGTGTGCAACGTTTCGGTGTAGGTAGTTCTGCTCTTTACTTATGATATCTCACCTCTCTAAACAGTGTTCAATCACCACTGTCTCGGAGAACCACAACATCTATAATTCCAAGATGCAGCGGTGCTTCTCTGTTCGAAATAGAAATTGTTCTTAAGTAATTGAGTTCACTTGAAAATGCAATCTTAAAATCACCTTACACATACGATCGTGGAACTTCCTTACCGTTCACATTTCGCTCGCTGTATAATTGGTTGGAGAAATTGTCAGTTTATGACATAGTACTACGTCAACATCAGTTTCTGCATTACACCTCCGCACGTGGATTCCAAGAAACGCGATTCCATGGGTTAAGACACTGTTTTAGAAATGAAACCAGTGGCTACCATATTGTAGTTTCCGTATCTCAGATTTGAAAATGGATGACAGCTCCCTGAATGTGACTGATCAATTTACTGTTCTTCCCGCCTATCCCTTTATAATATTGTTGCGTTAGCTTCTTTAGTACATCTTTGTACTCATATTGTACAGTGTTTGTGTTAAACATTAAAAATCAATCAGTGCCACTTGAATGGAGTTCATAGTGTTTTTCGTCTCTTAACGTAACTCTTATTCTCCTTGGCATCAAAGTTTTTCGCCTATGTTCTGCTTATTGGCTTCAAAATGCGATATTCTCGTATACCTTCGGTAACTTACTTCCCCACGACCTAGTTTTGCTTAGGTTTATGTTACAGAGATATCAGGTGTCACATGGATGAAAACTGTGTTAAAAGTTAGTGTTTTTTGTCTACGAAAAGTTTCAGAAGATTATCTTTATCATTCGCTTTTAGATTAGCCGGTCCGTACTGACAGCTTATGTGACTCTCAACTTGCTTTAAACTTACGGTGCGTCCCCAACCAGCACTTCAATATCTGTCTACAAACTTCTTTGAGAAGATATCTTGGTTGATGGCAAAAGTCACCCTGGGTCGCATCTGAACTGCAGTGTATCAGAGGTTAAATAGATATGACAAAGATATTTTTAGCTAACAATACTTGACTTGCTGTAAATGCAGTTCTGCATTGTGCTTTCATTCCTATTACTGAGTTTAGTCTTAACACCAGAAAGACAGGATGTTACACTATCCTTTACATAACTGTACATGAAACTTTTTTTCTGGAAAATAGAAAAATAATTAGAAAAACCATAATCAAGACTTGTGTACGGCTTTTCAGATACAATATAAGTCTATGTATCTAGTCTAGTCCTACAGAAGGTCAATTGTGACCTAAAGAGATGGATAAAGTCACTGACTGAAGCTCTGGGTGACACCAGTTCAAATTTCTAAAGGCACGAGTTCTCTTTAGATGGTATGGTTATATGAAAGTGACTTCAGCGATTCAGAACAGTGCAAATATACCACAAGTTTAAATGATGGGGTGCAGCCAGCAAAGTGAAAGTAAAATAAAAATTGATGCAGGTTATATAAAAAAGCGGGTAGTAAAATAATTAAACGCACAGGTTGCGTAAGATTTTCCAGGTCTGGTTATCGGTGAAAAGAACTGTAAGAATGTATGTGTATACAATACTACCAGTAGTTACATAATGTTTGTTCCAAATGGTGTAATATTATGTTCATAATGGTATATTATTTTCTCCAAACTCAACCGTTTCCTCCCTTTTTCTTGACAGTATTAATCCAAGTCAGTCAGATGGATGCACTACCACAACAAACAACACAATATCTCATGGATCTGTTAAACCTAATGCTAATGGTAAGTGAATGCTTCTTGCTCCCTTATTCTACAGTCAACTTTTAAAAGAAAGTTTACTGACATACATGTTCTCTATCTTTTTTACTTTCCTTTAACATCTGCCTTAACGAAAGCATACAAGGTAATTCTGATATATATATATATATATATATATATATATATATATATATATATATATATATATATATTGTGTATGAGAGAGAGAGAGAAAGGATCAGCATTGCTTTCATTATTCACCTTACAACACCGGTGGCTAAGCATATCATCCATACCGAATATTATCCGGTGACGCTGTAGCTGACTAAAAAGATGAAAGACAGTGGTTTTATGAAACGGCACCACAGAATGCAAAGTATTTGTGGTTAGTTGATGCCTTCTGGTGCAACAGCACAAGCTGCATAGAGTACAGCAGTTCACATTCAGTACATTAAGGCGGTGACAGATTTAACTTGAGATCAAAGTTAGTAACAATTATGTTCCCAGTCCTTTCATAGACAGTGGAATAAATGAAGAGAAGAGCAATGCTCATGGATGTATATCTGCTTTCATGTTCTTAGCTACTGTATGTATGATATTTTTTTCGAAGTCAACAAATGCAATGTACGAAAAATTAAATTCCTAGGACAGTAACCGACTCAACTGGCTCCATATAAGCAGTCGAACTGATGAGCACAACAAAAAGTGACCATTCTAGGCAATCCATATTCACCCTATGGTTCTCTTGAACTAAGTGTCCTAATATGCAGCTGTTAATGGTTTTTACCACACCATGGCTCAGTTACACTGGATGTTCGCGAGCACAAAACTAAATTCGTAGAGCAAAGTATTTTGCGTAATGGGTTTCATCTCTGTTTTAGTACCCTAACCCTAACAGTATATTTTGCAGTTTTGGTAGGTTCTTGGCTACTGACACTTGTTTTCTGCGACCAATAACGGTCTCAATTAAATTTTTTTCCGAAGTTGTCTTTACCGTCATTTTCATTTAAACTTATTTCTCGTCTGCTTATTTCAACTAATGAGTTGTTTTTAGTTATCTAATGTACAACAGATCTATGTGTAAACATGATTCGTTTGTTAGATCGTGTACCTTTAATGTCAATCTGATATTCGAATTGTTAATATTTTCCTTAGTGGTTGTTTGCCCTACTCCATCACGACCTACAATTTTCACCTCTGGATTCCGACATGCATCACCCACCTCTCATCCAGCTCCATTGCATCCTGTCGGCAGACCAGATAAAACCAACAGATTTTGCAGCCTAACAAATAGTACTTTCCCCGAACAAATAAAGTCACCTGGTACGAATCCATCAAGGGTCGATACTTTTCGAACTGGAGCATTCTCTGTCCCTAATCCGAACAATATGACACATGTTTCTTCAATGGTTACCGGTTTCGAAGATGTGATTGGTCAACAACTCTCTGTTTATCCGTGGTATCATGGGACACTTTCACGAGTTCGAGCTGCAAGCTACGTCTTAGGTCAACTTTCGGAATTTGAGCGTGGGACTACGCAACAGCAGTCGAGTTCTTCTGAAGTAACTCGGATAAATTCCGAATCAGAACGTAGTACTGATCTATCTACTATCCAACCTGCTTTGTCAACCACTGATGGCGTATTCCTTGTTCGTCAAAGTGAAACGAAACAGGGTGAATTCGTTTTAACGTTTAGTTGCCACGGTAAACCTAAGGTAAGTTATCAATTACCCTTTCACGACTTTTAACCTGCTGTCGAATGTAGGAAGTGTAACATATTCTGTTAATAATTCAGTCAAAAAGAACATTTTTTATCATTCTCGTGATACCGGTTTAAATGAAATATCGGTTGCTCTGTTGCAATTATTGTGTCATTAATAGTTAACTTCCAATAATGTATGCTGCAAAAACTGAATCTCCGGTGTCGACTTGAGAGTACAGTTTATCATGATGAAGTTGATCACCTCATAAATTTATGAAACTAAATCGATTAAAGGGACTAGGATCTGCTTTATTTGCCCTGTTGATACAAATACTAACGCTTATTTTTCGTTGAACTAACATTATGGCACCCCATTCTAGGTATGATTCCTATTCATGAAGATATCAGTCACGTTTGTTTGAAGTGTATACTTTAAATTCGTGCGTCAAAGACAAGGTTAGCTGATGTTAATGGTCTTGATGCATATTCTTTTCCTTCCAACTATAAACCAGTTTGTCACTTCACACTTACTTAAATACCACTCAGAAAAGGGTGGCGACTCTTCAGCATTTTGTCATGTTTTCCTTTTTCACGCTTTTTCCAGTGTAGCAGATCCCTGAATCCATAGTCATCCGACACCTAACTGGTACTCGATTACAAATTCGAGAAAACCACTCAATTTTAAGACCTCAACTCCAGAGGGTGCATCAACCAGATTGTTACTCTTCGACAGGTCCTGGAGCACAGTTTTACTTACCGACCAATGGCCAACACTTCCCGTATTTCTTGATCTGAGGGTAAAATTCGGCTCTGTCGAACGTGAGGTGTTGTGGTAGTGTCTGACTGTGAAAAGAGTGCCGAAAGTATATAACGCTAATCAAAGCTCTCTATTCGAACTCACGCAGCCGTGTAAGGACTTATGTAGAGTTGTCATGTCAATTGACGACAACTAGTGGTGTCCACTAGGGATGCCAGCTGTCACCGTTCCTATTCTATTTAACTTCGTTATGACGTACTACTGGACAAAACTTCAGGTATATTTGACTTCACAGGGATTGATCTGCTCCCTGGAGGTCATCTGGCTGACTTGGAGTATGCAGATGATAACTGTCTTGTTGAGTGAAAACGCTGACAAAATGCAGTGTCTTCTGAACGCATGTAGCGGAAATCTGAGTGTTTGGCATATGTTTCGCACCTATCAAGTGGATGATAATCCCCCAGGACTGGTCTGCGACCATTCCTAGTTTAAGGACAGGGAGTGAAGTGGTGGAATGCATTGACCACTTCACTTACTTGGGAATTGCATCAACCCAAAACCAGCTGGTTGCTGGCAAAATCTTACCTTGGATACAGAAGGCCTGTTTGGTACTTGCCAGTGTGTCACCCCTGGCACCGACGAGATATCTGACTACCTGTTACAGGACGAGTATACTGCTCTGGAGTCCTTTCTGCCGTAAGAATTAGATATGAAGCGGTCACAGGGTTCTGATCATAGGATCTTCGTGGCGTTGGTGGCTTGGTGGAATCACCATGTGAGCAATGTCGAAGTCAGGCAAAGGATACTCGGCAAGGAAGGTAAGTCGGTCGATGAGGTTGTGATGTGACTTGGACACGTTTTGTACATGCCTCGAATCACCACCTACCTCTACGTGGCTTTTAAATTAGGTTTGAAGAGGGTAATTAACGTATAAATAAAGCTACTTTTCCGTTCATCTGTTAATACAAAACATAAACTACGTAATTTAATATCTTAACTGTCGCACTATAAAGAAATACGATGTTAGTCCGTTATACAGGACATAAAAATCATGAGGAATTAAAAGTATCGTTCAGGGGTCAAGATATTGTTTAGGAAAACGAAATAATTAGGCTTTGAGGCATCACACAGTTTGTTCAAGAAATAGCAATTTTATATATCCATAGTTTGGTGAAAGTTCACACTTTCGGATTTTATGCTGTATAAGATACCTGTATTGTGTTAATGCGAATGTTACCTCAGTGTTGCACAAACTTATTTTATAGAACACCTTTGAACTGGGAAATTAATTATCTATGATCCAGAAATGTGTCAGAAACGTTGGTTCAGTGTGTTATGCAAGTATTACGTACGTCTAAGAAAGTGCATTTAACGTATTTGGTAAACTCTATATACTATATGCTTCGTAATTCAATTCTTCATGTTTTGATAAAATCAAACCGTAAAACGAAATGATAGCTCGAAATTCAGCGATAACACTTAAGTAGCATCACATGACCTCGTACAGAAGTTATTCTTGATTATATTGGTGAATTTCCCCCGTGAAACTAGAAGATGAGAGGGCGACCGCCATAAATCCGTCTGATAAAGTTGAGTAAGAATGAAGAGAACGAACACTCCTCGCGGTGTACACAATTCACCATTAATGTATCTAAAACAACTCCATTACCGACTTGACCAGCCACATGGTCATATGGTGTGGATGAATCACTTGTTCTTTCATGCGTGACAGGTCTAAACTCCACCCTGGATAAAACCATTTGTACAAAAAGTTACTGTTTGTGCCCAAATAATGGATGTATACTTAGTTATCAAGCCACTTTTTTTACGTTTATACCACATTGCAGTATTCGTTTGATGATAACTTCTATGTGAATAAATTGAATACCACTTCACTAATTATTCGTTTTCTAGCATCTCAGGATGACTCTGAGTCCAGATGGCCATTGCAGAGTTCAACACTTACCCTTTGATTCTATAGTAGAGATGTTGGAGCATTTTCGACAAGAACCTATTCCTCTGGAGCAAACATCTACAAATTTAGGTGATTGTTTATCTTCTGATGCCTTAGCTTCTTCTGCAACTACTCCTCCTACTCCTATTACCTTATCAGCCTATGTTGTCAATACTCATTTAACAGGTAATCATGAGCGGTTGGTTATCTGTCGGGGTTCTGTTCGTGCTAATGTTAACACAGTTGGTCGAGCAGCTGCTGTGGCTGCAGCTACAGCGTCTGGTGGTAAAGCAGCCCAGAATCAGTATATTGTTATGTAAATGATTATAACTTTGCATGCATTTAAACAAATTTTGAGAAACTCCTCCTCAACAAACCAATCTTCCTTATAATAAGATGATTTCTTTGTGCAATTCGTGACTTCCGAGAATTTTTGATTGCCTCACTTGCCTTGGAGGAAAACTGTGGTTCTGTAAATGTAAGCCTATTTAACTATCGAAAAACCCATGACTTTCCTATAAATCTTTTTTTTCTTCAAGTTATGTTAAGATGACTGTGTGCCTTGTACATTATATGCATATATTATTGTCCCAGTTCATAAACTATTCTATACATAGGTCAACAATCCGCTTCCATATGTCTTAAAATACTAAGGGATTATTCCTTGTTTTTTTTGCATTTTAAACGCTTTCATGTGCATATAAACATTAATATTTTTTATTCATGTAGTTATTTAATTCAGAGTGCATTTACCATATATATATATATATATATATATATTATTTTCAATTTTCTGATTTCTTTCTCTGTGTGCATCTCCCTCTTCTCTACCTGATTAACTTATTTAAGTCTTATTTTAACCGATGCTTTTGGCTATAGTGCATACATAATGGTTGTCATATAAAGTGCAATATTTTTAGTAAATATTTATTACTCTTACTATTATGATCACTATTTGCTTTTTAACTTCTCTTGTCTATGGGAATGCATTTGAGATATTGCTTTACAGAAGTGTTGAAGTCAGCAAATCAATCAAATAAAAAATGTCTGCTTTGTTGGAAAGGAATTTGTTTTCCCTTTTTAAAAAAAAATTGTTGTCGGTATCTCTTAACCAATTATGTTCGGATACAGCAGTTGTTTAGTCTTATAGTAGATCACCTCAGCAGTGCAAACTTTATAAGTGATAGTGTGAACTTAATTTATATTTTCAAGGTCAGAAATGACTTGAGTGAGCTGTATACTTATTGTAAATATTACTATGGCATTAAGCAATTGGTCAGTTACAGACTAATATTTTCTCTGTTAGGTTCTTGATATAATTGTTTTTGTGATCAGTCGACCCATCAAAATATACTTATCTTATTAGTATGTCGCTGTGGAAGGAGACACTTCAAAAATTTATGTACACCTTCCTTAAATTTAAATATTCAAATCAAATGAATTCCCTTTTGGCTCCGTTTTTAAAATGAATATGACAACTGTTAATCAAGAAATATTTATGAATTCGAAGTGTTCCTACACTGTTGCTCATTTCGGATAATTATTGAACAAACGGACGAATCAGCGTAGAACCTCGCACACAGGCTCATCGGTCCAAGTTGCCACACTTCACAAAGAATAAGTGGATAGAAAAAGGTTGATATCAAATCAAAGGAAAATATATGAGAGAATACACAGTTTGAAGACGAAGGTAAGTCCAAATATCCAAGCTTTATAAGACATCAGGGAATAGATACATCTGGGTCACTGTGGCCGATTCTTAGCCGCTTACTTTTGTAAATTAACTTGGAATTTCTGTAAGCCGTCTACCTTGAAATATTAATACAAGTACTGCCCTCTATCGAAATTATGCTATCTGCAGTCATTATGAAAATAACACAATTCAAAGGCATTTTTGAAATTGAAGCAATTGTGGTGATTAGAACCGTCTAGAGTATTCAGAACTAAAATTCAAAGTTTTACTGCATAATTAATCCATACTGTGAACATCTAGTTAGCTACTCATATAACAACATAACTAAAGATATGGATAGTTATATTTCAGTTAAGTGAGTTTAATTACTGTCTATGAGTTGATATACAAATGCCCTCCAAAATGAATGGTCACAAAAGTGTTAAGCATATTTCACAGTTTCTTAATGTGCTTTATGACTGTTGATCTTATTCAGTCACTAAGCGATAATATGCAGCACTGTATGAGGGTTATAATCTGTCACTGCGCGATTTTTTGTTGAGCAAAGATTACTTTGAACCTACAAAACAAGCAAAGTTCTGTGAGCGTGGGATTTTTCACTTTTATTTGGTCCACTCGTGTATAGACTATATGAGTGACCACCGAAAGTGTGTACAAGTCTATAAACATTACGGCATAAGCAACCTTTTCCGATAGCTTTCATCCTATCAAACATGGCTAATAGTGGTCCTATTGTAGTTTCCTTTCATCTGTATAAATATTTTTGTGGAATAAAGACACGAAATTACGAGATGAATTGTAATTTGAGTTGATTTATAATTCTATTCTTTGTTTCATTTCCTCATATTTTTATTTCCTACAATCTTGTTCTTAATTTTCTCACCAGTTCTTTTTCACTTTGTACGGGGAAAATTGTAACCTTAATGGTCTAATACTTATATGTTCTCGGTGATATTACGTGATGATTCTAAACTCGAATTGACCTCTTGGGGAAGTAATAATACTAGGAAATATCGTCAAATGAAAGTGAGTTGAGGAGTAATTATGAAACAGATTTCTGAAAATATCACACCTATCTTCATCTTCAAAAACCACTCCTAATTAGAATCAACCTACTATTAGTTAAATTACTCTTACCATAATGATGTGACTCACCCAACTTCTAATCATTGAATCCCATGTTTGAACACCACCTTATATTCGGCTGTCTCAAATTTCAGTTCATATCATTTGACTCCACAGTAAGTATGGCTCACAACCTAGTGAACAACGTTTCAAGAACCTCTGACTCACTAACTTGCTGATTTTTCTTAAAATAACTTAACTTCACAGACCTTTCATTTTTTGCTTCTGTTTCAAAATCTATAGAAAAATCTTGATAATACTCGGTTTTCTCATTCACGATTGAATTCACGTTTACTAATGCTCTTGTGGAATATCAGAAAACTAATTTATGTAATTTTGTTAACTTTTAAAGTGGGAGATCCATAAGCCAGTTGCTGAAGGAATGTATGTTTCATGAATCTTTTCGTCTAGGAAATTGGTTTTCCAGTAACTATCTTAGCTCACTTCGTTGGTGGGAATATGCGTTTCACTTCATAATATTACAGTCAAACCTCGCTATCTTTACCATTTTACTTCAAACTATCTGCTAAACCTTAGATATATTGCACAAAATTATTTTTAAGATGCTTCGCAGTTGAGAGATTATTAACTTTGAAATTCGACTTCGTCTTTGTTAGTCTTGTGTTACATGCAACACCAGCTTTTCTAAAACATCGGTAAAAAGTGTGTGGAGGTCTTTAAAAGACCTGAAATTATTTGTGTCACTACTGGAAATCAGTACATCTTGGTAATGAATACAAAGAATGTTAATGTACCTAGAATTGACGGAACTTCTGTAATCCACTCAAAAGAACTGGTAGCTATAGAAGGCTCTATACACCTTTTATTCTTCACCATAATTTTATTTGAAAGCTTATTGTAAAAACTGTCATTCACATCAATATTTATCCTATATGCTTATTTCTGAAATCCTCCTATTGGTTATCAGAGAGTTTGGAAAGGAGTGAATTTTTGTTCAGGTTCCGATCATTTTTCTCCTGGATACTTCTCGCAACCAAAAATATATCTACAGTCCAGTACTGCTCCTTGAGTATAACGCTAAAGCAGTCATTCATTTCAGTCATACTTATGAACTGTAATGATCCAACAATATTGAGCCCGATAGACCTAAACAACAGTACTATCTCATAATAATGAGTTGGTCGAACAAGATCACACATCTCACGTACATCGGGACTCAATTTCAACTTAATAAGTGGAAAACAATTTCTTCAGGTAGTACACTTCACAAAGTGGACGCATTCCTGAATGCTCAGAAAATTTTAAACTATAAATAAAGACACTGCATTTATTGGATTCATTATTTCCTAAGAATGAATTACCTGAATAGTACCACCGGACACTGTCATTTTAAACTACTCAGTTACGTTGCTAGATGTAGGTATATAATATGCTTAAGCGTGGATATATAAATGTGGGTCCATTGTGTAAAAAGACGAGCAAAAAAGCTTACTATCAAATAACGGAGTAAAAACAAGATGACTAATATCCTTGTTCTGTGGATATAATAAAATATGAGACATTAACTAGTTTAAACTCTCACCTCAGCAAAGGAAACGCAGCAAACTATCGCAAGTGTTATTGGTCTCTCAACTTGAGTTTGCAGGGGCACAACTTTCGATATGAACCTGAGTGTGATTTTTGCTTCGACTTGGGAAGGAAGCGTATTCCAGTCACCATAGTGCAAATATTCACTCGCACACCAAACATAGCCTTAATGGGGCATTCGTCACCTCATTATACCAGGATGTTTCTGTCATCAGCATAAGACCAGGCATAACTGCATGGCGGTTCAAGTTGTGATACATCATTTCAGCATATCAAATGAGAAAGCAATAAGATCAAAGAAAACGTAGTAAACAGACAGGAAGAAAGGATAAGAAAATACTCAATTCAGTATGATTATTAAGATGAAGATGATGTGTGGATACACAGACTAGTGACGTTGATTCCGAGCCATATCATCTACACTCTAACCACTGGTTTCTGTTGTTACGTAGACCCCAACCGGCTAGTCTACATATGACTCAGACCAACAGTCAAAGACTTTATAGAGTGATGCCATCTTCCAGTCTAACCGTTATCCAGCCTGAACCTACTTCAGCTAAGACTGTGCGACGAGACAGATGCTGACTAGGTATGCGTAACATATGCCCCAGCTACCTGAGACGGAGGTTCACAAACTCATCCACCGACCCCCCCCCCCCCCCACCCGCCCTCTTCTCGTCAAGACTCTACATCTGACTCCTGCATTAATGATGTGGTAATATTACGACACACGGTCCTTTTTACGGTGGTCAAACACCCGAAACCTTATATTGTATACCTTAAATGGCCACGTTTCACATGTGTATGGTAGGACAGAGAGAACTGCAACACGCGACCACTAACTGACAATCGGATATCATCGCGGCGCCATAAATGACGCAAGTTGGAGAAAGCGAAGTAATCTTTTCGTATCCGTGCAGAGATTTCGTCAGTCATTGACCCACCAAGGCTGATTCAACTTCCCATGTAAGTGAAGTGGTCAACTCACTCGACCACTTTTCTCCCTATTGTTAGACAGGGTACCGCTGGGGCAACAGGTGTGTGGCTGCGGATGAAAGCGTGTGATAAAATTTACAATCGTGTATCGAAATTAGGAGTGGCATACACCAATCTGGGCCACCTATGGCACCGCCATGACATTAGTCTAACCGTAAAGGATTGGGTTTACAACGCTTCAGGTGAAGCAGTTCTGTTTAAACGCTTGTGCAACCGGACCTCTCCGAGCTGAGGATGTGCGATGACTATGTATGTCCGATCATTTTTGTATCCATAGGATTCCTCATATCCGGTGCAACACCATGTAAGTAATCCTGAGGTATGACAGCCCGTGCTTGGGCATGATGGGGATCTTTATTCAATAAGTGAAGTCATTCGGAAACACCGGCTTCGGTGGCTTGGAATTGTGTTACGCATGTCGTCGCAATGGCTTCCATACCGTTCACTGTTTGCCAGCCCTAGGACTTAACGGGAGAATTGGAAGGGCTGTCAGTCTATGACGTTGTGCCATGGGATGGAGGATAGTTGTATCGGGTTAACATCTACTGGTGCACCAAGCCTCCTTGGGTGGGTTGCGAGAGATCACGCAACTCAATGGCTTGGGACGTTATATAGCTCAGAATGGAAACCAGTGGTGGTCATGCTGTAGCTTCCTCCTAATTTCTGTTGCTGAAAAGTGATGAACGTTTTGTTTTGAATGTATCTTGATGTTTTGCCCTTCTGATCGTTCTATTCTTACTGTGCTTTTTCTTCTTATTCGTCCACTTCCGTTCGCTTAACACCATAATATTGTTGTATTAGTTTCGGTGACGCTTTTCCTGGTGCCCTTCCTGTACCGTGTTTGTCATAAAATTAATGATGATAATAATAATTTGCGTTCTGGTGGTGAGAAAGCTATATCAGACGTTCTCAAATTGCCACTCAATATGTCCAGAAGACTGCATCTTGTCAGAGGTTTTACCCGAACAGGACTATGTTGTCCGCGTCCTCTAGATCTACCAAGGATTTTCCTGTGACAAGATCAATCCATGTGAATTCAAACGATCAGGAGGAGACCTCCATAAGTAAGTCTATGGGGGAATTAAATAAGAATGGTGATAATGGACATCCCTGATGGACACTACTTGACGTAAAAAAATTCACCATAGGTTCTTAGACAATCACTGGTGTTCCAGTACAGAGCCGTCAACAAAGTGATGTGTCTCCTCGGCACACGTTTCAGTGAAAGATACTGCCATAAGACTTCTCGATCAATGGAGTAGAATGCCACTTTAAGGTTGAGTAATATAGCCATTGTAGGGCGTCCCTAAGTCCCCCCTTGTTCCAGAACCTGGTAGAATGTGAATACCTTTTCGGTACAATCAAGACCGCATCTAAAACCTCCCTGGCTTACTCGGTTTGCTGTTTTCGAGCTTCATATAGACGTCTAATGATTAGAGAACCTGGGGTTGTCAGGCTAATTCCTCTGTGGTTATCACAAGATGAGTTCTCACCTTTTTCAAAGACTAGGACAATCAGCGATTGAAACCAATGAGATCATATCTGACTCCCAAACACTCATTGACACTTCAGTTAGTCTAACCAATATTTCGCAACCACCTCTTCTTCAAACACCTCTGATTACTGGCCAATCTAACCCTTCTACTCTTCCTTGCCTCAGATTACTTGCACCTTTCTCGACAGGGTTGCAGGTAATAAGATAGTAGGTGGGGATTAGTTGAACTGTTCCTCAGAGCGTTTCGCCTATCCTTCCAGTTGTCTACTCTGCGAGTGGATCATAGACCCATCTTTCTTCGTTACATTCTCACTGACCACTGCCTTTCTTGCCCCAGTTCCCTATCAAGTCTAAGTAACTGTCTGTTGATTCTTATTACCATATCTTTAGCCTTCGCTATCCAACACTCTTCACAGTTATTGCGTAGACATTTTTTCACCCCAAATTTGAGTTGCTTCTGCTTCTCATTGTGCTTGGAGCATGCAGGAATGCGTCCACTTGCATCCATTAACTCAGAAGATGCTATTGATATCCGTTGGCCATTTCTAACCACTTTCTGAGAATTGGCTGCAGTCTTCAACGCTGCTTCTATAGCAGATTGGAAATGGCACTAGACTTCTTCTGGACGAGTGATGTTGTCCTATACCACTAACTAGTTCATTGGCAAAAGCCTCCTTAGTGCTCTAATTTTCGAGCTGAACTGGCAATGATATTGTTGCTATAGTTTTTTTACGTCCACTCAGGTGCAGATATACATGTGCTCGAACAGAAGCGTGATCGCTGTCCATGCGTGTGATTCAGGAAGAACAGCAATCTTCCACTGGCCCTCTCCAGCGATAACTATGTGTACACCGTCGAGTTGAGGACGGTGGACTCCACGTGAAATAGTGTCACTCTTTATGTCTAAAGTTCGTGTTGTTCAGAAGAATATCGCTGTCTGAGCACAGTTGTAGCAAGTGATCGCCATTATCTCTATGTTCGACTGGGAATCCGAAATTGCCATCTGAGCGCCTTTCTGTCTGACTTAGCCTACCTATTTGTGCATTGAAATCACCTGCTAGAACAGTGACGTCTACACTTTCTGATTTCACTGGTAGGCTAGATAGTTTTGAGTAGAACTCGTCATTCGCTCCTTCCGAACCGAAGTCAGTGGATGGGTAGGCAGAGATTACGAAGAGACAATGGCAAGTTTCACTATTATTTTATTCCTCATTGTGCTATTCATTTTAACAGCGCATAGAAGACTGTTAAGTGGGATGCAGTTGAGCAGTGAACTTTCTACCTTAACACTTGATGTTATACCTACACCTACACGATGGCGATAACTAACCATCGAATCTTCAGGAACTTGATAGGCGAATTGTGTTTACTCACCACATTGGACGAATAAGGTTTAGTGAATGACCACATACAGTGTGTGCATGTCTCGCAAACACAACACGTTCATGACCCAGATGAAAGCGTTTTGGCTAGCAAAGCTCATCTGCCGATTTCAATGAGGACGCTTTTAGCTCCAATGTTTAATCTGAAGCGTGGAATTGTCGTTGTTTCGTGAACCTAGATCATTCTATCAATAAAAGCAAATACTTCAAACTATGTTCAAAGTTTTTAATTCGTAAATCTCTAAACTTTTTTGAAAAATAGTAGCCAACCAAGTGTATAAATACCCCGAGTTCTTATCTCGTGACAACTTCCATCAGATTTGTATTCGTCAATTTGTCATTCAAATCATGCCACGATGACTCCAAAATAAATTATGCTTCCGAGAAGTCAGTTAACCTATGAATTAGAACATTGTTATTTTCTGAAACTGCCTAATCAATCGCAACTCACGGAAAAATCACAGCAACTCTTTCCACATTAACGCAACACACGAGCAACGGGTCGCCCTTAAATACCTAGAGGAGATATGCATGTCAGTCGAAGAAGCCATAAGAGCTCTACATCCAAATGTTATTCCTCCCTTGGCCTTCAAAAAAACTAAAGACCACTCCCAAGTTTTCCTCACTTCTAACATCACATTATCTAGGCTTGTCATCCCAATACTGGGAAAATTAAAAAGAAAAGTCGATCCTATAACTCACAATTAATTTTGAAAATATATATTCACTTCAAAATTGGCTTGCATTAAGCTGCACAGTTGCGTTTTATAGTTGTGGGAATTAGTCAGAATTTATCGATAATATTTTTTGTCCGGACTTTCAAATTAATGTCATAGGAATATATATATATATATATATATATACTGTTCATGAAGAATATGCAATGTCATAAAGGTTAGAGCAATATAATGATGGCTCACTGCCCGGAAATTCTACTTCCAGATAGTGGATGGCAGATCTGAAACTCTAATTTAGCATGGATAATCGGTTAGTGTCACAGGAGTCCACTCATAGTTTATGCATATATTATAGATATAACCAAAAGCGCACAAAACCAGTGCGAATTTACAATACCCCGGGAGATGTTTTGCTACTGAGAGGAAGTAGAATAAGTAGTTCTTTCAAAAGACCTGAATCCTAGTTGTGCTTCCCATTCTTGTAGGGTTTAAAGATTCGCTGTAGATTCCACTTTGCCTTCTGGAATTCTGTTGCTGGCGTAAAAGCAGTTGGACACGTAAATCCATATTTTATGACAACTATAAACAGCGTACTATAAACTCCAATGTCATCAAAGCTACCTGGCGGCGAGAAAGCAAACTGATTTCTCTTTCATGTACTTCAAGATTACACTATCATCTATAGTCTGCATGAACAGAACGCAAAAACACAAATCCCTGCGGATGATCATTCATTCATGCCCATTTTCACGTTCAGCAAACATTGACATAAATATGTATCTTCTGAATACTGTTGGTCTCTTTCTGCGCAATTTCATACTGTTTTACCCAGTTCATGACATTTGAAAACAGTCTGAACGAAACCCAACAATACATAAGCATGCACCTTTGATAACCTCTGCATTAAAAATATGGAGATGGAACTGACTACCTGTAATCGCAAGTACTAACCGATTCATACTCGAAATATTGCTGAATATTCGTTTCCCATACAGACAAGATATCACTTCATATATCCTGCAACCAGCAATGATTTTAGAGAAGTCGGAAATAAGTGGATAGAAAAAACGGAGTATCGAAGATGTATTTTATTGGAGGAAACGAATAAAAAATGTGGTTCTTTACATAGGGTACAAAACCGCAGCTAGGTTACATGGTGTCCAGTCTGTCATCATCACACTCTCTTATATACAACACGTTGTTACATCGTATCAAAACTTCGCCCAAACTTCCAGTATGGCAGTTGTCAATATATTCATCAGTGCTATGTAGCTGCAAGTTCATGTACCGATCCACAGATACGAGGTACCCCTTGTACTCCATTCCCCACTTCAATTTAACGATCACTTGCTTCCCAGTGATCCCACTGAGAAATGGCTTGGGATTATTTATTGCAAGATCCATACCGTAGCGTCGACAATTTGTTCCGTGCGCAAGTGTTCGGAAAGTCGGTCCGCTACGCTCAATTGTAGGTTGAAGTACAATAATCATTCCAAACTTTAAAATCTGTTTTAGAAGTAGCAGACAATATTTCTTTGGGTTACACGTCCGTCTCAATAAAAAAAGATTACATTTTAAGACAGACAGAATATCATGGAATTCAGAAAAACCTCGAAGGACAGATATAAACAGTTGCGATCATTCACCTTTTTTCTACTGGTGTCACTATCTGAGATTTCTTGAGATGACGGAAATCGTCTTGAGTTACGGATGGCATGATCTATCCTGATCATTACAGGCAGAAAAGATGTGGTTCCTACCGAAGAGAACCTTATTTTAAGGAACACCCGTCAAATTCAAGGAATCTGCTTGTTTGTGAGTAAGGATTTGTCTCATAGTGACTGAATCTCGGAGAGAAAAAGAGCATGAGGTCTAGGTCCTTGATTAGCAGCAGGAGAGAAAGACCTAAAAGTGGTGAGTATTTGCGTACGGAGGCTTCAGAAGAGAATGGGCCATGATAAGTGCCGTAATGTGAATAAAAAGTTCTGGAGTCGTCTGTCCTCCAGAAAAGGGTCTTAATCCTGATGTCAGTGCTAGCTGAAAATTTTCATAACTATTCACGATTTTTGGCACCAATGTGTTACCAAAACCTAGCATGGTTAACTTGTTCACTAATTACTAGCCGGTCCTAAGCCCGGGTGAAGAGGGAAGGTTGGGCATACGGATAGCAACTCTACCCCGTAAAACAAATCTAACCGCTAAACAAACTTCAAAGCACAGACAAAATATAAAAAACAAAGCAATATTATTCCTCGCTGGAATTGGAGAGGCGAAATGACACCAGCTGGTGAAAGCCTTCAGGAAGCCAAGTGGCCGGTGTGTCTTCTCTCTCTCCATGAAAGCGAAAGTAAACGTGGGGACATGGAATGTCCACACCATGTTTGAAGCTGACAGGCAAGGCTGCCCAGATTGCAAACGAGATGAGAAGGTATCACGTTGAAGTGTTAGGAATTTGCGAAAGCAGATGGAATGGAAATGGACTCTCCAAACTGTCAACTGGAGAGTCAATAATCTACTCCGATATTGTCACCCAAATGACAACCACGAGCACACTGAGTTTTTGAGTGACTAACATGATGTCCCCAACAGCATCGAAGGCTCTCATGCAGTGGGACCCAATCTGATCCAGGATCATGACAGCAAGATTCAACTCAAAAGGAAGAAAGGTCACAATCATTCAGTGCTATGCACCTACAAATGATGCAGATGAAGAGAAAAAGGAAGAATTCTACAGACAACTGCAATCAACACTGGACAAGACCTCAGTTGGTGATATCAAAATCTATTCTAATGGGTGGGTGACATGAATGCCAAACTGGGAGGGGACAACACAGGAAGAGAACTAACCATGGGTAGAGAAGCGCTAGGTGAGGTGATGGACGAGAATGGAGAATTGTTCGCAGAATTCTGTGCATCCAGCGATCTGGTGATTGGAGGCTAGGCACTGTGTTCAAGCACAAGGATATCCACAGAGCGACATGGATTACACCAGACACCAGGACACACTAAAATCAGATCGACTTTATCTCAATCTCAAGAAAATGGGGACGCAGTCTACTTAACACAAGGTCAAGAAGAGGAGCAGATGTGAGTTCAGACCACTCACTGTCTAGTGCAAGGAACCTTCCAAATCAATTTGAAAGCCTTCAAGGAAGCTGGTGGTAGACCACAGTTCAAGTACAACACCCGGAAACTGAAGCACGAAACTACAAAGGAAATCTTCACGCCAGCCATTAAGACAAAATGGGAGATATCAAGCAACATCCCTGAAGAAAACTTTGTGGAAGAACACTGGAAGTCTTTGAAAGAGGTGTGAAAAGAAACCTGTATAGCGGTATTAGGAAGGAAGAAGAAAGAAGATAGGGAGTGGAATGGATCTCGATGGACACATGGAAGCCGACAGAGCAAGGAGAGGAGGATGGTGAAGCAGAAGATAAACCAGTGCAAGGATGCACAACGACAAGAGGAACTGAGTACAGTGTATAAAACACTACACTAGACGAAGAAGTGAAGAAGAGTGCACGCAAAGACAAAAGACACTTCTACAACACATTGGCAAGTGGAGCAGAACAGGCTGTAGGTAAGAGAGACCTGACGACATTGCATCAAATAACCAGGTCACTATCTGGGAAGAGATCAACACAGATGAAACCAATAAAAGATGATGAAGGAAATTTAATTACGAAAGAAGAGAAACAAAGGAAACGATGGGCCGACCACCTCAAGAAGCTCTTGAATAGAACACCGTCACCACCTACACTTCTTCCACAAATACCACCTGCAGCCCAGCCACAGAACTACAAGTGAACACAAATCCTCCAACAAAAGTCGAAAACCTGAGTGCCATAGGGCTACTGAAATGTGGGAAAGCAGCAGGACCAGATGGAATCCCACCAGAAACACTGAGAGCAGAGGCAGAGACAACAGCGGACATGCAGAAGGTGTGGAAGGAAGGGAAGGTACCTGGCCATTGATTGCAAGAAGGGTTACCTTGTCAAACTCCCGGAGAAGGGTGACCTGGGCCTTTGCAAGAACTGGCGCGGAATCACTCTCCTGTCCACCCGAAGCAGGAAAACTATTAGGCTAAAGGATGCACTGGATTCAAAACTACCACCGAAACAGGCAGGCTGGATTAAGGAGGTACAAATCATGTGCGGACCAAATTGCAACGCCTTGCATCATCATAGAACAAAGTACAGATTTTCAGTCAACTCTCTACCTCAATTTCATCGACTTTGAGAAGGCCTTTGACAGCGTCGACAGAGAAGTAATTTGGAAACTGCTTCAATACTACGGAATACCGCAAACCTTTATCAGCCTCGTTCAACAACCACATGAGGACGCCACAAGCCACGTAATTTACAACGGGAAGCTCAGTGATGCTTTGAAGTGAAGACAGGAGTGAAACAAGGTTGCCTACTATCCTCCACGATATTCCTGACTGTGGTCGACTGGACTGGATCGTGAAACAAGCTGTGAGGAGCGAGAAGAGGGGGGTACGCTGGACTGCAGAAAACAACCTAGAAGACTTGGATTTCGCCAATGACTTGTGCCTGGTGTCACACAAACTTGAAGATCTGCAGGCAAAAACTAACAAGTTGACAGAAGAGGCAGGGCAGCGAAGACAGGACTTCAAGTGAATATAGAGAAGACAGAGGTGATGAAGATGTCCAACCAACAACACCGCCCACAACAACAAACTCCAATCACCGTCAACGGGAGAAACTTAAAGGAAGTAACCTCCTTCACCTATCTAGGAAGCACTGTTTCAACTACAGGCAGCGGCACAGACGAGGATGCCAAAGTCAGAATCGGAAAAGCAAGGTAGGCGTTTATTTGCCCGAAACCAGTGTGGAGATCTTCTGCACTTGGCATAAAGTGTGAACACGATCCGGATTTTGAAAACCAACGCCAAATCAGTGCTTCTGTATGGCTCAGAGACTCGGCTGGTTACGAAAGGGATTTCCAACAAACTACAGACGTTCATCAACAACTGCCTACGCTGGCTCGCTACTGAAGGCAAGATGGCCAGAAAGGATAAGTAACAAGGAACTCTGGGGACGAACCAACCAAGAATCCAGCGCTCAACAAATATGCAGAAGCAAGTGGGGATGGATTGGGCATACACTGAGGGGGCCGACTGGGGGCATCACGCGTCAGGCCAGTTGCTCGAGTGGAACCCCCATGGGAAGCGACGAGTTGGACGTCCGAGGGTGACATTGAGATCGTGCGAGGAAGAAATGAGAGCTTCTGGGCTGTCGTGTAGCCAGGCATTGGAGACGTGCTACTGAAGCCCTATGTTCCATTAGGAACCCAAGGGACAAATAATGATACCATGCACAGGTGGCTGTGCCATGCGTTATGGGAATGTCAGCTTGCCCGTCATACCTGTAGGAACAATCAAACGTAAAAGTAGAACTTGCGAAGTACTACGGTGCCAAATGAGATGCACAGAATGCAGTTGCGTTAGCCGTGAATGTGAGATGTTGAACTTCCTTCTTAAACAGGCTGACTGTGACCAAATATATGCAGAAGGAAACGTCTAGGTGACATCATTTGAATGAGATAGTTCGAAAACAGTGACCTCAAGTGTTTTAGCCGATCACTCGCTGATGGAAATATCGATTTCCCTGGCTTTCTTACAGTACATCATGGCTGTTCACTACTCCTGTCATCAACTAGGTACCTCCATCGGACACAACGTCAAGAGCCGACATACCGCTGCCCAACAGGGTAAACCCTATGGACATCGACTGCAGGTAAGTTAGTAAGTAAGTAGGTAGGTGAATGAGTACGTAAATGGTAAGCGAATGAGTAAGTAAGTGACAGGTTTCCCTAGATTTTTAGGAGTAAACGGAGCCAGATGAGCTGCTCTTAGGCCTGCTCAGAAGGCTTGCAGCCTAGGTAGATGTCCCATGGAGTACCATATTTAGACTCTCTTGGTTAATGGGAATTTTATCATGACCGGAAGAACGCTATAGTAACCCCAGCCCACAAGGTTTGAACGACGCCCATCAAATTACGCACCAGTAAGTCTGATTGGTATGGTAGCCGTCACGTCCATCTAGAAGGCGACACACTATTCCTACCTTCATAGCATGGATGTCACATACCTTTCTCTTGCTCCAAAAACCCGGAAGTCAGAAAAGTTTGGGTTATGCTCGATGATAATGCAGGGCGTGCAGATGTACCCAGTTTTTGTAACGTTTTGTGGCATAAGTTATGCGGGACATCTTGAACAAGAATAACATCATTTATTCCACTTAACGGCTCTTTACGATGGAGTGGTCTTCTGCAGCAAACGGAATAACCACACTTAGTAGTTCCGAAGAGATGTCGATGCAACGTCTTCAATATGTAAACCAAGCGTCCGATCCATGTGTACGAGCCACCATCAGGCTCACTGCCCAACGTTTCTGCTGGTTGGAAACGAACAAAGACGATAAACAGTAGGGGGTCATGTGTAGCTTGTCAAAAGTGTCGACGACAGGCGGAGAGCCCTTTAGGTTCCTTCCTAGCCCTAAACACGCGTTTTGACCACGTCCATATAGACATTACAGGACCTCTACCAGAATCTAATGGATGTACTCACCTATTCACCTCGTAGATAGTTTTGCGGGGTAGCGAGAAGCAGTGCCTATTAAGGATATTACCCCTAAAACTGTCGCTCGTGTTTTCGTCAAAAGGTGAACCAAAAAATTTTCAGTGTCCACTCTGTGTAACAACCGACTATGGCTTAATTTGAATGTGGGCTATTTCACATTTTAACTGCACTCTTGAATGGCACTGGGTTTTGAACGGCAGCCTACCACCCATAAGCAAATGGCATAGGAGAACCTTTCCATTGGCAGCTGGAAGTTTCCTATTCAGCCCCAAACATACCACAGTGGACCGAGGCCCCGGTTGTAGTCCTACTGAGCATTCGGAACTCATTGAAAGCTGATGATGGGTGGACGACTGCAGAACTCGTCCATGGGACTACTCTATGCCCACCAGTTGAGCTCGTTTCCCTTTCAACTCTCACAAATCCCTTTGACGGGAGGTTTTATGTGACTAGGCCTACAAACGCAGTGAGATCAGTTGCGTCTTCGACATCTAACAAGTGATATTTTCGTTCGCCCCGTTTCAAAAAGGATAACACGCATTTTCACCCTGCACGATGACGTTCATAGACCGCTCGAACCGCCCTACGACGGGCCGTTCAAAATCATCGGGCGGCAGGAAAAATCTTACATATTACCGCGAAACGGACGTGAAGATACTGCTGGTATTGGCCGCTTGGAACCAACTTTCTCCGAAGGTAACTTCATCATAAGCGAGGTTTCTGTTCACCATAGCCTACGGAGAGGCAGCCCAGTAATCGAATTTTTTGACGGCATGCCCGGTAATGCACGGATACAACAACCACCGGCATGGCAAAACCACTATCATGTCGAATCGTTAGGTTCCCGGATTATCGGAAGGCATACTCAGCTGAGTTGGGCGCGCGAAAATGTGCCAATTATTTTCAAAGTCCAAATTTTCCTTAGTCGTGGCACAGCTTCTACTTGGAGTGTGAAACTCCCTGAATTCTGTCTTTTTTGAACCACGAAGTCATGCTATTTCTATAAACAGAAATGGGTTGAGCATGAAATCGATTGTTGATGTGTTTTAAGTTCAAACCACCAGGGGCTACTTTATGCACCGAGCCCATCGAAGGAGCCTTACCATCAGTGAAACTACTGGGTTTTACCTCCGGCTGGTATTGTCTTGGGGCCCATGCGAACCCACTACGGAGGGAGTGATTTGTAGCGTCACACACTTCATCAGGATCGACAGCCTAGGATTCAGCATTTATGCTGACCTTCATAATTTCATCGGACTCGCCAAGCTGAAGGTACGCGGACAAGCATCCATGCCATTTAGCACGCTGTCGTGCCACGTTGCATTGCTCAAAGCCGACCCTCTAGCCAGCTGGTCGGGACGCATCGGTGTTTTGGCATGACCTTGCAAGTAAACCATCCCATCGGACTAACCAATTGTACTCTTCCTTGGTCTCCTATTCCGGTCATATCATAAGTACGAAAAACTTCTGATTAGCCTTTGCGTCCGTTAAGTTTGCACAAGGACAATTCCTAGAATAGCATGTCTGCCTGCACCCGTGTGGCGGCAAAATACTATCGGCCAGAAGATTAGTAGGTAAATATTTTGAATATCGAAATATTAGTTGAATTGTCTGTCATTGTGTGAATGTGTGCTCTTAGACTCGTATGGTTCCACCAATGGATCACGGCCATTTTATGTCCTGTTTGTGCGGGTAAGCAGCCAACATCCGGACTCCGTAGCGTAAACATCTGCAGCCCCAAAAGCCATCGATGTTTGCTCAAAATAATTTTTGACTGCTGGCCGATGGAAATATTACCCCCCCCCCGAACGTTTTATTACGCTCCAAGCACACGTTCTTATGTTTCTGCTTATATCAACACCTACGTGCAAACAAGGCAATGGCGGGGTTGATAGTGTAGCACAAAGACTCATAAAAACTAGTCAGGTGCCAAGTGATTGCAACAGAACCAGCTACTTCTATGTGCCCCCTTATCTACAGCAGATTAACTGAGAGTTCATTAACGGATGGTAGGACAAATCTAATTGGATGCTCTGCCAGTGGATGCCTTTGGAGCACAGGATAGTGCACGGGTAGGCGGTCTATGAAAGTATCTGCACGGTTTCCGTAAATTCAAAGTGCCGAAACAGTACGTTTGCTCCGATTCCAATTCATGCCACCATTGTACTTAAGGTTTCATGTACCTAAAGAAAGAAATGGACAGTGGTTAATCAATCTTCTTGGCTGCTCCAGAGAAACTATACAGAAATCAGAAGATCAATCAGGTAGACAAGCAACGTTTTTCAACCTATGCTGTGTCTTTAATATTTACTCTGCTGATTCGTTTGGTATTGATGTTCAGATTTTGGGCTTCATTTTGAAGATGGAAGGTTATTAGGCCAATATAATCCTTTTCTAGATCTTTCTGCTTGTCCAGCCCTCTTCTGAACGAGGCAATCGGTGACACAAGCAGCATATCTTCCGGTAGTCCAACCCAGGAGTTGTTTACTCGACACGAGAACCAGTACTCTACGGAGACCACATTTGTCCCTTGCCTTTCCGTTCTCTTGCTATGTCCTCTAAAGTATCCTAAACTAGCGGGAAGGTAACGAAAAGATAATGCAGGCCGAAAAACATTTAAAATTCTGCGTAGCATGTTTGGATTTCCTCTGTGTCTGCGACACCATAAGGAGAAGAGGTTCAGCCACGTAAGCTGATAATCGTAGGTCAGATCAGCCATCAAAAAGATCATATGAAAGGCAGCCTTCTGATTTTCTTCCAGCAAATCTGCGTCACCTCCCAGGTAAGCATTTGTGGTATGTGTAAAATTTTCCAGGTTGGACTCAGTTAAGAACATGTATAAGACGTGAAAATATCACCGCTTATTTTGTAGGCATTCTGCGCAACACCCAAAATGTCCGCAACTTCGAACTGCGACCAACTGACGGCGCACCGTGGTCCCCAAGTCATAACTTACCGTCACCTTCAAGTTGGTATGGATCAGTACTGGGGGACATCAGTCCCGCCGATATGATAGCTGTTGCCACTTGCATGCCCCATCTACGTGTTCATACATTTACCTGTGTTGGTAAGCACCAGATACCTATGTGACCAAGTAAACAAGCTGGGTAGGTCTTCCTGAAGTGCACGTACATCCCCACCATTCCTAATATTTCTCAGTGCTAGGCCATCATTAGCGTACAGAACCATAGGAGATTTCGTGATATTCGGCTGCCCATGTAGGTACCGGAGAAATTGCAAGAAATCTGGAACTGTGCCTTGCGGCAGTATACTCCGGACTAACTTCTGAAAAGGGGGTCTAGCAGTGATACCTACTTTTTGTCGCGTTTTGACAAAGAAATCTCTGATCCATGCAAGTGTGTTGCCAGCGATTCCGAAACTCTCCCGCCTACCGAACAACCTGGACTGAGGTAACTTATCGAGTTTCTTACAAAGATGCAGGAAAAAGAAGTCTAAAGGGATCTCACCAGCCTTAGAATCAACTCAAATTTCTTTTACTACAAGAAGTTCTGTCGGGTAAGAGTAACTTCTGTTAGAGGCACGTTGCGAAGAAGACAGTAGTGTAGCTATGTCGATCTGCTGAAATGTATTTCTCCATCACTCTTTCTAGGTTTTTTTTACAGCGGTAATAGTCGTGCTGATCCGTATGTAACTCGGTGGAAGCTGTCTAAAAGTTTTCTTGTGGATACGTGTGGATATGGTGTCCTTCAAGTCATCGGGCAGTAAGCATTTACTGAAGGATAATCTAAATATGATAGGCAATGGGCCTGCTACATACAGAGCCCTCTGAACAGCCTTGGGTGTAGCTCATCCAGTCCTGCTGATATTTCTACATCCACAATACTTAAGGTCTTGGATGCATCACTGCAATCAATTTACACAGAGTTTATTCTGTTGGTGATAGTGAACAAGAATGGCTGGGCTTCATGTTCTATGACAAGTGTCTTCACTACGTCTGAATCGCTTTTAAGCGCTAATGTATTGATCAACTACCCTAATGACGCCGGAATATACTGTATATTATCAAATCTGACAACCTCCCAACGGAAGTTGATTGTGTACAGTGTGTAAATTGAATGTGTGCGTTACAACTTTCAGTTTTGCCCGAATTAGAGAAAAATGCTGCGGCCTTGGCGATCCAGCTAGACACACTATTACAGTCACTAACATCAGCACTCAACCAGGTATTAAGTCTTGTTGTATTCAGGTTCTTTGTTAGTCTTGAGAACATAGGACACCATTTCTTCTGGGAGTCGGTTCCAGGCGTTGATTTCTCGATGCGAGAACCAGTACTCTGCGGAGACTATGTTTGTTCTTTGCTTCTGTAGTCCCCTACTATGTGCTCTAAGGTGTTCAGACCTAGTGGGAAGGAAAAGAGAAGATAGATCATTTCTTAGAACCCTGTATTGCACGATTAGGTCTCCCCTTTGTCTGCGATAGGACAAAGTGAAGAGGTTCAGCTCTTTAAATTGGTCACCATAGGTGAGGCCAGGTATCGCAGGGATCATAAGAGTGGCTTCCTTCCTAACTCTTTCTAGAAGGCATTCGTCATCTTTCAGACAAGGATTAGCCGTCTGTGTACATTTTTCTCTAATTTAGACCTAACCAAGGATGTGTATAAGATGATGAACATGTCACCGCTTATCTTCGTAAACGTTCTACGTAACACCCAGAGAGTTTTAAAACTCCGAGCTGCTACTAATCGACAGTGAGCCGTGGTTTTCTAGTCATAACTCACTGTGACCCCTTGGTCATTGTGGGTCAGTACTGACGGTAAAGGAGTCCCATCAATATCGTAGGTGTTGCTGTGTATGTGTGCCTCAAGTGCATGGTCACACATTTAAACGCACTAACAGGCATCAGCCACTTCTCTGACCAGGTAAACAAGTTGTTCAGGTCTGCCCGAAGCCCACGTATGTCCTCATCATTCCTAATTTCCAGCCAGTCAGAACCATAGGGGATTTCGTGATATTTGACAGCTCATTTGCGTTTAGGAGAAACAATAGGGGACTCAGGACTGTGCCTTGCTGCACTCCACTCTCTATCGACTTCCAAGTGGAGAGTTGAGAATCTATCATTACTCTCTGTCTCCTACCAACAAGAAAGTCTCATCCATGAGAGCAGACTACCAGTGATTCCAAAACTGTCCGGTTTCCCGAGCAACCTGGAATGAGGTACCTTGTCAAACACCTTACTAAAGTCTACGAAAATGACATTTACAGCTATCCTATTATCTTTAGACTTAACCCGGCTTTCTGTGACTATAAGAAGATTCGTCAAGCAAAGAGCGATGTCTACGAAAACCGTGCTGTGAACGAGACAATAGAGTATTGCCATCTTGGTGGACTCTGATGGCTTTCTTGATTACCCTTTCTAGGATTTTCACTACAGTACTAGTCAAACCTATCGGTTTGTGATTTGATGGAACCTGCCTTTGGATAGGTGTTACTATGGCATTCTCCCAGTCAGAGAATGGGGGGTGTCTTCACTGAGAGGCAGTTTGAATATAGTATTCAATGGGCTGGCTACATAGAGTACAGGCTCTCTAAACAGCCTTGGGTGCATCTCATCCCGTCCCATTGGTCCTTCCACGTCGAGATTACTTAGTATCCGAAATACATCATTGCTATCGATATCCACAGAGTTTCTTCTGTTGGATCTCAATGCTTCTACTGTTAAACAAGTGTCCACAGAAGATTCCTGTGTGAAGACCTCAGCAAAATATCCAGCCATGGCTTCTGTTTTTTCCCTATCGTCCTCAATTAAACAGACAGTTTCGGTCGCATTGATTAGGGCGGGTATACCACGACATATCTAATTTCTGCAGTTCATATAGGAAAATAACCTCTTCGGATGTTGCAATGCAGCTTGGACAAGACGTGTTTCAAAGCATATTCGAGACCGGCGTATAGCGGCGATACATTTGTTTCGGGCTTCTTTGTAATGCTTCACCACTCCGGATGTACCAAGGTAGGTGGCAAGACTTAAACACTTTTTCTTACGTCCCAGCAAAATTCGGATTTCGTGGTTTATCCACGGAGTACAGTGTTTCCGTCCCCTGGGGACAGTTCACAAAATGAACGGTTGGGTCACTCGAGCACCACGCACCTTCAACTGAGGCTTCTTCAGCTTATTCAGGAGGAAGTCTGCTGCCCCACATTCAGGGCTTCGACATATTACGGTTACGTTAACACCTTGTCCCTTGCATTTTAGTCGGCAGCGCAGCATTTCACATGTCCCACTTTCATGTGCAGCTGTTTCTATGGCTTTTACAGTTAAGGTATTCTTAACGTAAAGGATGACGCCACCACCTCTGTATGCTAACCTGTCACTTCTAAAAGGGTCTAGTCCTCGTAAGTTTGTTTCACAGTCACTAATCCAAGAAGAGAGCCAAGTTTCTGAGATAGCAATGATGTCAGGGCTTTCGTTGCTTATCACATTACTAAGTTCAGTCCACTTGTTTAAGAGACTACATGCATTTGTGTACAAGACAACGAAGCTACTTAAATGAGTTTCCGTCCTCTCCATAGAGGCTTTGGTATCATTTGTTGCTGATAGTTGTTTGTTGTTGATAGTTATCAAGAATTCCCCAGCTTCAGCTTTGAAAATCTTGCATCAGTCCTTAAGTATAAGCTTATGGCCGCCATCAGTTCTCGTTTGGGCGCTGCATTCCTACAGAGTAATGATAAAGAAGTCAAAACTATGCTCACTAAACATGCAAAAGTTGGTTTCACTGAACCGCTCTTAGCATGGTTTACAGAATATCTAGAGGACAGAAGGTTCCGTACTAAAGTAATAACAGAATTCGGCTAGTTTAGAGGAGTGCAAGAACAGGAGTTTCTCAAGGAGCGATCCTTGGACCACTCCTATTTTCACTATAAATAAATGACCTTCCCATTAAAATCTATTTGTTTGTCATTCTGTTTGCGGACATCAAAATATGGAGGACAGTAGGTAGGGCAGAGGATCCTAGGATACTCGAAGACGATCTTTTGCAACTGGAGTCCTGGTCACCTGTGAGTGGTTGAAGCTTTAACCTGGAGAAATGCAAGGTGCTGTATCTTCGCACACCAGAAGCTATGAAAACCAGCTACACCTTCACTAAGCGTGCAGTCACCAAGGTATCCACAGAAAAGAACCTAGGACTAAGCGTTTCTGACATACTGGACACTACTGACAACTATAAGGGAATGACAGCAAAGACAAACGCCATCATCATGCACTTTCTAAGAGGACAGCTTCAAGCACACCCCAGAATTACTCCTCATCGTATTTAAAACCTATGTTAGACCACACCTAGAGGTACTCAACACGACATCCCCTCACCAATAAAGAGAAACGCGAATACTCTCGAGATGGTACAGAAAAGAGCGATAAGGTCGGTTATCAGACCAACAGACAAAATATATGCGCAATGCCTCAGACAACTCAAGTTGTTCATATTAAGTTATCGAAGCAAACGAGGTGACCTAGTAACAGCCTACAGGATGATTCACCAATTAGACCACCCAAGTAAGTCAACATTATCACTCCAAAACGCAGTCTCGCTGGAACCCCACTAGCATACCCCACCATAGAGCAAAGATGAGGGTGAGATCAAACTTCTCACATAGTATGTGCCTTATGCAACGCTCTACCGAAGGAAGTAGACACAACTACATCAGTCTACGCCTTCAAACGACTACTGGGTAAGTACGCGAGCCCAAATGGCTTACCACAAATATTTGTCTGTAGCAACTGAAGACATGCTCATCTATCTCTGTATTCCTAATCCTAGTATCTACAATAAGACGCATCCTTTCTCCATTTTATTACCAGTGACATCTTCCCATAAGTACTTCCCACTCCTATTTCTATCATTCCCCCACCCTGTTTCTAGCACTTCTTAAGTGACGCTTAATACTTACTTGCAGGTGCTTGCAAAACAGGAATTACAAAATGTCAATTGATCTTATCAGCAGCCCCATTGTGCACCCCGCCCCTAGAAAAATACAAGCCCAGCTACAATTTGCAAGAAAAAATACCTTCAAATAGACAATCACTACCTCCAAAGCTATAAGCAGGAAAAACCTAAAGACTTCTTCAACCACCGAAGGAGTACAACCGAACGAAAAAAACCGAGCCTCAAGACCTAGAAGTGAGAGCTCAAAAACTAAAAGTTCCCTGTACTCGCACTATTGGTGTTGGATATTGTTAAACTGGCCACGGGGATTAAATAGCTAGCTATTTAATCTATTCTAGGGACCTTCTAGAACCACTCATGTCTATAAACGCCAGTGACCCACTGTTTGACTCTTGCGCATGTTGGCTATAGATCTTTCCAAATATTTCTGGGATCCTTTCAATGAATTTAATTTCAAGGCTCCCTGCGTTTAGTTAATAGTCTGTCCAACCTAGCAGCAGTTCCCTTGAATGCATTCACTGAAAGAGGTGCTACTACTTGTCTCAGTAATCAGTCTAGTCACTTGTAAGACTGTTACGTCACGCTTTGACTATGGGCCAGGCGGCTTCCGTGCAAACAATCCCAGAAGGAGTAATGAAATTAGATAAACCAGTATCTGAGTCACCATTCAAGGTAAGAAACACCGACATTAAGTGACTTATCATACGGTAAAACAAAGGAGGAAGGTTTGGCCTTGCTTGTCGTGCTTCATGGGCAAGGTAGGCAAGACCTGTCACCAACTTAGCGCCTACCTCACGGACCCTTTCTAGTATATTAGCACTATTTATGCAGAATAAACTGTCTTTCTCGGCGCATTTTCTAGGTAGGGTCTGAAATATATGCCGTGCGAAATGCTAAACATATTGTATTCAGAGCATACGGATGCACTGCGAATCAACCAAAGCATGTTAGACGTCTACGTTGCCGATCATTACAATTTGCCTCTGATTTTGACTAACTCACTATATCCTTAATTTCCTCTTCATAAAATCCCCCGATATTAGTAGTCTATTTATACAGTAACCTTCGGATTACTCACTCTGTGTGTTGTACCAAAACTGTACTGGAATTAATTTCCATGCTTTATTGCTTGAATCACTAAATCACTTCATCAATGTCAGCTTGTGGTGCAAACCTATCATCTTTACTAGAAGGCATCCTATGAAAGCTACAAGGGGAATCAGTTTGACGAACATTGTATCATAGATCCTACCGTCAGTAGTTATTCAAGACCTAGTCACCGATTGCCTCGTCACACAATGTTGGCTGAGGTGGGTTCAGGCTGGAAAAAGGCCCGAGGTGGCCAGACTAAAACATGGCACCAATGTATGAAGTCTCTGACTGTTGGTTTAAGCCATGTAGGACGATGCAGACTAGGTGGTTGGGGTCCACGGGACAAGAGGAACCAGTGGTTGGAGACCCTAGGTGATATGGCTCAGAACCGAAGTCAGTGGCGCAGATGTATACACACATTATCCTCATCTTAACAACGCTATACCGAATCTCACTATTTTGTCACTCCTCTTTCCTTTCTTCTCGTACTTTATATTTCTTTTGACTGCATTCACTTATCTTCATCCTTCACCTCACTACCTTTTTACTTGATGTGCTGATATGAGGTGTGGCAACTCTGACCGTTACGCAGTAATGCCTGGTCCTATGTTGATAATGATGATGATGATGAATAGAGTTCAAGAAACCCTAGGTGGGGTTCAGACGTAGAAGAAAGTGAATCGATCAAATCTTCACTCCTCAACTGGTTTTGGAATAGGCATACTTACCGACGGTCGACACTTGCCATATTTGAATTGAAAGCGTCATGTACATCTGTCGGTCGAGGGGTATTGTGACAATGTCTAACTGTATGGATTAAGTATGTGCCAATCACTGCTCTCCACTTGAACTCAAGCAACGATGTAACGGCTTATGGAGAGTTGTCATCTTAATTGACAACAACCAGTGGCAGCCACCAGTAATGACCTCCATCACCGTTCGCGTTGTGGACGTACTAACGGATATAACCCTCAGTATCTCTGACTTCACAAGGATGGACCTACTCCTTGGAGAGTACTTAGTTGGCTTGAAGTCCACAAACGACATCGTTATGTTAGGTGAAGAAAGTGACAAACTGCGGGGTCTTCTGAACACCTTGGGCCGAAATCTGAATAAGTTTGACATGTCTTCTACTCCTATCAAATTTAATTTGATCCCTCAAGGCTAGTGTGCACCGATTTCTAGTTTAGGGACAAATAGTTAGTTGGTTGAATGCGTGAATCACTTTGCTTACGTAGATAACTGCATCAGCTCGAGTGGGTTAGTGGCTAACGAAAGGTCTGTTCTTCAACTTACATAATTTTTGACATTACTGAAACATCCGACTACCTATTAAGGGACAAGTACACTGCTGTGCATTTCGTTCTGTCCTACTATGATGGAGCTGTATCATTGGAATAGGCAGCTGAATTTCGGCCAGTGGGCCACGGGCTTGAACAACGCTCCACCTACCGAGTTTTAGGCAGCTAGGTAATATCACTATCCCTCACACAATAGGTGTGGCCCGTTGCCTAGTGCATGAACGTGCACAAGGCTGCTGAGCACGTTTTTGTCCTGCTATACAATTGTGAGGTATGGCTATTGAAAGTGAAGATTACAGGTTTTTTTACCATGTGGATGAATAATTGTGTGAGCAATGTGGAGGTCATACGAAGGGTACGAGTCAAGAAAGGTAATTCAGTCTATTAGGTTGTGAACTTCCATTGCCGTGGCTTGTACATATGTTGCACACTCTGAGGCACCACCAACGTCGGCATGCGACGTTGGCTGAAGTAGGATTGGGTTAAAAAAAATACTCAGGGCGATCATACTAAGCTGTAGTACCAGCCTATGAATTCATCTACTGTCGGTCTGAGCAGTGGAAGGTGTAGGCTGTCTGGCTAGTGTCCTGGAGAGAATAGGAATTAATAGTTGAACTCTTGATGATGTGGTTCAAAATCAGATTTTTAGCGCAGATGTATACAATGTTTGTTTTCTTGGATGTCTTGAGTTTTTTCATTGATCTTCCTATATTTAATCTATATTCTCTTCAGTACTTTTGTCTACCTTAGTATGACTTTCTATCCACTTCTTGCTTCCATGCTGCTACGAAGTGTGGCAGTTTGACCAAATGCACTTTGCTCCCAGGCTCTGCGTTGATTAAGCTACTTGTCTGCCTCTCCAGGCAGTTAGCTCCTGTGCATTAAATCCCTTTATAGACCAGGTGTCTATCACTAGTACCTCGTTTCCGAAGGTAGTTTATCACGAAGTCATCAGCAAGGCGATTAGGACCTTGGGAAATTACTCATACTGTCACGGTATCTTATTTAAACTTGACTCCGAAACTAACGATTTCTCGCACCACAGCAATGCACTTCGTATTTAGTCTAGTGTATCCCCATATTATCCTGTATATATAGCATTACACCTCCTTACGACTACGTAACTGTATCCAGTTTAATATACACGTACCCTAGGTTAGTCGTAGTAATATCCACGTACCTAATTAGTTACATTTCATTGATTATTATTAAACTAGAATAAGAACACAGGGAAGTCCTCTTGATCAAACATTTTATTTGCTTATGAAACCTGTCTCAGCAGCACTAATCCAAAATTTTCAGATCCCTTCAATTTTTCTTTCAGAGCCTTCAGTTCAGCCTTAGCTTTCTGTTCATCGTGTCTCCTCATATCCAGTCAGGACGGATTCGTATATTTCTGTCTTTAAGCTTTTTCACATTCTTGTGGATAGCCCCTCGTTCTTCTGGAGTCCTTAACACCACTGTAACAAGACGCTGTGTATAAGAAACCGTATTTTCTTTTTTCCTCAAGTCTTATAACCGTAGAGTGTACTCCCATGGAAGACTATAGTAGGTGTTGTAGTCCCGGTCGAACAAGGTTCAAGTTATGACCGTGTTGTTTGGATGCACCAAAGTCTTTTTGCCCTTCTACATTTCTCAAGTTCTCACTGCATTTTGTATCTGTAACTTTGGATACCGTACATAATAATAATAATAATAATAATAATAATAATAATAATAATAATAATAATAGTAATAATAATAATGATTTGCAGCCGCCATAACGGAAGGCCTCAGCAGAAGCAAAACAGTTGGAAAGTGATTGGTTGCCCCCTTGAAAATCCTTTATCGCTTTGCACACCTACATAATTTTCAGTAAGGGTAAGGTCGGATTTATATAATCCTGTAAATACTCTGAATAAAACGGGAGGAGTGTGGAGTAACTGTTAATTCGAATGTTTTCAACCTTTCTGTTGGGTTATATATATATATATAAATATATAAATATATATATATATATATATATATATATATATATATATATATCAACCAATGTCTTACGCCAGGCAGTGCTATAATGACTCTTATGATCAAAACCTGTGAACTCATGTCCTACACTTTAAATTACCTCGTCTGATAAAGGTAGCTGACTACTGTGACTAACATATTAATTTTCACAACATACCATACTCCAGTTTTAACTGTGATTTAGCATAGTTAAAAACGAATCGCAACCGAATTTTTACGTTCGCTAACTGTAGAAAATGCGAACTACTGTCTTGGCCTTAATCATCTTTATCTTCTGGGAAATATTTTATCTCTTCCTGCTCTACTTTATGCTTTGTATTGTCTTGTTGTAGCCAAAATTATATACCAGTGACATAATTTAGCGGTTTTATTGTACACAGATGTCGAGCCTTACGTTGGACTGTACAACCGTATTTTCAAATTCTGTGGATTATACCTGTGAAACTATCAGCGCATGTATAAAGGTTAGTAGACCAACTAGTATTTTACTCCTTTTAATAGTTTAAGAAGTTACTATTTCAATCTATCTGAGATTATCTATTATTATTTTTATGTTAATTATTGCTGTTTCTCGAAAGTGCTTCAATTACTAAGCAAAACACATTTTTACAGTGTTTCGCCATCACTTGACACTCATTTTACTTTGAAGTACATTCGTGCAACATCATATTAAATGGATGTATAATCATTTGCTTAGTTGTAGCATAAATGCAATCTAACTCAATAACCATGTTCAGGTTTGTGTACTAACCAGTTTCCCACATCCAATGCGTAACAACTAGTGATTTTACCTTATTTTTCTAGACCGCGGTAGATGGAGTAAAATTTGAATCCACGACCCAATAGCCTGAAGTTAGATACTTAAACTGAGTAGTGTAATTGAAGTAATTGGTTTTAAATTTCCACAGTATGTTTTAGATTTTGTTGTCTTTATGAACATTGGCCTGCAATATGAAGTCACTAGAAAGTACCCTTGGTAAATAAGTTGTTAATATTTCTGAATCCGTACTTCTATAAAATAAACAGCAATGAGGTATGATTTTTAAGAAAGCAACTACTTTTTGGTAGCACTCTAACCCTTCATTCCCACTATAAGACTGTTCTACTTTTGTCTGGTATGAAATACTAACAACGAATGGGTGCATCAATTGCGCGAAAGGTGTGTTCATCTTCCCAACCTTTCAATTCATTGAACAGCACACAGAAAATTATCAGGGAATATAAGTGAAATAGGAAAGCGTTGACCTAATATGTTAAACACATAAAAAGTAAGTGAATCATACCACGGCCGTGTCAACGATTCTCAATCATATTGTTGACTGCTTCCATAGTGCTTAGAAAAAAGGTTTTCTCAAAATTTGTACAGTTCCAGCGTTGAAACCCGAAAACAACGATACTCGCTAAGTTACCTTGTGCTTTTTTATGCAGTAACCAATGAGCCATACCTTTTGGATCCGGGCTGTTGGTAATATTTGTTCGCTCAGACCTCAGTAGGTGGAGTGTTGTTTGAACCGTTGACCCATTGGTTGAAAGTTATCTGCCTAGTCCAAGGAACCACAACTCCTACCGTTGAAATATTCTATTCCTCGTTATTATTTCTTGATTTGACACTTGAAATATTTACCGTTGGTTTACCCACTCAGAAATATGGGTGTAAAGTAGTTAAATACCTAGTGTGAGTAAAACACTACTGGATCACCTCAGTTAAAAGTTGACCATCTCAAACTGCTTATCTGGTTTGTCTGGTACTATAATCTCAATGTCTGAATTAACTACTTAGTAGTTCTTTCAAAGAATATATTTTATCGGATCCCAGCATGCTTAGAGAATCAAAGCAAGATTTTATTGAATGTTTCACTGTGTAAACCGCATCTTTTTCAGCAGAAGTAATTGGATTTCATTAAAAGCCAAAATATTAAATATCACAATAAATGTACTTGGTCATGGTTATTCATCGATCGAACGAATATGGGCGAGGTTCGGAAGAAAGTGGACATCAGACAGCAGCAATTCGGTACATTGAACCAAACAGTCACTTCCTGTCTGCAAGATGGAGCTGGGTACACAGTCGACTTGTAATTAGTAGACTTTTCAGTCTCTTGTATATACGTAACTGAGGCTTGTGGTCGACGTTGTCACCAACCCACTGATAAATATAATAACATGCTTCATGGAAAACCCGCACTTAATGGGACAAATTACAAACATTTCGGGACAACTGTATATCGAACAAAAATAAAATTTTTGTCCATATAATTACTTGGTTGGATGTCTTCTTCTCGATTTACTGGATTACGACAATCATACCATACCAGAAGAGGCAGCGAAGAAGGTACTTCAGGTGAACGTAGACAGAGGTGATGAAGATACCCAACCAACAACAGCGTGAACAACAAGCACCAATCACCATCAATGGGAGAAATCTGAAGGAAGCAGTCCCTTTCACCTACCTACCTACCTACCTACCTACCTACCTACCTACCTACCTACCTACCTACCTACCTACCTACCTAGGCAGCATCGTTTCAACTACAGGCGACACAGGCACAGATGAGGACGTCAAAACCGGGATCGGAAAAGCAAGACAGGCCTCCACTCATCTCAAGTCAGTGTGAAGATCTACTGCACTGCACTGCACTGCACTCAGCATAAAGCACAAACAAGATACAGATTTTCAAGACTACTGTCAGTCAAGTCAATGCTTCTGTGTGATGGTTGAGAGACTTGGAGCGTTACGAAAAGCATTTCCAACAAACTCGAGACATACATCAACAGCTGCCGCCTACGCTCACTCGTTACTCAAGATCAGATGGACAGAATAATAAGAATAAGCAACAAGGAACTCACTCTCACTGGCAACGAACCAACGAAGCGAGAACCCATCACCCAACAAATATGCAGAGGAGAGTGGAGATGAATTGGATTGGATTGGACTGGACTGGAGATAGACTGAGAAGACCGTTTGGGGACATCTCACGCCAGACCATGTCCTCGAGTGGAACCCAAATGGGAAACGACGAGTTGGGCTTCCGAGACGAGGGTGACATGGAGGAGATGGTGTGAGGAAGAAATGAGAGCTTTTTCGGCAGTCGTTGATCCAGGTTGATAAGACTGCAGAGAAGAGAGTGAAATGGCGAGGTGCTACTGAAGCCTCATGTCCCACTAGGAACCCAAGGGACAAATAGTAATTTAATGATAATAATATGACACCACTCGCTATTTTCTCTCTCTACCACTTTAGCTTTTCATGTCGTCAAGCACAGAGAGACGAAAAGCAATATTAATGCAGAACGTGGATCATTATGTGATGGCCCAAATTTTCACATCACTACATAACAGTAAGAAGTAATGAGGGCGAAAATGGAGAAATAAAAATGTGATGTAAAGTTTTCGAAGGACATAAGACAAAAAGAGGAAGGATTAAAGCAAATAGCGAAATGTAAGACTGCAGTTAAAATGAACATAAAGTGTTTGCATATCTGTTTCATTGAGAGCGTTTCTACACCACATCACTAAGAGTCCTCAATCACTGATTCGTAACAACTTGAGGACTCCGACCTGGTAGCGCATACAGCGTATATTATTTGACAGATTTTATAGATTGGTGTTACATCAAAAGAGGACAAGAAAAAATAAGAGAAAAGGTAAATTTGTTTTCACAATTAAGATGGCCTTAACATGTGGATGCATTTGCGCCAACATCGATTCTTTGTCATGTCACCTAGTCTCCAGCCACTAGTTTCCGTTGTTAAGCGGACCTGAGTCAGGGAGTCTGCATACCCCTAGACGGATCAAACCAACAGTTAAAGACTTCACTCAGTGATGCCATTTTTTGGTCAGGTCTCCCAACCTTTTCCCAGTCTAAACCTAATTTAGCTAACATTGCGCTATGAGGCAGACGGTGACTAGTCCTGCGTAACACATGTTCCAGCTGACTAAGCTGATGAAGGTTCCCGACCTTATCAGCTGACCTTCCTCTCCCCCCTAAAACTTTCTACTTAGTTTCTGCATTACAAATGTGGTGATACCATCAAAAACGGTCTGTGCTACAAAAGCAACGGTTGTCGAACACCTGAAGCCTTCTTATATCCTTTACCTTTAATGGCCATTTTTCATTCATAGCAGGAGAGAGCGATCTGCAGTGCAGTACAGTTGACCCTTTATAGACAATTGGATGTGACGGTGTCGCCATAAGTGACGCCTTCGCTATCCAACACTCTTCACAGTTATTGCGTAGACATTTTTTCACCCCAAATTTGAGTTGCTTCTGCTTCTCATTGTGCTTGGAGCATGCAGGAATGCGTCCACTTGCATCCATTAACTCAGAAGATGCTATTGATATCCGTTGGCCATTTCTAACCACTTTCTGAGAATTGGCTGCAGTCTTCAACGCTGCTTCTATAGCAGATTGGAAATGGCACTAGACTTCTTCTGGACGAGTGATGTTGTCCTATACCACTAACTAGTTCATTGGCAAAAGCCTCCTTAGTGCTCTAATTTTCGAGCTGAACTGGCAATGATATTGTTGCTATAGTTTTTTTACGTCCACTCAGGTGCAGATATACATGTGCTCGAACAGAAGCGTGATCGCTGTCCATGCGTGTGATTCAGGAAGAACAGCAATCTTCCACTGGCCCTCTCCAGCGATAACTATGTGTACACCGTCGAGTTGAGGACGGTGGACTCCACGTGAAATAGTGTCACTCTTTATGTCTAAAGTTCGTGTTGTTCAGAAGAATATCGCTGTCTGAGCACAGTTGTAGCAAGTGATCGCCATTATCTCTATGTTCGACTGGGAATCCGAAATTGCCATCTGAGCGCCTTTCTGTCTGACTTAGCCTACCTATTTGTGCATTGAAATCACCTGCTAGAACAGTGACGTCTACACTTTCTGATTTCACTGGTAGGCTAGATAGTTTTGAGTAGAACTCGTCATTCGCTCCTTCCGAACCGAAGTCAGTGGATGGGTAGGCAGAGATTACGAAGAGACAATGGCAAGTTTCACTATTATTTTATTCCTCATTGTGCTATTCATTTTAACAGCGCATAGAAGACTGTTAAGTGGGATGCAGTTGAGCAGTGAACTTTCTACCTTAACACTTGATGTTATACCTACACCTACACGATGGCGATAACTAACCATCGAATCTTGATAGGCGAATTGTGTTTACTCACCACATTGACCGAATGAAGTTAAGTGACTAAACGCCCTTGTGCCTTGTGTGCTTATCTCGCGGTGACCGCACGCATCCTGACTCGAGTTGTTAAAGTCTTGTCCAGTGAATCGTTTTTGACCACTTTGTCGGAGGGAAACTACATTAAGAGCTCCAATGTGTAGTGTTGAGTGCGGTTTCAGAAAAACCAAGGTTTTTGTTCTATGAAGTCAGGTCGTTGTCGAGAACTGCATAGATGAAATAAATTAAAGATGATATAGCAGTATTGACCGGGAGACATGAAGAAAGATCAGAAGGTTAGGACGTTGAAGGTTGACAGTGATCTGATGGAACTTGAGTGCTAACAGAGTCTTGAGGGCGTTTGATATTTTTCAACTGCCGACATCGTAAAAGGCTAGATCTTTATTAGGTTTCTGAAAAAGAAGGTTTGTTATGTGACCACATAGCTCAAGGAACTTCTGCTTGATGTTGGTCACACAACATTTCAAAAAGTTTGAAATTGAAGCTAGCTAATTTTGACTACAACTATTAACCCATATCGCCGGTTCCGTTATGCTGTGGGGTAGGTGGGGGTATAATATTTTTAGTGTCGATCTTTTCTAATCCTCCTTTCTTTAGGAAAGATAGCGTCAGCATGAAATTGCTGATCATCCAAAGGGAGCATCTTACTGCTGTCCCCTCCCATATCTAACCAGCTATACGATGTTGCCTTTGGTCTCCCACAAATAGAGTAGAAATTTAAACTATACAGGTAGATACTTTTCGTCTAACTACCATCCAACAGACCTTTCTGGTATGGTGGGATGTCGAGGGAACGAGCGTTGGTCATTGTGTTGCATAAGGCTAACGACCATGCCAAGGTAGCAGCTATTTGGTGAGAACGTTTTAAAGCCAATTATTATGGCGATTTTACGGCATTCCATTTTGTCAAGCATTTTATATGTTTCGGGAAATAAATAGGAAGGGGTAATCGTGGCATGTATTTAAAGTTAGTTGAGCATATGCCTGAGTAACTTCAAAAACGAATAACCTCGAGTAATACGATAATTGTGGGTGATAAGCATCCATCTTCATCTGTCGTCAAACGCTCATTTGAGTCCTTGATATTGGATTTACACTGACACAATCTTTAATATATTTTGTAAGGGGTTAGAGACGTGCTCAAATTTTCTCAATCTCTTGCCATCCATAAATTTAAACCCTCTTTATGTATTCAAGAACAATTTGTGCTCACACCTAACCTGTCTTATTAGTATTCATTTCACTTTTTGCATAAAAGTTGCTGTGGTTCAAATTCTTATTTTCTTTCCACCTTAATTTTCCTACTGCCTTAATTGACCTGTTTTGAATTATTATACAAATAATTGGACAAGTTAAAATATGACCAGATTGTTTGAAATGTATGACGCTCTTGCTTCACATGTTTTAGAGAGTTTTCATCTTGTCATTACACTGTCTGAACCTTTTGATTTGAATCATTTTCTATGCCTTAAATACCTCATTTTTCTTTCGATAATTTGCTGTTTTTTCCGCTTAGTCTACTTACGTCCTAATGGCCAAGTGCGAAGAATTATCTAGATCGATGTCTCAGCTTGAACCTTTGAAAAAAGAAGTGTAAGTTAAATTACATAAGAATCAGTTAAAGATATTTAGGTTGTATGTTTTCCTCCCAGTTCTGTTATTACTGACGATTTACTACATACTGGTATGTGCGTAGAGGTTAAAATCCATGCAGACCGAGTAACTGATAAAGCTGAAAGTCTGCATCAACTAAGATGGGTAGGAATTAAGCTGAGGATGCTAAGTCACTAATTATCTCAACATACAGTACTGATTAAGATATGAATATATTCGATAAAAAGTTTATAACAATATCGGACGTGATGCAATCGCATATTGGATCAGGTTTCTATACTTCACTTTAGCACAGCTAGAGAACTTCAGCCAAAAAGTGGATAAACAACTGAAACTGAAGGTATCACAACTAACACAAAATTCAAAAAAAAACACTTAAAGGGACAAGATGTATATAATGACTTTTTGAGGTGTCTGTGTATGTGTGCATGCATCTACAACACCATTACAATCGATTTTAGGGCATATTGCTCACATTTTTTAAATATCAACCTTGGTTATCCCGTAAACGAAACCCACTCATCAATCTTGTGGATATTTGTGCAGTAGGCAATGACCTACACCTATCGCTTGAAGGCTGATTATATTACCTAGTTGTCCAAACCTCGTTACGTGGAGCTGAGTTCGAACCCACGACCCATCGGTTGGAAATCAAATGCTCCCCGAGACCATAGGAATCAATGGTTGCAAACTCTTGTTGACCTGGCTGAAGATGAATCACAATGGCGCAGGTGTATTTATTCTTTGACATCTAAAGTTTGGATATTTTCACCTACCTTTATATTCATATTGTTTCTCCTCCCATACAATTTTATACACTTTGATATCAGTCTTCTTCTATCCGTTTTTTGTTTATATGGTGTCATGAAGTGTGCCAAATCTAACCGATGCACTTCTGTACGATATTCTACGTTGATTTTGTCTGTCTTTGTCTTATTCTGTAAATCCCGTCCAAGAAGCTGTCATTTCCTCCAATATGGCTCACCCAACTAGTGGTATTATTAGGTGGGTGTGATGTTTTGATCTGTTTTCTTTACTAATAATGATATGATTGAAATTTATCAGTTTAGATGACCAGAAAACCAACGTGATTAAAATAGTCTTTAAATTCGTATGGCATGCGTATACAGAGCGCAAGAACTGTAAATGTGAAGAAATAAAACAGCCTCTAAGCTTTAGTGGAAATGTATTGATCAAATCTCCTTTAATTATAAGATCCTGAAAGAGATATACTTAACAATTATGCAACTTGGCATTCATTTACCTAACAGTAGTACTTTATTCAGTCGACTATTAATGTTGCGTTAATATCTTACTTTACGGGGCGTATAGAAATTTAAAAACCAGTAGTGTGTACATAGAATATTCAATGTTTTCATTTCTATTCAATTTGAGGTGTAGCTCGTTAACTTAAGAATTTGACTTTCAAGTTATTGGTTTTGGGTCCGAACCTCGCCCCACTTACTTAATTTGTCAGGAATAGGTCTGTTACACAGATATCCTGTAATAAGGTGTGTAGGATTTTAAGGTAAATAAATGATAGCTTCATCTACACTGTTATCACAGATCTTTAATAACTTTCGCTCAAGGTTACCAACCACTGACATATACCTTTTTCAAGGCTTCTGTTGAAAAGCCTATAGTTTTCTTCATGAATCAAACAAATAGTCAACAAATTCATGGATTGTTTCCAAATTCCTATCGTATCACCCTGTAACTTACCTGTGCTTCTGCCAATAACTGTCATGTAGGTTTGCGAAATTAACATGTTCCAATAATCCCATTCAGCTCAAACCTGAAGCCTATAAACTTAAAAATGTAATTTAACTGGGTACCCATCTATTTTCTAGACCATAAGCCACACTTATTATGTAAAGGCTAGAAGCATTTCTCGGTTCCTCCAGTCGATGCAGATGAGGTGTGGTTTAAACCGGGAACCCAAAGCTTAAAAGTCTTGTGCAAGCTAATGAGTCTAATCTATCAGTATAGCGTCATACCAATTAAAACCATATAGGGAGGCATTGCTCATTGAGTGTTATCAGCGCATAGACTGGAACTGGATGCATAGATCGTTCAATTTTTGCCAGATTCAGCACAGAACACTTCATGAACCTAAAGTGTGACGTAAGTATATAAAATAATGTTTCAGAGTAAATTAATAGTAATGATGTCAATTAATTCCAGACTATATTTATTTTATTTTAGTCTGTTTGTTAGAAATTTCAAACAGTTAAGCAGCGTCATTTACTGGATAACGTTTCGGATATAATTTATTGCCCATATTCTTATCATATAACTCCACAACTTTGAGATATGGTTCATATGGTTTTTATCTCTCATTTTCTGTGATCAGGGCAGTAGAATTTTTTATATATCTGGGACGGATGTAGAATCATTTCTGTTGCATGTATTTGTTATTGACTCGGTCAACAAAGATTCGGTTGTCAATCCCTCCTTCCACCCAAGTAAGTTAGCCTCTAATACAGTTCCTCTATCCCACTCCATTGTGTGGTTGTGTATAATTGCGTGCAGAGCAATAGCCGAGCTTTTTTCTAAATTTCTTATCTTATAAGGATCTACTAACCTTGATTTAGCTAGGTTTTTGTTCTCTTCTATTCTAATCGACCCTGGTTGACTACTTTGACCCATCTATTTAACCTCACAATCATTGCGAGGGATTTGGTAAAGTAAATTATTTCGCTTAATTGGATCTATAGGATCTTTTAACCTACAACCCCTGTTTCTAAGCGAGTTTTTTGGTTTAAACGCCACTCTAATACCAGCCTTATTGAATATCCTTCGTTACACTTCTGAGATACTTTTTGTATGGTAACGCAGTGGAAGCTTTGAATATGACCAATTAATTACATCTGAAACGTTATCCAGTAAATGATACTGTTTCACTGTGTGACATTTCTAATAAACAGACCAAAATAGAATTGTAATATATCACAGTACCCAAGGTACTTTTTTATTGGGTTCTGTAGAAAAACAGATTTATTTAGGGGGATCCTATTGTAAATGAATCATAATATTGTAGTCTTTTATTAGTTTCCTTCGAAAATCAAATTTTTAAAGGCTTTTGTGTAAAGCTTACTAGTGCTAATGAATTCGATGTGTTACATTTATTTTTTCTTAGAGAAAGTTTGAAACGGACTCTCAGCAAATTTGAAGATGCATTGTATACACCTTCGAAATCATGAAAATCCACATACAAAATCCAACGTTGTCATCCATACTTCTTTTGCTATTTTATGACTAATTTCAAATATAAAAAGTTTGTCATTCTCTTTTGTAACACTTCTAATTTGTTCTCCAACATACTGTGATGGTGATCTTAAGTTGAGCCTATTATTGTGTCGTATCAATTAAACTAATCTTATATGGAATTACACTCTATCATAATGCTCAAGTTGTTCAGTTATATGATGTGCAAACTTCTGGGTTAGCTGGCAGTGCAATTCAGTAGCGGTGTACGGATTTGTGTACTAGGTGATTAGCCCCAGGCCTATTTCAAGCTGGCGGTGATACCATTCTAGTGTCTGAACCTCGACAGCTGAAGCTGTATTTGAACCTGCGACGCCAACTGGTTGAGAATTGAATATCTAATTTGATTAACTACATTCCATTCTCTGAGATATCGTTTGTACATAGGATGACTTTTAATCATATTTATGTTCTTAAACATTTTGTCTTTTACTTTATCGAACAATGATATACCTTCCAGTTGGCATTTCCTTTGGTAATTATTTGGTGTTCCATGTCCGTGGATAATCAACATTTAAGTAAAACATTTCAGTATTCGGTTTATTTGCGAATTATCAACTGGTAAAATTCCATTTCAGTACATATTTTAACTTTTCGTTTGTTTTGCTGTTACAATAAACCTATCTGTTTCATCCTTTGTCTTTAGACTTTCAGTTTTCAATGTGTATTATTTTCCATTGCATTGAAGATAATATCGTACTCTGTTTGATGCTAGTTAACGAAAGATTCAAAGAATGATATTAATATGCTGTCCCAGTAATAGGAATAAAGATAAATTTCAAGACGGAATGGCCGAAACCTACCTTACATCAAGTTACCATATTTACTCAGGAGGTCTAGAAAGCGCAAGTTGCGGTAACTGTTAAGGGACTGGTTGATTTTTAACCATTTAAATCACTACGATCTGGGGGCTTAATGCTTTAGATAGAAACAAATAAATCATAATCGCTAGCAGTAGTATTTGTGCACTTACCCTGCTCGGTTGTCGAAGTGAGAATACAAATAAACCAAAAGTTCAATCATTGGACATTTGCCGAGCTCTGGATATATAACTCCACCAGAGTCCTCCCTCATTGTGATTTACAGAATCAAAGGAAATAAGTTAAAAGGAGTAAGTGTAGTGATCGAGTGAATAATCATGAATATGCGAACGATATTGCGACCAGACACTTGGACTGGATACGAATAGTGGCTGTTCTCCCTCAGTATCTTATTCTTCACCGAGCCGCGAAAATCATAAGGCAAAGACCGGCTTGTGACTGTTACGAAGACACTTTGTTCAACTTTATTAATATGCAGCTTTCTTGAACACAGAACTACTTGGTAAAAAGCTAAATACTTATTTTGAATAGTCAACTGTAGGATGAATTGTCCAATAAGGTTCTTCTTGATCACAGTAACAAGCAAAGATTGAAACACAAACTACCTTAGTAACTGATGTCGTAAAATGTTGATTCCAATTTACACTGCCTTCTATCAGAAAGTTTTCGAAACATCGTTGCAGAAGCACTGGCAATTCATCAATCCAAGCCTAATCTCTGTGCGTTAAAGAAGTATTTTCAGTCTCTTACCTTACTATCGTTTCAATAATTCCATATGCTTCTTTTCGATTTCACAGTAACTCATTGGTTTCCTATTATCACCTTCATTATGACCCTTGTTTCTTTCTTCACCTTCTTTACAATCATCAAGTGGACACTCAATCATCAATAGTCTTTACCTTGTCAAACTCCTTACCTTTCTCCTTATTTATATTGACTAAGAGATTATTACACAACTCCTTTCCATTCTCCGATTCTGTTTTAATACTAGTCTATTGATTCAACTATATCCTGTCGCTCAATAATAGAATGCTATACTTTGGGGATATATATAAATACGATTGCACAAATTTAGAATGTGACAGTATCGAAAAAGAAAATTTTCTCTTCTCTTCTTTGCAACTCAAAGGGCATCTTTCGTCGTACAAATGCGCAACTGGCATCACAAAAAATGAGTCGACTGGTATCCTGGAAACATATCTGCTTTTTATGCAACTCTATAGTAAGTACTTGGAACTCATCAGTATGCTGTAGTGGCATGGGTAATCACTGATTAGAAAAGAAGACTATATAAGTGTTATACCCAAGCAAAAATCCAACTTCGGTTCTCTTAGTCTTATGCTGAAATAGTCTAACCTGTTAAACTGGCCTCAAATTGAGTTTCTGATTCACTAAGCTGGAGATGACTGGAACAAGATGAGAACTCTTATAATATTTATTAGCGAATGTGCACCTGTGTTTTCACCAATAATACGGTCTACATGATTGCTGAGTTTCATCAGATAATGAAAAACTAACAAAAGGCGATTCCTCGAAGAAAACCTTTTTTTTCAACGAATTGTTTTCAAGATCTGTACAAACGTAATTATAGCTACAACAAAATATAAGTACGTCTATATCTAATGAGTCAATAGGTCATCAAATATCGTCATTAGTCACAAAGTGATTGTGCCTAGAAGGTCAACACAAAGCCATTAAAATTTAGTTTATGGGATTAGAATAAATAAGTAGATAAACTGTCTCAGAGAGACTTTGATCAGAGTAAAGTTACAGATTGGATGTCTCTTTTAAATGTGGAGATCAGGCTTAAACTGATGGATTGCCAAGTTTATCAATGAATATTGGATTCAAGTGACATACTTCATATTGAAGTTAGTGCTGATGTCGTCCAGAAAGACAATGAAAGCTTCACGATTAAACAACCCAGCTCAGAGAACACAAGACATACTCAAGAACTGAGCAATAAGGAAGACATTTTCCGCCCAACTTCGGATTGTTTTCTCTAGTCAACAAGCGATTTGAGAGTGTGTACAGAATATACCACTGCTATGAGTCACCTCCATGTCTGTGCACTAATTTATCTTCTGTTGTGAACCTGGTTACATAGGCCTCACAAAGCATATCCTATGCAAACGCTGTTCTGCATGGCTGTCTATAGAAGAGTATAAAGTGATTAACAGCTCGGTTCTTGAGCATTTGCTTAACTCTGCTGCACGCAAATCTTCCTCCAAAGTTATTCATAAAGCCAAATCAAACATTTCGAAGTGAGTGCAAATTCGCCACTTGAACACAGTGGAAGCCTTCGCAATTCATCGGTTCAAACCTGATCTCTGGGTTCAAGAGATATGTTCAGTCTAATTTTACCTTCGTAATATTCTTAAGACATTTTATTTATTTATTTATTTATTCTAATCCCATAAACTAAATTTTAATGGCTTTGTGTTGACCTTCTAGGCACAATCACTTTGTGACTAATGACGATTTTTGATGACCTATTGACTCATTAGATATAGACGTACTTATATTTTGTTGTAGCTATAATTACGTTTGTACAGATCTTGAAAACAATTCGTTGAAAAAACGGTTTTCTTTGTAGAGTTGCCTTTTGTTAATTATTGACTTTGTTCCCTTAAGTAACAGTATTCTTTACTGGTCTTTGAAGAGATTTTCTCAGTCATATTTTCATACTTGGAGTCAAATCTGTCCAAAGAGCTCATCATTTTTCTGTCCTCGTGTAAGAGTTTGATTCATCTTTGAAGAATAAGCCATTCTTTACAGAAGTTAAGATAGATTAACGATAACTACAATAAAAAAACTGAAAGAAAAAATGTGGTCAATGTTTTGAACACAACAGACTATTATTACATGAATCATAAAAATGTATAAAAAATCTTTCAGTAAGCATAATCCAACTGATTTAGCCAGTAAACCTGAATAGGGACAAAAAACTTGTAAAAATGTCCACTGATAAACTTTAGAAACATTCAGTTATCTGCATTCCTCAACCAATGTACACTAGAATAATCCGCGGTCAAGTGCTTACCACCTTCGATGCGATAACATGAATATGAATAGCAGAATATAAGAGCATTTAATTATCTTCAGACAATGATAATATTATGCAGTATTATTACATACGAATTGACGTTATATATATATATATATATATATATATATATATATATATATATATATATATATATATATATATATATATATATATATAAGTACCTTTATTTCTACTTATTCAATGATAAATCCACAGATTTTAAGGTCATTCAACTCCTATTGATCATGGTGGCCAGCAGAGGAGTCCACAATGCGCGTTCGGTCCTATTTGGGACTCGTCAGCCGGATGTACCTGCACCCCAGAGAGTGATTTGTTCTCATTGAGGCTCAAACCTAGTACCTGTCATTTCAAACGCCAGAGTGTTATCCACTAAGCCACTGGGGCGTAATAGCCATCGCTTGTGAAATGGGTATCAGTTGTTGTAATGATACTTATAATTTTCCGTTGCTATACAGGGTAGAATTGCTTGACTTATGTTGGAAGATGGACTCATCATTAGCTGTTATATTATTTCCTTGTCCAAACAAGCCTCTTTTAGTCTACCAAGAATGAAAATGATTGTGTGCTGGTTTAAAATTGAGTTTCATCTAAAAGCTCATGGCTCTATACATACAAGTTTACGATCTAAAGCAATAAGTGCATCCTGCATACGATCACAGCCTATTTATTTGAAATGTTTTTCATTATCAGTAAATTGATCCAAAAATCCATAGTATATATCAAGCAAACCGTTAGTTAAACCTCAATCTGTTATTCTATTAATAAATCACACTATATCGAAAGACTTAAAGTATTCTGTCAGTAATAATAAGACTATTTACGTCGAAATGAATATCTGCATGGTATTTATGCTAAGTGCTTTCATTCATCAGTCGAAATGTAATCCACTATATTTTATCTATCAAGAAGCATGGCCTGTATCATTAGTGTGGAAGTGCAGTGGTACACCAAATTTAAAAGCTCAACGTGTTAATTTTATTGAAGAATCGTCCAAAATTTATTATGATACATTAATGTCTGGAAGATTTATTGAAGACAGAAATTTAGATTTCACTGTACCACCGAATAGTATATTAAAATCGCAAACCTATTTAGATCTGCTTGATTTAGTCATGTATGCAAATACCGAACAGCTAGGTAATCTAATTGTCATGAGAATTAGTTGTGAACTAATGAATAATCTAACCTGGATTAAGGAGATATTCAATAGACCGTTGTCAAGAAATACAGAAACATTAAGAGCTATACTGGATATCATATACAGGTATATTTTACACATTACTATAATTGTTATTACTTTAAATGTTAGTTATATTTCAACCAAACTTTATTGGTAACTGAAGTTAGGTACCTTGAGTATAGGCGAAAATGCCAGGTTAGTCGATAAGATGAAGAATCTCGTGTTGTTAAAGTGGCTATCAAAGGGATTATATCTGCTAAATTACATCCCCTTCCAATGTATAACGTTAAATTGGGTAGGATTCAGTTGAACTAAGACTAAAAGTTTCGAATAGAGCAAGAACAAAACCTTTAACAGAATAGCATGGACTCATTTTATTTTGTGGTTTCTCATCAGCTGCTTACAACCTAAAACAATTTAAACATCAATTTATACAAAATGTTTGCATACTTGAATCATTTTGATCAAATTACAGATATCATCGATATAAAGTAATTAAAAACACATGAATTAGGTGAATAAATATGCAGAACTAAGTTTGTCAATCTATGGAGGAATTAGATGAATATTGAAGAGCATTTAGGATTTGTCCTGGTGCGAACTTGACAGACTCAAAGACCAATCACTAATTATTCGGACTTGTTATATACCCACGAATACGAGACCAAGGAAGAACACGATAGCGTAGTCGGATGGAATAGTATATTTGGATGGTTGTGCCAAGATACCGATGCGTTCCAACCAACTGGCTAGAGAGTGGAATACGAGCAGTGCAACGTAACACGACAGCGTGCCAAATGGCGAGGATGTTTGACCGGGTGCCTTCAGCTAAGCGAGTCCAGTTAAACTATCAAGGTCAGCATCAATGTCGAAAGTCGTCAAACCCTAGGCTATTGATTTTGGGGAAGTGTGTGACGCTACAAGCAGAAGTCTGTCAAGAACGGGAGACAGGTGTATTCAATGTATTAAGAAAGATTACAAAAAAACGTGTGAAAGGTCATAATATTTGTGTTAACCAAGAGCTAATGTGAGGATTCAGATCATGCAATAAAACTCTTGGAGACTTTTCCACCTGTCATTTGCTAATTCCTTGGAATATGCTCAGACTTGCGATCACAATCCCTTCTTTCTGTTCGTCCCATGTATGTGCTTTGGGACTTACATATGAATTAGTAGATGAAGTTGGAAGTAACATGAAGAAGAACTTGTCAACCTTTGATAGTCTCTGTGAGCAATTCGTTCGGTAGAGTGGGATTAACCTAGTAGTTGGATAAGTCCTTAATCAATAATTCAAACGCCAGTATATTAGTCTGAAGAAGTATATCATAAGAGTGAATGCCTCTACAGTCCGAACAAAATTCGATTAACTCAACAAATGACTTTCTGGATAAAAAGAAGTGTCAGAAGGTAGAGGACAACAAAGTGATTGTCAGCACTAGGACTCGAACCAAGACCGACCGCCTCAAACACCAGAGCGCTACCCACTAAGCCGTCGAGGCACGATACCCAATTCCTATGAGATAACTATAATTTTTATGTTGTTAGGTTTGAGTCTTAGTGATAACAACATCACTCACTGGGAGGAAGGCAGATCTAACTTAACAGTCCCAAGTATGTCACTGCTAGCAGCTACCAACCATTAATATAAAATTGAAACACAGGCAATATGGAGGCATCCATACAGGAGCCCATGTACCAATAAGGACCTACCAATTTGGTCCACTCAACGACTGATTAATACAAGTAACACCATAAAATGATTGTTTCTTATGTCATTACTTCACCTGTCACTTCGTTCGATCCGAACGTAGTCAAAAAGACACTAAACTGTCACCAAAAGAACGATCAACACCTAAAGTATACAAAAATTACTGTTCCAAACCTTGTAGAGCTGATTACTTATGCCTTATAATCTACATGCAGTTCAGTGGCAGGATTTGATACAAGAAAAAGGTGGTACCTATTGGGTAACCTATATCAGGATTGATTCCAGAAGAGATAGTGCGGCTCAGTAGATAGTCATCCCCCTAATCACAGATAAAACTTATATTGGGTTTATCTATAAAACTTTCATGGTTCTCAGAATTAATGAAATAGAAAACACATTCAAACTCATCAATCAAATGTTCTAAGTAATACAGTTTACAAAAGCGACAGAAAGCAATGAAATCCTGATCTTAGATATACTCAGCACTATTTTGCATGGCAGGATTCTGGGGACTTGGGAGTATCGAAAAGCTGCAATTACCAACTAAATTTTAAACTTAAGTAGCAGCCACTCTAAAATTTATTAAACAAAAAGCGTTGTGTAAGGACCATATTTCAATGCCTAAGAACAATTACAATGCGCTAGCAATAGGTATAGTTGAATAAAAGTAGTCAAATCAAGTGTTATTACACTTAATTTGATCAGGAAGTCAAAGAACCAAAATACATAGTGGCAATCTTATCTGAATAAGTGGATCACTTTACTTTACATTAAGGAAGTTTCAGGCACTGTCAACTGATTACTTCAAGTATTCGAAAACGAAGTAGCACATAAACCAATGTAACATCCGTAGAAAATTCCATGCGAATCAAAAAATTCCTGTAAAAAAGGGATAGAAAGTATATTACTAACAAAATATTACCAGCTGAAAAGGTAGTCTAAAAAGGCATTTTGATCAAACCAATAGCAAGAATTTCTGAAGAACTCACAGACACCATATGGCAATGAACAGAAGTACAGGAGAAAAATGTATTGTTGCTATAGTAATTTCGCACAATTGCTTGCGTTCACGAATTTTTGGTCAGACAAGAACAATTTTCAAAGAAAATATTGAAGTTATGTTACTTCCAACCAACTTCCGTCAGGCTACAAAAATTACAGAATATTCGCTTACGAAAGTTTATTTTATTTATTTAGAAAACAAACTTGGTACAAAATGGGAACAAAAAGATGCACTATACACAGTAGAACAACAACATTAGGAAGACGAAAGTGATCTGAAAGCAAAGAAACCAGAAAAACAAGCGGAAATGGAAAAGGTTCATTATGGGAGCTATCTTGAAGTACACTCACAGAAGTATACACTGCTTAAATTTTACTTATAGATAATATGAGGAGAAAAAAATACTCTAGATTGATCGCTATTGATTTAGATCATGGGTCATGGCTGCTGTCGTCTCAAACACCAAAGATTTATGACTTCTCTAACTACATTCAGGGACTTCTGCTACACCTACAGTCAGTTTAACACAAATATCCTTCATCCAACGCCAACATATCATGCACTATCCATCTATCCTCTTCTTCCAACCTGTTACAGAGCAAACGAACAGCCAGTGGTATCTGAGCCCCTGGGATCTCATACATAACACATTTCCGCTCCAGCAAAGACTGTGTTTCAAAATGATCAAACTCAATGAACGAAGATTTCCACCATGCACAAATATACATCCATCGCCACGCAATTACCTTTATGACGTTTCAGCTGAATGGGAGCAATTCTACGGAAACAATCATGACTGGATATGCTGAGTCCCTAGACACTCTCGGTCATCTCTTCTGAACGCGTTTATTCGCAGTTCCAGAATGTGCTACAGTCTGTTTCTCACTACCCAAACGTAAATTGTTGCTCCAGGACTAAGCTGCACTGGTGCCTTTTTTATGATACAAAATGGAATGGTTGAGTTCGTTGACCACCTCACTTACCTCATAGGTCAGATCACCCCTTGCAGGTTAGTAACCGAAGAAATCATGGCACGGATGTAATAGGCTTAGTTGGCTTCTTACATTTATGGAGCTAGCGTGACATCCAATTGCCCATCAGGACCCGATTATACTGCACAGCAGTTCGCTATACTCTACTATATGGCTATGAAACATGACCATTAAAAGCAGACTATCCAAGGTGACTTCAAGTGTCCAGCCACCGTTACCTTCGTACCACAGACCATTTATCGTAGTGTCGCCACGTCAGTAGTGCGGCAGGCAAGTGTAGAGATTTAGGGTCAAGAGAAAAATCAGTTGATGAGGTTACAAATCTTCATTGACTCACATGGTTGCGGTATATGTTACACTTACCTAGACACCCTCACCGGCATCAAAAGCGTTAGCTGAAGTAGTTTCAGACTAGAAAAAGATTAGAGGTGGCCAAAGTATGACATGGCATCAGTTCATGTTGGTCTGAGCCTTGTAGAAGAAAAATGTAGAATTCTCGGTTGGCATTTACACCACGACCGAAATCGGTGATTAAAGATTCTAGGCGACGTGACTGAGAAATGATCTCAGTGACACAGATGTACTCACATATTATTTTTATCTCAATCGTCTTACTGAGTTTCATTATTGTTTCACTCTGCCTTGTTTTCTCTTCACAGTTTTCTACCACTTTCAACTACTTTCTTCATTATTTATTTATCTTTCACCTTGGTGCATCTTACTTGATGTGTTGTTATGAGGTGTGACCACTTGGATGGTTAGGAAACACTTTCAGGTCCCATATTTGCGTTGGCTACAGCAATGGCTGCCTGACTGGTAGACATCCGCTTCCCTGGGTGATTCCGTGTCAACCAGCCAAAGAGCATAAGACAGTGAGGTTATTTTTTCTGTAACAGTGAACCATCTGGGTTGTTTTTCGCACTGTTCTTACCAACTTCCTAGGAGTTTAAAAATGTTGTGGATCAGTGTACTACCCTTTTTCTGACCGTCTAACTGACACCAGCCTTCTGTCTGAAAGTGGTCTGGATAAGCTGGAATAGTTGCAGACTTCTGTCAGGTGCAGCTTCTGTTTTCATTTCACTCGTCTAGAGGTCCTAACTTAAATGCTACTCGATCTGTTGAGTAAGCGATGGATGCAAGCTATTGTACTCGCTGGTTGCCGGAATACGCTGGTGGTCATCAAGTAGTTGGATGAGGCTCGCGGAGACCGACTATATATTAACAAAACTTTCTTCAAGGACACAGGTAGCTTTAACCATCATTTTCATACGATTTTTGAAATCCAAATGAAGCTGTTGATGATAACCAAATTTATTCAATTTTTACACACTATGTAACAAAAGCATTCTTAACTCACTTACTATTACTATTAGATAACGCCTAAGGTCATAGAAAATATTATCTAATCATCAATACAGTCTATAAATATGCGTCAATCTAAGTCTGCTGATATGACATTCAACACTACACAGCACATCCTGAAAAACACTGAATCAAAGGAAAGAATTAGCGGCAGTGTTTGAGAAGGATGGTAGTTCTGTATGCTCTGAGCTTTGATTATTCGTCGCGGATATTCCAACTTCAAGCTAAGTGACATTCTAAGTATTAATTTCACAAATACGAATGATTACGCAGTGTTTTTGCTGATTGTGAGTGTTGTTTACCTGAAGAGGTTAGGGACATTCTTCTAAAAACGACCAAAATCTTTGATACTAGGTGAAACTCATAGTTCCAAACCCAATACACTTGACTGATGTACTACGCCTAACGACCTATCTACAGTTAACTAGGAATATTTGTAGACACAGGGGATACATACGGAATCGCCAATATCAGAATTGGTTTTTGAAGCAGTGATGCAGCGGCGAAAAGCCAGTTTTAATACCACTTATCAAACCAACAATTTGGACGCGGTGAGCTGACAAAACGCTCCTAATTCTCAAGGAGGATGAAGTGGAAAACACGTTAAAAATAATCAACCAAATATTTGAAGGGATTCATTTAATAAAGGAGAAAGACAACAAAAAATCTCCTTCCCAGATGTCCTCATCAGCAGAACGCACAACGGAACATTTCAAATTCACGTATACTTGAAAACCGTACACACTGATCAAATTTTGCACTAAAACGTCAATCACCTTACAGTTAATTAGAATTGTTCTGTACAAACGCTATAATCACAAGTCAAAACACATTACATCGCTGACGAGCAAGGTAAAACCAAAGAAAAATAAGTGTAAAAAGTTTTCAATCCCAATGATTATCTACTCAACATTATCATAAAGGTTTATCAGCAGAACACTGAGCAGTGCAATTAACTCAAGTCAACAAACGTGCTATTCTACCCTACATCAAGGATGTCTAAGAAACTTTCAACAGACTGCTTCATCCATTCGAAATTCGAGTAGCACACAAACTAGTGAAGTCAATACACGGAATGTTGTACAAACTAAGAGGTTCATTCTGAAAAGAAGACAGGACAAATATAATGTACAAAAACAAATGCGACAAACTCATGAATACCAACTAACGGTTAAGCGATATGATGCAACCTCTTTGGTTTCAGTGCACACAGACAACTATAATCATATATTCGACTGGTATGCTGTAGAAGTCCTGAAAAGATCGATTTCGAAAGCTGCAAGAGGTCAATGTGTTATAAAAATTCTCTACTTCGAAATCGACAATACTCAAGGTCGCTAAAAGCACTACCTAAACATTCGTGTAAAATTTGTATGTGCTTCAAATTTTATGAAGTCAGTGCTGACAATGTCACCAAGTCGGGTGATTAAACGGCCACAACAAAGTGTCAGAAAACACCAAACCATCTCCATTCCCATCCTGAGCTACAAATCTTTTCTATCACATAAACATATTAGGCACCATGGATTCTATGTGTTCGAAAATGGTGGAATGTTGCCACTTGAGAGTAGCTTTTTTTTCTAGACAAATGTTTACTGTGGACCAATTAACCTTGAAGTATAAGATACATATCACCCATAAACTATCCTAATGAATGGAAAATTGCACAACTAGGCGGCAGAAAAATGGTATGACAAGAGATCTGAGGTGAACACAAAAGATTAACCGAATACGACAAAGTAAATGCAACTCATCATCAAATATTAGGACCAATCATCAGGCCAGATGTGACAAACAAACCGACAACAGCCAAAAATATATCAGCTAAGATCAAGAGTGAGAAAAGAAGAAAGACGTTTAACGATAAACTGCTTGAAGTATCACAACTAACTGAGAAGGAATTAAAGCACCAATGGATAGTGAATCTTTCAAAACTCCCACCGTCTACGACACAACTTGATTTAGTTCAGAGGATAGTGAACTACAAAAATAGGAATCTAGACAAACTAGGTTTCTGTACTTCTTTCTGGTTTACGTTGTAAGCCTTCGGATTATATGTTGAGCAACAACAGGAAATAAGCCAATCAAATGTATATCTTGTGGAAATCAAAGGAAATCAACATCTGCCAAGACAAAGGTAAGGAATGTACTGAAATCGCTATTCGTCTTCAAGAGAGTTGTAATATTACCTTCAGATAAAGGAAGGAAAACCATCGTCATGAACAAAGCAGACTATTTCAAAAAGGTAAAAGAACTACTCAATAGTAAAAAGGTTTTTCGAAACACTAGAAAACAATCCAGTTAGTGAATTTGAAGTCTTTGGAAATTTAGGCAAGCACGCTGACTACAGGGTGTGAAAGACCTTTCTGATAACTACGTGTTTAAACGATGTATCTATAAATTAAAACCTTTCTGAGTATTTGTGGTAAAATGACATCAACTACAGTATCATTCAAAACCCAAGAAAACTACACAGCTGTTATGTCTTACTTTCAGACTTCAGATCAATTCGCATCTGCGATTCCATGATTTTTCGGAATCTTGATTATCAGGTCTCTTGGCAGTCACATTACTACCCATTCATTGGGTTAGAATGAAAGTGAAGATAGCTGTGTGACCATTACACGGTGTTATCGTTTGATAACTCTCTCCATAACCATCTTTGTTCGATCTTAATCCATGATGAAATCAATCAGTTCCCTACAAACCTCTCAAGTCAATAAAAACAAAGTGATCACTAGTGAGGTGCTTCTAAATAGGTTGTAACTACCAGCTGTTGATACATTTTTGTCCAGCTTGTAGGTAGGTACGTTGTTGCAGGAGGGCGCGTAGGCCAGTGTGAGTTTGGTGATGACCACAAGAAGCTCAAAGGGAAAAGAGAAAGGGAAAAAAGGGGAACCGACAACTCAACAAGTTCACTGGATGTACCTACATTGAATAATAAAAGATAACTGACAAATGGTAGAGCTTGACAACGAAGAGCTGAGGCAGTCTAGAAATCGAAACAGGAAGGTGAATGAGTAAGATTTCGAATGCGTTACACGGTTTCCCAAAGTTCTAATTGGAAGCTATTACTCATGTGGTCAACTTATAGGAATATGAAGACAGTTTACTTGCCGATACCACTAGATGCTCATTACACTATGTTGCAGCTAAGTCAGCAATTGTCGGGATTTTACTTTCATTCAATGGATGACAGGTAAACCTTTACAAACATAAATCCTAAATATCATAGAAAACCTGTGTTCACGATAAGTGAAAATTTCCAGATAAGTGAATTAACTCAAACTAACCTTAGAAGTTTAATACAACAATTTTAAGTTATATTCTAAATAGTATACTATAACCGCAAATGTAGCTAAAACAATAAGAAAACAACTTCCGGCTGTGACGTTTCTAAAAGAAAAGATTGAAATATTAGCAATTGGAATCAAAGTTGAATCAACACCAGCCGATAATGCCACCAAATCACAACAGTCACTTTCGAAAAAGCACGATCAGAATGAGAGTTCACTTTCGTAACGAAATAAAAACTCTTCAAGTTATTGAAATCTGTATGTCTGTCAGTAAATTCTTCAGTAAGTAAAAACAAGGAACTGACCATAAATACAAAAAGAAGGAGTTGAGGAGATGCAAGATTTTTAAATAGCATTGAAATAAGAGTGGGTATGAAGAGACTAAATGAGTTTACGAATATAATGGAATCAAATAAAGATTTTGAATCATTGATCTGTACATGATAGCTACTTTTCTTCCTCCTCATTCGCTTATGCCTCACTTTACTGCAAAAACATCACAAAAAAGGGTGTCTATGACTGCGAGAAAAATGTTTACCAAACGAAAATGAATTCAATATATCTTATTTTCATGTATCCAAAAAATACACTGGGAAAAATACTAGATAAATTATTCTCGTTGGTCTACTCAAACGCTGATCTGCTTGCTCACTTAGGTCATCCTGACCATACAGAAGTATAGATCGGAAACTGAAACACGAAAACTCCTACTTCAGTAGACAATTAATAGTTCAATATGTTGATTTCTGTTTTGACCCTTCCCATTGCCTTCCCTGACCGTGAAAGGTGGATAATAAAGGCGCATATTTAGCATTGGTAGAATGAGTAGGCGGTAAGTATTCAATGACCATGGTCAAGTGCTATGATAATATAGTAAACAGAAACGCTAGGTTACCCGTATAAATAGCTTAAAAATAGCAACAGCTGGTTCGTCTACTTCATTAAAATAAAATGGATCAACCACATAGAAGCTGTTTATACGACTAACTCTGAAAAAGCCTAATACCAGAAAATGTTACAAAGCTTACAAAAAATAAGTGGTCAACTAGAATCTAATCCTTTTAAATCTTTCACTTCATTAGTCAATTTGTAACGCTGTTCATAATTCAATTTTTATATTTTCAGATTAGGTTTATGTTTTCGAGATATTGATCCTCACCTGAACTGTCCAGATGTATGTCGCAGTAAAACAAGCGCATTCTGTGAAGATATACCACATGCTGTTGGTTTCTGTGGTACATATATGGACGAATTATTACGTAGTACACAAATGAATCATACAGGTAATCGAGAAGAATTAAAGAAGAATTTAAGGAGTTGGCTACTTCGTGTACCAGTTGAACGAAGATTACCACTGGACTTTTTTCTGCATTTTATTGAAAATAAAAACTTTTTTGACAAAGCAGTTGAAATACAGTTACGAAGTTCACTGATAGCCTATTGTCCGTGTGAAGCTAAATACATAGTAAGCAGAGTAATATCAATTTTATTTTTCTATGCACAATTACAGTTAAATATGAAGTGACTCTGAGGCCATTTTGACAGCCATTGAAATAACCAGTTATACGTCCTTATTTCCTTTGAAAGGATAGTCTTTTCATAAGAATAAAGAACCGCACTGGTCACTTCAGAAGTTGTTAGGGTGATCTTTACAGTCATTTATTTCGCAGTCTAAAGCGTTTAATCATACTTTTGTACTTTCGGTGCCTTGCTTAAAATTTACCAGATTTCAAAATGATTTAGACGGAATTTTCCAATAATTGTCTTCAAATGACAATCAGTTCAGGTAAATCGGAACCACACTTTTAGAAATGTCAATACGTCAACTATAAACCTTATCTCTAGATGCAAAATTATGCATTAAATTCCCAGACGTCATTAAGTTTCACTCCTAAGTGTAGTCTAAAAGTCCAATAGATTAAACTTACTGTTTAAAGCCTACATTAAAATAGCAGCTGGTACAGTTCAGTTTAACACGTCTCAATAACTGTCACAAGTTTTTAAACATCAAACTTAAAGACCAGCTTGTGACGACTAAAAAACACTACAAAGAAATAAAAGAAAAGACAACCAATAAGGAGGTCACGTTCATGCAACCGATAAAGGTTCAAGTATCGTACTGATGAATCCTGAAACCTACCAACAAGGAGAATAAAACAGGGAATGTTGAACAAAACTTAACAGGTATTCTTCGATAACTGAAGAAAGATTCCTTCGTTGATCCCGAATTACTTAGATCTTTCCGTCCTTCTGGATTAAATATTCCCCCGAGTACATAGACTACCGAAGGTATGCCTCTCCATCCGTTCTTTGACATGGGAGGTTCACGTACCATTTCACTGTCCAATGGTTAGTCAGACTCCTAGAGCCAACCAGAAAGCAAGTCTCTTTTCATCCACTCCGTGATTCTTTTCATTCTGTCAATCGTACTGATTATGTTAATTTCTCCGATAAAATCTTGTTCTCCTTAGATTTAATCTCAGTGTTTACAAATGTTCCATTCACTGAGACAATTACGTTGCATATGTGAATATGTTGATTCTAATCCATTAGATAATGGCAAGCACACTCGCTATCTAAAGTTGTTGTTCAGATACCACTTTAAAGTGAGATCCTCCTTATGCCCCAATAATGAAATACATAGAAAAAAGGATGGTATAGCTACGGGCACACCACAAGTCTTTGCTTACAGACTTGAAGTTTAAAACATATACTTGTACGAAATGGTCGACCATTTTGAAACTTACGTAAGATGCGTAGAACGCACCCTTGTTATATGCAATAAAACAGACCATTTAGGAAATATTTTAAGTTATTTTAACAACTGTCATCCGGAAATCCAGTTAACATTAGAAAAGGAATCAAATTTGAAAATATTGTTTTTAGTTGTACGACTGACAAGAGCATAGAAATATGAAACTAAACGTTTTATCAAAAGAAAAACTACATAGAACAAGTGGCTTAGGGACTTCTACAGGCAGGGATACCTCAAGATACAAAAGGGAGGCTGATCCATTCCTTTTGTCATGGAATCCGTAACATCAGCTCACCTGATGCCAGAGACGAACGGCTAAATACCCTTTAAAATGTTCTGATTGAAATAACTATCTTGAACGTTTCAAGAAAACTATGAAGCTAAGATCAGCCAAAATGAGTACACTTGCGATTTCAACAAAGCAGTTCTTCGTGAATCCGCAGTTAAGCCGAGACCCACTGATAAAAATATCAAACAATAGTTTACCCCGTTCATTGAGAAAAACTTTTTCTGCAGATGAACTCCAAATCACTTTCTCCACACAACCAATGATTTGATTATGCGTACAGATTAAGCTACCACCGCTGACTTCCTCAACGTGTATCTGTCAATTCATCTGCTCCTGTGTAGCAAAGTATATCGTTCTTACCCAGCGTCTGCTTTCTAAACGTATTGTCGAATATAATCCGTCTCGGTTTTACAAGAACCAGGGAAGATTTACTCGCACTTCCATTTTAGAACATCAGGTCGATTCTGGACTAAAGGTAAACCTACAAACTAACTTCAGTATCCTTTACAGAGAACTTTGGAATCTCAAGAAAGCTGTGCGAATAAAACTTTCCAAACTGTGGAAGTCATGAATATTCTTTTTTTAAAGTTTGAATTCCGCAGAAAAAAGAGATTTTTTCAATCGTAAGACTTATAATGGACTTGTTAAGGGATTTTACCATTGGAAGGTATTTATTCGCTACTGCCCATTCTAACTTACTGTTCTTCCTCTCCTTACGACGTATTCCTCTACCTCACCAGTGTAATTTTTCAATGCTCAACTGCACTCGACTGGATTGCATCATGCAACCTAGTTACTTAAGCTTGGAATCTCCGATAAATCTTTATTTTCTCATGAAATAATTCTTTTTTATGGTTTAAATATCCTCAGTTTTATAAGACGAAAATCAATATTGTACCGTGTAGCCTACTGTGATAACCGAAATAGGACAAATTACATAGGGATATGAACAGTGTTTAGAACGCAGTCAGTTTTTATAAGGCTATCAAAGTCGATAGTGATAGAAATACTAAACCTTGTAATGAGGTTACAATTTACAAGCAATATCGTTATTCCACATTTTAGTGTGTTCAATTGAACGTACTGTAAAAGCATGTCTTGACTCTCTGAAATTCTGATCTAAAATGTGTATTTTTTCCAGAATATTCATCAGTCGACTGTATCAACTGTCGCGTTTCCCAACGTCACGTTGTATACTACCTTTTTGCAGTCTTATATGTAGCTTTCGCCTTATTCGGATTTTAAATCACTATGTTTAACCAACAGTCAGTGAAATAATGGAATCACTACTCTGAAGATCTGTTCCATTCTATTTCTGCTGCAATCAATGTTATGTACCAATATACTCAGTTGTCTTGATAGAAGTTACTGTTGAAGAGATTACAATTTTATTCAGTCACTAAATGTTCTTAATTTGATTTTTTCAGTATGATAAGCTTTCAAATACATGTCTTGATATTAAAGAAGAATATGGTTGTTATAGTAGTAGTCAGTGTTCAAACGGTGGGATGTGTGTACAAAGCTTAAAAAAATATAAATCCCCATCAGATTCAGTCTGTAAATGTCCACCGGCTTTTAAAGGTGATCAGTGTGAACATGAAAGAAATCCATGTGAAGATGAAGCTGACTGTGATCCGTTTCCGTGTGTACGTGATGCAAATGATCTCGACTATGGGTACCGGTACGTAATTGGTAATATTATTAATGTTCATTTTTCGAAAAAAAAGTTTTAAATCACTCTTTCTTACATAATCTGGTTTTATAAACATACGTTTAGACTATTTATTGATGCTTGTAATTTTTGTTGGTTATTAAAAAACTGGAGCAAATTCTTAAGTCTCTGTAGACAAATGGACTTACGGACGTCTGAAGAATGCCTGAAATTTTACCATAATCAGAAACATATCATTGTTTTTGTAAACTTTAGGACTGATTTTTGATCCTATAGAAGTGAATAAGTTGAGTATTAGGTAAATAGTTTATACAGAAGATGTATTTGTAAAATTCCAGTGATGTAAAAAAAACAATTTTCTGACGTTTCTCGACCTCTTGGAAGCTGATTCTCAAAAATTAAAACCTTTACGAGTTATCGCAGGTTTAAGTAGTAAGTGGAGAAAAATAAAATCACATTGTTCTTAAATGATAATAAAATGGAAATAAATGTCATCTGAAGAATGAGCGTTAATTAATTTCGTAAATGTCCTCAAGAATGATCTTTATAAAGTTACAAATCTATCAAATTCGTATTTCAGCCAAATACGTGGCAAAGATCATGAATTCACTATAAGACATGAAGAAATTTGAAACGTTATGGGATACAGAAAAATCCATTGCTACTCTACACGTGAAAAGTGTTGAATTCAAACAAAGTTTTAGCGCTTTCATAACAATGGTTAAGATTCATTTTAGTCATATTAAATTCGCATGCAAATATGAAAATGAAAGCGTTGGACTACTATTTTCAGACTGTTCAGTTAAAAGGAATGAAAATAGAATTATCTTTTGTTAATCTCAGTTTATAAATTTGTCGAATATCAACACATACGGACAGTTATCTTGATTTCAGTTCAACCAATCTACTCAGTAGTAAGCTTTCACTTGCTCTGAGCTTATTAAGGAGGGTAAAAAAGCTCATCATGAATGAAAATGACAGACAAACAGAAGTAAAAAACAGTACATATGTTCTACATCCCATTAACTACCCGAGAATATAACTGAGGAAATGAAAAATGATAAACGTAAGGATCTAAACCAAAAATCAAATGATGAGTCTTGAATTATTCCAGTAGTTCTACCTTACCCCCCAGAGTACAACTGAGGAGTTCCAAAAGATCTTAGGAAAACACTGGATTAGAACCTTTTACAAGGTAATCAGCACTCTCAGGAATGCTTTAGTTTACTCAAAAGACAAAATTTCTTCTTATCTTCAGACAAAAACGTAGCTACCGATTAGGCTGTGTCGATTGTGAAGCCTATAATATTGGGTAGATCATCCCATAAAATATGCATTCATGCTAAAGAGCAGGCAAGCCACACTAAACAAGCCCCAAAAGAAACCTGCAGAGTTGAAGAATTAACAAATCAAGTTAGTAATTATTGTTCACGTCATCTGCCATAGCCCCAAAATTGACACTGAAAATGTTCAAATTATTTAAAAAGTGTTTTTCAAACTACAATAAAAGACTGATAACTTAGGTATTTCATATTACATTGAATCCTAACTTAACAGAAAGGAAATTCTAATTATCTTGTTTAACTCTACAGTTTATCCGAAATTACAAGTTGCACACACCAATCATAATTAAAATACATTCACACGTTAACAAGGTGAATTTCTCATTCACAAGGAATGGTATAAGATCATCGAACGCAATAACGTTATGCTGTATATTCTACAGTTGGCGGATGGTGACTTCGCGAATCAAAGGCAGACTACTTGGCTTCACCTCTTCAGTATGCATCTACCAGTTCAACTGCTCCTATAAAGGTACTTACCACTGAGCATACAGTTAGGCAATTTCATTATCGAATCACCGGACATCATCCCCTGTGGTTGCATAAATGGTAAATGAAATCAATATGAAGCTTAATACTCTTTCATCTAGTTGAAACTAGTCACTGAGTTAAGGCTTTTAAAGTTATTTATCACGTTTCTTCTTATCTCACCCATGCTCTATGAGTTCGTATTTTACATACAGAAGAAGCCATCGGAATCCACCTAAAAAAGCGGAGTTTGTATCTGCAGAAGAAATCTGTACAGCCCATTTCTCTGCTTTCGCCATCTGTATAGCTTATCTATAAAAACACCAATCATCATTCTCCTCGTCTATCCCAGAAAAGATCACAATTATTATTACTAAGGTTTTAGTAATCTTGTCATTTCCTTGTTTCCTCTAATTATCATCACCAACTGACCACTTGACATAATAATCCATTTTCGCTTCTCTTTGTATGAGTTAGTTTTAAGCAGACTCAATTATATGACAATCTGTTTAAAATTCTACGAATTCTGTTGTGATTATTCTTTAATTACCTTGACTAATTATCACCCCTAGATACGTTTAAATCGATAACCTGTTATTAAACATTTATCACCACATCTCTGGTATGTTATTTAATATTTGGAAAATGCTGTTTATCTTAGTATAGAGCCACTGACGAGGAAGCGTTTGAAAAGAAATATTTCTTATTTCACATTGTTTATTATACAGTCTAAGTGTGAATTTGCGCATATTATTTTTTTTTGTAGTTTCACACCCAAACCCATGTGTACACACATCAACATCTTCACTCTGAATTCACAGGTTAATGATTAATAATCATGACACATTCCTATATTATTATCATGTATGAACAGAAGATCTGATTTGTCACCATTTCATATTTATTCTGTGAGGAAGTAGCTTCCACTAGGTGGCAAAACATCAGAAACTCATTTTTCTACTTTAATAGAATTTTAAGAATGTATCTCCTTGATCACTATGTATAAATATAAATCAAAAATATATTTATAATAAATCTAAAATACTAGTCATAATTGTAATTATTTTCTAAATTATTTAACAAAGTATCAAAATCAGCTAGAGAAACTTTGAAAAGAGGAGAACGGTGGATAGATATATCCTCCCAGATTTTTGGCTTATTAATTCATTCCTTCTTTTTCTTGACAGAATGAAATGATGTATAACAAGTTACGTGGGTTAATTAATTGAAGAAAGGTAACCATGACGTTTACCAGTTAGGTAACATTTTTATTTTATGCCGACTTAATACTTTGAGAATGCATACCAGTGAAGATTTAAACATAATCATAAATTTATGAAACCAAATAAGAAAATTTTATTCCTAATAACTATATCTAATGTTGGTGATGTAGGCGTTTGGATTTTTGCCACACCATTCATATTTTACCCTAGTTAACTAGGCAAATTTGTAAGTTTGTTCTGAAACAATACTCAGGGAATTTCTTATGGCTCCAAATGCTGCTCTAACAAATACTAAAATAACTAACTGAATTTCTTCATTCTGGTCGAGAAGGTAGATTTCTCATAAAATAAAGAAACTTGACCAGTTATTTTAGCAGTTGACATGGCGGCTGTTTGAGTCACTCATATACCCAAGACATCCCACGAATTGGTAGACTTTAGTTAAATTTCCATTCAACACTTGATTCTAGTTAATAAGAATTAGCGGGATTACTTGGTTCATCGACCAATTCACCTACTTCACGTTAACTGGTGGTAGTTGCAAACCAGTCCAGAAGCATCATCTTACAACTGACAGGTGCAAAACGTATTGCAAACATACTCAGATTTCGATTCAAGGCGTTTAGAAGACCCTGCATTTTGTCCGCGTCTCCACTTAACAGGACAATATCCTCTGAGTACTCCAAGTCATCCAGGTACCATGTAGCGAGTAGATTAATTCCTGTGAAGTCAGATGTACCCAGGGTTACGTCCATTAATGTACCTATAACAAAGTTAAACAGAAATGGTGATAGGTGGCATCTATGGAGAACAACATTGGTTGTCACTGATTCAGATGACAACTCTCCATAATCTCTCATACGGCTGCTCAGATTTTAGTACAGAGTTTCGATTTGCATTACATACTTTCTCCTTACCTACTATACAGTCACAACACACCACGGTCGACAGAGCTGAATGTACCTTTCAGGTCGTGAGGTAAGGCGAATGTTGACAGCTGGTAAATATGTTTATCGAAGGGTGAAGATTTGGTCGATTCATTTTCTGCTACGTCTATAGCCTACCTGGTCTCCAGGAATTTGTTCTTCTTGAACTCCATTTACTTGTCAGATAACCATTGACGGTAGGTTCTATGATGCGATGTCGATCAAATTGATTCCCTTGTTGTTTCCATCGCATACCTTCTGAATTTTCCTACAGACTGGGATGATCAGAGATTTAGATAGGTCGAACGGGATTACTTCTGATTCCCATAAGCTAATTAGTACCTCTTTTCCTCTACTCAGAAATTTTCTAACTCCATCCTCGAAAGTTTCTGGTGGCGAACGTAAGGTCCTGCTACTGTACATCAGTTCTGGTTTGAAACAGCCTTCTCAAGTTCGAGGAGAGTTGGAAGACAGAACTTTATGTCCCATTCTGATTCAGGCTTGATGTTGACAGCTGAAGTGTTACCTCGGACCAACTGGAATGGGCTTAAAAGTTTTACGCTCAACGTTGTAGCCACCTGTTCTGAGATGGTCTCACCCATCATCGTTTTCTTCTTGACACTGTACTTAATATGTCTAATTAATTACTGAGTAATACCTAACTGGCAATTAATCACAAGTTTTTAAAACAATTATTCAGGTCTCGACTGACAATTTATTGGGCTTGACAACTACAAGACCTTGGGGTTGACACTAAATACAATGCGGAGACAAATTCGTGTGGTCAAACTTTCACAGCATCATAAAACACGAAATATTCGATTGAAAATGTAAAGTGACTTTAAAGGCCACCCTAGTAAATGCCAAGGTAACCAATCATGTTCCTTCACCTTATGAATAACTACTTTTCCAATCGAAATACGGAAAGATGATTGGCTATTCCAGCAGTTGCTCGAAAATGTACTGCCATGTCTAAATTTTGCATTGATCTACTTAAGCTGTCAATTCTGGAGAAATAGATTAATTGTATCCTAGTGCTTCAACAAATTTGGATTGAGCTGCTTTTTTTAAACATTTCAAAACTGTAAGAGGATTAGACAATCAAAACTGTTGAATATCATAAGATATCACTGATGATATAAAATATTAGGTTTTCATTATGGCTACTTAACATCAAAGATAAAATTCACTGAGAAGCCATAAATGTTATGATATGAAATTAGTTAAAAAGGAAGACTGACGAAGCGCTATACACTAGATCGGGATTGTCTGCGTACATTCCTGTTGCTAAGTAAAATTTTCCATCACTGGAGAGTTTAGTGGTAATGTGAAACAACTTCCATTTAGCCTGTGTTTATAATAAACAATCAACTTTCCTCTATTCATTAAAACTTTAATCGTAAATAAAAAACGAATTGAAAATAACAACCTTCCTATTAGTGTTAATATAAAAAATTGTACATAATGGTAATGTGGCACACAGTGTTGAAGTTTTTATTCTAGTAATATTTTAAATCTGATATGGGTGATATTTTACTTCTTTTTACATCAAGTGAATGAGGTAGCTTGGTGTTGAATATATAGAGCTAACTACTGTGCATGATATTTACACGTAATCTATCAGATACTGTCCATGTGGAAAGATTTAAGTTTACATTGTTCGATGAATGGAAGGTAACCAATTTAATATCATCTAGACCTAAGTGCTGACTGAATCCTACCAATCATTTTTTAATGTGGTCACCAGTCTAGAAAACTACACATCACGATGAATTTTGATTGATTTTAAATGGTTTGATGCAACCAACAGAAAGCCTGGGACCTAGGGTTCGTGCTTGTTGGGAGTCGTCAGAAAGGCATATCTACAGTTTCAAAGGAAGTGATGTCCCTCGAGAGATTCAAATCTGGTTAATCCAGTGGCCAATGAATGTATCTAATCCAGACGTACAAGAAACTAATCGCCGACCAAATACCTCAGTAGTAACGTCTGTGACTATAGAAATAGGTGGTGCAGGTTTGAATATCTCGAGGGGAGCCATTTCCACTAAGGTTGGAGATAAACCTTACTGATAAGTGGTAACAAGCACGAAACACAGGCCCCGGGCTTCCTACCAATTGCTACTAACCAACCAGCGTCAGATTCAACTATGAGTTTCATAGTGTCTTACTCAGAGATACTGACTTTCAAATGGTTAGAATTTATTCCTTCTATTTCACTCTACCTAAGAAAGAAAGAATTTAAATGTTCTTATTTGAACTCTGTTGGTATAAGAAAGTTATAAGCCGAAAATCCCACAATTTAGGGAAACAGTGGTAATGATTTAAACAAGAAGCTGGTTTACTGCAGAATTTGGATTGGTAGTCTTTTACGACTAACCTGACACTTCACCAACTGAGCTATGAAACCGAAACTACTGACCGGATCTCATGTTTACTTCAGCCAAACAGTCAGGATTCAGAGGTCACTTGTTCGAACCCCACTCCAACCAAAATTTTCACTTTAACTCCTAATCATCCTCCTACATTCAGACCAGTCTTTCAATTAGGGATGTCTCTGACTTTTATGGTTATTTACTTCGCAGACACTGTTAATTTAGTTTTGACTAGAACGAACATAGAAGCTCTTGGGACAAAATAACTATACTACAGTGGACATTGAAGATTATATAGATATTGCTCATAAGTAATTTTTCTCCAAATTATTAGTGATATACTTCAGTAAGTTTTACCTATTCGCAAATCTTTCTGCCAATAAAATTTTCACTCAACTTTCCTGTTAATTGCAACTAGAATAAATCTTACTATTTATGGATATAATCGTAATTTTCCGTTGTTTCACTGCATCAAATTGTTCGACCGCAACCAACTAAATTACTACAATAAATCTTACTACAACAAATGGATTATTACCACCAGAAAAACGAGTTGCATAAAACCATACTAATAATTACTGAAATATGCTAATAAGTAGCAAGCCCGCCATCAAAAGCAGAATTCCTGGACGCCATAAAGTTACTGAAAGCCGGTAAGGCAGCAGGATCAGATAAAATTCTTTCAGAAGCACTGAAAACTCAGACATCAGGGGACATGCTTACACCATTATTGCAGGTTTGCAAGGAAACAAGGAAAGAAGGGTGTTGTGACCGAGTGGTGGGGTTGCACGTGTGGGTATAACGAATACTCGGGACTCAACAGATACCTCAACTGAATACCTTTACGACTGACCTCCCTCAATACCTTCTCTTCACTGAGCCGCGTAAAATCAGAAGACAAAGACGGACTGTGACTGCAAGAACAGCTACAACAACTTTTATTAGACAAATAAGTGACATATATGTATTTACAAAACTCTCAAAAAGTGAAGCCACAAATAGGCTAATCAGATTTCTTGTATGAAGTCGAATTCCTCCAATCAGGTTCTTATGTCAGCACATGCATAAATCATGACCTGAACATGATCTGGTCACGACTTGAAAACTCCCCTATTGGCTGCCTTCATGTCGCTACGTAACAAAGGGTACCCGCCAGTTGATTGGAAGAAGGGCCACCTTGTCAAACTTCCAAAGAAGGGAGACCTAAGTCTTTGCAAGAACTGGCGCGGAATCATGCTCCACCCCTGGCCAACCCAAGCAAAATATTAAGCCACATCATCCTGGAGAGACTACAAAAAGCTCCGGGTTCAACTGGATTACGACCGGAACAGGCTGGTTGGCTGGCTGGCTTCAGGAAGAACAAATCATCTGAGGATCATATTGCAACGCTACACTATGCATCATCTTAGAATACAGCACAGAATGGCAGTCAACTGGATCTTTACCTCAACTTCATCACCAGTCTCAACTTCGTTATTTCTGCATCAACAACAACACAATCTGGATTGATTTGATTGATCATTATTATTATCATTATCACCACTCATCTCCACTCTTTTTCCGGTAAATCAACGGAAAAATTCGTTAACACTATTCAACCACCATATTCCAGCTGAAATCGCATGCATATTGTTTCTTCCATCCCGTTGTACTTATAAAAATTAGCGAACGGCTACAATGTCACCAGTGTCCATTTTTGTCTGATATTTACAATCAAGAAGAATATGAATTGGAGTACATATATACATACACATATACCAGACATGTATACACATCCACACGCCATACAACAAAAGACATAATTTTAGACTGAATGGTTAGTTATCATAATTTAGAAAGACAATGACTACAAGAACAGGATTGGACAAGAAGATTAAGCACACGTTTTTGGGTTCATTTAAATATCCTTGATATTTAATTTTGATTACGTCTTTGAAGAAGCTCGGACCAGACTTCCGTGCGAAACGTTGGAATTATTTGTTTCCGAACCCGTTGTGACGTACACAAATACAATCTCTATCTAATGTTAGGTCAACAAGTTGAACCTTCAAGGTCATTTAAATCCTGTCGCTCATCAGATGACAGAAGTCTGTTTTCCTTTATGCAGTTGCAGAATTCAGGTATTTTGGTAGAATGCAACTACATATTAGATTCGTCTATTAGTATAGCACATAGCTATGTAATATTATCAGAATACTATTATTGATTACACAATGATTAGTTTATTATTTACCTTAAGTCTTTTTACATTAACTATGCTTATGTTCCCCAGTTTCATTCTTCGTGTTGATTGAATATTATAGTTGTTTATGTCCTGCAACACATCAGCGTAAAAGTTACGGACAGCCTCAATGTGTACCACTACCGGCTTGTGGTGAATACAATACAAATAGGCGACAGCTGTGTAAAAATCATGGTCAATGCTTGCAAGATCCAAATGATCCGACAATGTATAAATGTATTTGTAAATATGGTTATTCTGGTGTGCATTGTGAAACTGAACCATTACCAGCTGTTTGGAGCATATGGTCAGCATGGTCGGACTGCGTATGGCCTGAAGTAGGAGAAGTATGTCATAGGAAAGCATATCGTCAACAAACACGTACTTGCCTGATTAACGCCTTCGATCAAAAATGCATTGGTGAAGCTAAAAAAATTAGATATTCTGGATGTGATTTAACAGAAGTGAGTTAAATATCCGTTTAAGCTACATAAATATTCGCGAATAACCTCCAAAACTGATGTATCATGGCTTTTAGGTCAACAGATGTGACACCATGTTCATTGTTGGAATGTGTTGGTATAGAACATCGTATGATTTACCTTACCCCTCCACTTTGTGTGATAATGGTTATCCAGACAGATTAATAAAAGCTACCACAGTAAAGACTGTTGAAGAGAAGTATCTTCAGACGATAGCGAAGAAAAACTGTATTTAAATTTCGCGTTCAAAAATGTTGCAGCTACAGAACTACTGACATTAGAACTCAGAAAGAAGCCCTCTCTGACACTATGCTATATATTTGAAATTTAATGTTCGCTGTATAGTGAAGGTGCATTCAACTGAACGGCTCCTGACCCTAACATGTGCATGTGCATTTTTAAGTTTAACTGTTGCCGAAAGCTCATCATCGTTTCATTCAACACTCTCCAGCGTTATCAGGTAGAGGATTATTAAAAACCATCCCAAGCTCAATACTCACCCATCTAGTGGGTACTGAGCATTAGACTGATAGAACTTTAACCGTCACCATTTTATACAAAATGGCATCATAATGAATTTGTAGGCCTTCGATTATAAAGCATGGTGGAAGGGCAGAGCAGTAGGGATTTTCAAACCTAATTTACCTATAAAAACATATTTGTCTGGCTACTTCCTCCCTCCAACTGCCTTCACCTTCAAATTAGATATATTTACCACAATATTTTTTCTTGGCCAAACAGGATAAATGTAAGTATTATCCGTGTAATGTTATCACTATTATCTTCATACTCCGTCTTTATTTCAAATTTCATATTTTATAAGTGGATTCAAAGGTTACCCTAGCAACTGTAAACTAACCAATTGTGTTCCTTTATTTCTTAAGAAAACAATGACTTCACCGAAGAAATAAAGTAATCCGACTGGTTAATTGAGTGGTTGTCAGGATGAATCTTACACTCACTTTTTTTTTAGAATTCATTGAGTGACTTTATAGGCCACTTTGGCAACATCCGAAATAACCAATAGGACTACTCTATTTTATGAAAATCTGCCCTTGTAGCCGGAATGAAGAAACCTAATTGGTTATTTCAACAGTTGCTAGGGTGGCCCTCAAAGTCACTAGAATCCATTAGTTTAAATATTTCAGTCTAATTGCTACGCTGCCATAATTTGTCCCAGTCTATCACTACAGCCACACACAACGGGTCACTTTAACGGCAACCTTGCAACAATTGAAATGACCAGTCAGACTTTGATATTTCGCCTGGAAAAGTATTTTTCCACAAACTGGGATGTAATTAGCTGTCTCATCAGTTGCTAGGGTGGCCTTTAAAGCCATTCCACACAATTCTTTTATACAACCACATTGACTGTCAACATTATATAAACTGTTGCAATATTTTGCCAGTGTTTTTATCCCGTAACTTACATCCAAGAGCCCAAATTCGTCAATGCCTAGTTGTAGTCTTCATCTATGCACCCATCGATTGCAGTTCAAACTATGCAGAGGATGAGTTCTACCAAAAGCTGTCAATTTTTCGATGTAAGGTAAGATATTATGATAATCATAGGAGTTGGAAAATTTAATGCTTCAGCAGGACAGCTGAACCAATCAACAGGTCTTACTGGGAGCATCTACGGTATTCTCTACCAACGGATCATCTCTTAAAGCTTTATTCTGATAGCTAGCACTACAATTAAAAGTGAAGGTGTTGTTTCGCTTTGTCTGCCGATATCCACTCAAACTTGAACACAGATATGTCGTATTGGTATAAATAACAGTTTTAGAGGATTGCAAGTGCTTTTGGATTATTTGCTTAGACTCTGATCATGAGTCAATTCAAACATTTGTTACCACCTACATGTACCCATAAAAGTGTTGACGAAAGTCTATCCATATTTTGCACCTGTCTGAATATGGAAGCGATTCTTGTCTTAATGAAGCCCTGTATAATGTTCATTCTGACATAGAAACGGTAGTAAAGGAAATGAGTAGCCTACAGCCAAAAGATAGTGACAGCTAGTGAATCTCTACAGCCTGGACTAAACGGATCAATGCGAGACAGCTCATTCCGACTGCCTGTGATCACGATGAGGAGTGAAGGATGACTAAAAATAACCTAATTCTCAAGGGAACATCTCAAAATAAGTGGTTGGAAAGCCATGAAGTGCAGTTCAGTTACCCTACAACCAGGCTTAAGATACCTAACACACAGGTCTAACACGAATGGAATGTTTGTCTTCGAGTCCTTAATGAAGCTGAGGAAATTGTTTCAAACCTGCAAAGCAGAAAGTTATGACACTTTCCCATCAGAATTCGTTAATAGTGGAGGGAGAATACTCTGACTGAGATGTGTTCTTTGAGCTTCATGGTTTTATCGCGAAGCTTTCACTGTATAACCAGACAACATCAGGACTAATTTCAATATGAAGTGAGCTATCACGCTTTCGCCATGAGTGATTTCTTAGCCAATCTTGACGAAATGGCATGATTGGTATCTTCCTTTGATTGCTGTCACTGGCTGCACAGATTTTTCTGCCTGATTTCTTAGTTGTTACTTTCCTTATTAATTGACAGGTTGGATCTATCTGTTCACCCTCTGATCGCTGACTAACCAGAATGCCAAGTTTCTGGGTAAAAAAATATTTAGTAAAGTGTAGCTTAAGGCAATCAGAGACAGTCCTGTCAGGCTGGTCCAGATTGTTGATCATTATATTCTAGGAGAAAAGAGCAGTTTTCCTGTAGCAACTACAGAGAAATCAGTTTGAGTAATATTTTAGCTCGAATGCTAGGGTTCGTAATTAACCAAGACCAAAACGTAGCTTGACAACAATGACTTCGCGAAAACCAAGTGGATTTCAGACTTCGACTAAAGTGCAGTGATTGAATTTCCACCCTTCCACATTTTCTGCGACAGTGATATATAACAGTGCCCAATATTAGTTCTATTCCTTCGCCCGAAGGTGACTTGATGATTTGGCCCTATTGATCGAGAAGTTTTGTGGTAGTGTATAACTGGAAACCGAGCATGAAGGAGTTATACTGTGCTAACCGAACATTCCTACTCAAATTCATAGAGTTTGACTCAGTTAATCAATTGGAATCGGCATTACTGCCTAGCAATCCAAGCTGTCACACCTCATATCAGTACATCAAGTGAGAATGCATAAAGGCGAAAGACAAATAAATAGTTAAAGCACCCAAAGGTGGTAGAAAACTGTGAAGTGACAACAAGATGTGGCGAAACAATAATGAAATTCTGTATGCCTGTCAAGATGGGAACGGTGTGTTGACACATCTGAGCCAATGAGGTCAATTCTGGTACACCAACCACCGATTCCGGTTATGAAGCAGACAACAAACTGGAAGTCTACATTTCTCAACGCGGTTTAGTCAAAGATGGACTGGTGCCATGTTATACTTTGGCCACCTCTAAACTTCTCCTAACCTGAGACTACTTCAGCTAACATTTTGTGACGAAGCACGCGATGAATGGGCATACGTAACACATGCCAAAGCTGTGAGTCGACGAAGGTTAACAACCTTATTGACTAATTTACCTCTCTACCCTAAAACTCTACACCTGACTTCTGCATTACTGACGTGGTGACACCATGACATATGCTATGAGGCGACAATAGTCGAATAACTACCTTAAGTCTTCTCATATCCTGTCTATAGTGGCTATGTTACACAGTCACACAGTAGAACAGAGCGGAGCACTGCGCAGTTCAGTCGGATACCGCGGTGGCTCCATAGACGGCGTAAGTTGGCACAGACCAAACCAGGATATATATGTACGCCCCATGAGTAATAAAAAAAGGTTCATGCAATCCTATCTCAACATCCAGAAGACCACATAATAAATATCAATGCAGAGTATATTACACCGAAAGCTTTCGAAGATTTATTTCCCTGATGCATAGATTTTCTGAGTTTCACTTGCTGTTTTTAGACACCACCGAAAACAAATATTAAAATGGGTTTCTAGGTTCACTTTAACTAGGTTCGTTAATGCTGAGAAATAATTTATTCGTATTTAAAATTATGTTATCTAACCATGTCATTGTGCATCCTTTAATTCATTGATTGATGGATTAGTTTAGAGTTGAAACTCATGAGTCATTAAATAAGGTGGGTATCAGTATTTGTGAATCATCCTGAAGTACTTGTTTTCATAAATTAGAAAGAATTACCATTCCCGTATTATAACGGATCAAAGAAAGGATTATGCTAGATGACGTTAAGCATATTTTAGCGATTTACTGAGTTCACTATTAAATACAACTCACTCACGTGTTATTTTAAAGTACTACTTTGTAAGTATTTTTACAAGCTTTCTTTCTAACCCACTGATTATTGTGTCATGCCAGTTCGTTGAGAATAATCAACTCAACAGTAAAATACGTTTTTTATTGTGTAGCCTAAATGACTTAGTTGCATATTTGTAATTTTTGTTGCAGACACAAAAAGTAAATCTAAAAATGAATGCTAAATATAAGCGTTGCGTATTTCTCGTCTTGTATTGAATCTGGTCGGTAACTCATAAACTTGGGGAAAACATAGGAATGTGCTGCTAAATTCCCAGTGAGGCGTGTAGAAAGTCAACAATCATGCGATAACCATAGTTATATTTTACATTCATGAGTCCAGCCACGTGATGCAAGCCGTGGTTTAGTTTTCTTCATAACGCTTGATAAAATAGTCTCACCTTCCAGCTGAACATCCATAAAGGTATATCAGATACCATTCAGATTGGGTGTTGATGCATTCCTTCAATACAATGTATTATATATCGTCAGTACTTGTCTCTAGGTCCGAAAATAATGCAATTGCGAGTTTGCGAACAATGATCCAGATAAGCTTTCGTATGCAAGTCACAGTATTGTGTTAATATCAGTAGCGATATTTAGTGAGAAGCCTAGTGTCCAAGATTGGTCAAATTAGTACCTACTACACTAGAAATTGGCTAGTTTCTACTAGTGGTCTCCAAAACACGTATTTCGCATCATTCCAAATTAATTAGCTTCAAATATCAATAAGTGAATAAGTTACAGTGCTTCTATCTCAAGTTAATAACTGTTTCATACACAGGATCTACAAATCCTGGTTTCAAAACCTAATGGACAGATGTATCACATAACCTGTTCATTAAGAATTCAGTTATTATAATATTATCTTTATTCCTCGTCCAGTTAGCCTCGAAATCACACACTAATCTGTCACAAATAGGACGCAAACGCCTCATGGATGCATTCAAATTATGCGGTTTATATGGTCGAGAATATGTCACACCAATAACAGAGTACGAATTAGGTGAACCATTATTGACCATTGAAGCATTGGATGATTGGAGTACAATCGGTCTAGAAGAAGCACCTTATCTATATTTACCTGAATCACTGAAACTTGGTCAACTCCAATCGGAAAACTGGCCTCAAAGACAGGATTTCTTATTTATCACAGGATGGATATATTTATTTATTTTACATTTAGGAATTGTACTTCTGTGGATTTATTATATACATCATTGGAGAACAAGGGAATTAGTTGATGAGTGAAAATTTCCAAAAAAATTTTTAAAGTTGTATTTTATCATTTTACTACGAGTTACGCCAAAAAATTGTAAAATTTAGTGAACTTTATACAATACAAAGTTGGTTTTTAAACACATATATTGACTTGCATCTGTAAAAACTCAACGTGTATTGAACAGGTGATTTGTTATGTTCTTTGTTATCTCCAAAAGTACACAACTATTGTCACTCCCAGGGGCAAATTCGATATCTCTAGGTTTTGAACTACTAGGTGTGATTCCACTGTTGTTATCACTAACTACAATCGATTACCGACTGTTCATTATTTATTCTTAAAGTTGTGGAGCTCATTGGTTTAGGCACTGATGTTCCAACCGATGGGTCACCGGTTCGAACCCTACCCTAGTTACCAACGTCTAGGCGGCCAGATAAAATCATCAGCCCTCACAAATTACGTGTGACTCACTGCTTACTGCAACAAAGAGTATATGGTTGATGATTGCACTTAGACTACCTGATTTCGTAAGTCTTATTACCAACAAATAAAAGTCTTGTGATGGCATACACTGCGAATTCTATACAGGACAGTGAATACAAATGTTTTAAAAAAACACAATCAATGTAACTATGGTAGGATACAATTGAAAGTGTAAAATGTAATCCAGATAGATCAGTGAGGGAGGCTTGGGACTTGATCCGCTGCTAAACCTTCTCTAAAAATCTAGCCTTATCACTACTAACCAGTTGGGTATATCACAAACTGACGAGGAATCAATGACATTGGAAATTAAATGCTTGCAAAGTTCTGATATCTTTTACGCTTTGAGGCTGTTCTACAGTCACGTAGCAAATCAAAATGCACGGTAGCATTTTTCACTGATCATTTCATGGGTTGAAGAGAAAAGTAAATTTAGCTGCATTTTCAGGTGATTGTTGAGGAAAATTGAACCCATTAGGACTGCTATCTACAAAGGTCGTAATGATAAATATGATTTTGAAAGATCTTCAGTTATAATTCATCGAAGTCCAACACCACGCCACTAATGGCATCTAATGTTTCTAAATCACATCCAGTGGTTGACAGATTGAAACATTCACCGAAAATTAGTTATAGGTATGAAGTTGTGACTCATTGATCTGGGTAATTGACTTTCAGGCAGTAGATCATGGGTCAAAACCCTCCTCATCAGTGTAGTTTGGACAGTCATATACTATTATAGCTTTAACAAGTTATACGGCTAGTTTTACAGCAAATAAAATTGAGAAGTTGCATTATCATCACCATAAGAATGTAACTGACTTAGAAACGAACCGTTATCTATTCTCCTCCTGGTAGTTGTGTAAACGGTGCTAATTTAGGAGTACTGTTCCCAAACAAACTAATTCCTTGGAAATAATTGTTTCCTACCTGTTGGATAATAAACATCAAAGTACATTTATGCAACAGAAGGAGGATTTAGTTTCTACAGATAGTGGAATAAAACTTTTAGCAAGAGATATTGTTAATTGCTTTTCTGATTAGCCTAAAAATAAAATAATTTTAAAAATATTTTCTAACTTATCCCAAAATAAGCAAGGTTGGATCAACAACAAAAAATTTAATGTAAACCTTAGAAGAATTCTACTTATAGTTGTTAAATTTTGTACAAAAACACAGAATGTGGTCCATCAAGGATTGCTTTGCATACTTCACTATTTGGTAATGTATATCTGGCCGTAATCACAATAGATCCAGTTCTTAATTCTTTGTTCAGTTTTTTTTCAATAGAATCCATCTACAAGTACAAATAATATAAAGGTTATTTTTCGAGTAGTGCAATAGTTAGATTTATTCAACATGATTATGATAAATTGTGATAAATTGATCTACTCACAGAAAGATTATTCGAATCCATGCCTTGACCGCTTCCATCAATGTTATGGAGACCGTAATAAATATGAGTTATCTTCAGTTCATAGTTATTGATTTTTCAGGCAGCTAATGAATTTACTGGTTCGTATCGTCTTTTGTTTTGATTACTAATAGTCGTATGTGGACCCAGAAATCACCGTAGTTTTGAGTTTATAATAAAACCACTACTATTCACGATATCTTTCTGAATCATAAGTTGCATATTATGAGTGCTTAAAAGTTTAATATCTCAATATGGATATGGTAGAAGCAGACAGCAATACAAATCACCATGCAATTTAGCAAAGTGCTATTTAGAGGCTAATCAACAACTGTTAAAGACACATTGTATGACACTAATTGTTTAGTCCTGGTGTAGTGTACTGAAATAAAAAAACAAAACTTTTATTTCTTTTCAAACATTTTGATCTTGCTAGGAGAATATTTTTCAGAAGTACAGATCTGGTATTGAGCTTTCAGATAAATAGATACGAAACTTTTCATAATCATCCAATTAAAAAGCAGTTCAAACACAAAAAGGCATAAATTAGGCAGTCAATTCAATTCACATCTACACAAGTAAGGTATTCCGAAAAGACTAGTGGGAGAATTTCTGACAGTGAAATATATAGTGCAAGAATGAAAGGTTACGAAAATAGATCAAAACAGGGAAATAAGAACACAATACTGCATTGTAACAGTTGAATATGTTATGAACGGACTGGACAGAAAAAGTGAGAGACTGACAGGTCAAATGAATACTTTTATGACTGTCTTCCTCTATATTGCCTGGAGCTAGCCCAGTCACTGTTCCTTAAATTTCATGAATATCCAACCCTTCATTTCTGTTTGACCACAGAAAAGCATGAACAGGTATGTAAATTCTTTGAAATGACCGTGAGTATAGACCCTCTAAAAAGGCTTGTATACTGGAATAAAAAAGATCATTGTAAAAGTTATGATTGACTGACTGACGAAATCAACGTAAAACCTCGTACATAGGTTCATCCGCTCAAGCTGTCGCATTACACACTAGTACACAAAGAACAAGTGGATAAAAAGAGACTGATATCAAGGTAGACAAAGGTGAGATAAAAAACAACTTGAAGATAACGGTTACTGTGAATATTCAAGTTTTAGTAGGTGTCAAGAAGTGAATACATCTCCATAATTGTGACCAATTTTCAGCCATGCCACCACGAGTCCTCAACCACTGATTCTTTTCATCTTGGGGACGCCAATCAGGCATTCTCCATTTCCCCCAAACGGCTCAGACCAAGAGTCAGAGACTTCATGGACTTGTGCCACATCTTGGTCTGACTACCCTGAACCCTCTTTCAACCTAATCCAGTTCCCCGTAGCATAGTACGTCGAGGTAGGTGGTGGCTCGGCATGCGCAGTACATGGTCTAAGCCACTTCAGTCAACTAAGGTTCGCGACCTCATCATATTTGTTGGTATACTTTTGCAGTCAACAGAATAGACAAGTTAGAGAAGTCATCAAACACACTTTCAAAAAAGGCCTGTGTAAAAATATGACAATCGTTGAGGTATTATTTTGCGACCAGCTACATCTAACATGCTGCTTTGCAGGCTATCAACAACGTATGGAAAGCCAATCTGACAAAAGCAGGCTGAGTCACATCCAGATTGTGGGTGTATTGACACCATCTTCACACCTTCACGCCTGAACACCTTGTTTCTAGGTATTAGGGCTGCCTCCAATTTGTTGTACGGAACTGTACTCTGGAATTGCCAGCTACAGAGGTGTCCTTGAGGATTTCTTTGATATCTTGAGGGCTCTACTTAAAAACACTTTAGTTAGAATGAGGGGAATCCTATACTAACATCAATGACAGTATACGTCAATCTCTCTTTAGTGTTTCGAAACAAACAGGGGTTAAACAGGGTTGCTCGAAATCACCTTTGCTTTTCAACTTTCCCATTAATATGATTTTCGAGACAGAAGGAAAGTGGTGGTTGCGTAAATCTGCCATCATATGAAACAATTCGCCGTCAAGTATGTATGTACATGACACCATCTCACTGCGTGAGGACATACTGACTACGCAAGTCATATTCATTCAGTAGATGTATGGTACGTGCTTTACCTTATCGAAGTCCAGTGCCTTAGAAAGAGTTGCAAAAGTCTGTGTCCGCACTCATCATTAATGTTGATCCATTGGAGGTAATCAAAAAAATATGCATCTAGTTAGTTGCGTGAGTGCTGATGGCGTAAATGGTGAGATTTCTAACTGTATAACAAAAGTTGGAGAAGTATATGTCAATCTTGGTTATCTTTAGTACTGTCATGACGTTGACCTGTAGATAAAAGATTAGCTGTACAATAAGTCAGTGAAGACAGTTCTGCTCTACACCTATGAAACCTGGTCGCTTCGAGCTGATGATTTTGTATTAGGTCAAACTTCGTTCCGTATTAATGATAGGATCTGATGAAAACACCACATAAGTAATTCTGAGATCCAATGATGTGTGTTTGGGTCTGATTGTGATCACCATTCGTTATGGTATCATTTTGAGACCCCAGCTCTAATGGTTTGGAAATTTATTGGCTAACTCAGACTAACATGAAGCAGAGAGCTGATCAGCATAAAGAGTGAAATCTTGAATTGGAAGACGTGTTGAGTTCGCACACATTTGGGCCTAAAGACTCTCTGGGTGGATTTCATAACTACACCAGATTTCATTTACAACTGAAACTAATGACAACTACCTAGTTTTTTTATGAACAGTAACACAAATGCAGTGATAACATTCGTAAACACCTCTGGTGGAATCGTTTCTGTTATATGATTGACCTTGACCAAAATGTCCGGTGGAACAGTTTTTTGGTACTGTTTGGAATATGCATACTACAATTAAAACCCTTATCCTTCCTGTATCATTCTGAATTACTAATTCTAGCGAATATCAAATGAGAACATTTAACTGATAATTTGATTCCAAAAACAGTACATTTCCCTTCTTTCCTTTTTCATTTTGCTCTTCAGTGTTGCTACTTTACATTGTGTGGCTCATTTCTGGGTGGCTAAACTACATCTAGTTTGCGCTTACGTTAAAAAGTTTTTTGTCCACTTGTTGGGTTTCTTAGCTCGTCAGGTAATGGCAACAAACAAAGTTTGTTTGGTGACTATGTTCTTATTCCAATATAAAGATTTTCTTATATATTCAGTGGTTAGTTGTTGTGCATCCAGTTGACATGAGAGGGTTTCGTTATTCATAGTAACGATGGTGCTTTACACTAGTTTATGCAGATAATGCTCATCGGTTTAGGCAGTTAACTTTCAATTAGTAGGCTATGCTCCATCCTGTATGATTTGAGTGGTCAGGTAGTATCAGGAGACTTCAAAATCGCTAGGATTAATTGTCTGATGCAAAACCTGCACACGGTTGTTGAGATAAGTTAATTATTCATTCCACGGAAAATTATCTAACATCTAACCCTTATAATGCCACAGACTTACCATTGAATCCACACCAAATAACAGGACTGTATCGTATACCGAAAGATCGGTCTTCCAAATATCGCCATGGGTAAATTTTACTTTAGATGTGATTGCCGGTTTATGAATGCGGTATAGCTTGAAACGTGAATACCAAACAAGTGGGCGATTCAGTTCTACACCATGGGCGGAAGAAATCTTCAATGTTGGTTGATTCACTAAATCAATTAACTAAACCATTCAAATAAGGAAAGGTAAAAACAAGAATATAGACTATCTAGAACACTTTAGATGCATAACAGTAATTAGGTTTTCTATTCAAAATATTTTGTACAGAAACACCAACATTTACTCTAGTGACTCAGTGAACTTTAATATCTCAAACAAACCGCCAAAACTCGGTTGGAGCTATCAGCAGAATCGGTTCGTTCATTAGACGAGACGTTTTTCAGAAGTCCAAAATCCTTGATTACCTCCTACTGCATTGAAGATTCTAACCGGCGATAAGATATTTCTTTACAGTTCAATCAGATTAGAACTCCGCTTCGTTACTGGAAATAAAGAATACCTATAAATATCGATATACCTAGGACACCGTTTTACTAGATAGATTTATCAAAAAAGCATACAGACCTTAGTACCAGTTCTCTTTCACTAACAGACTTCATCGTAAGAAGCACAAAAGTGTTATTATGCCTTCAGTTGTTATATCTAATAGAATATCCCGATCTATCGCGTTTTTATAGGTTGTGGAGCTGTGGTTCATTACTCTAAGTACTGGACTCCCACCCAATGGGCAGCGGATTCGAACGCTGGTCTGAGGTCTAGGTAACTAGGTGTGGTATTAAAGCCCTCACGCAGGTGTCGTTCATTGCCTACTGTCACAAATATGCATGTAGTTTCTGAGTCCACTTCAAAATAACAGCCAAGTTAAGAACACGCACAACATGGAGGAAAAATGGGAAGGAAAACAAAGATGGGTTGTTAAAGAAGCAGCCTCAAGAATACCTCCAAAGAAGTATTCACTACTTACGTTTTATCTTTCAGTAAGAGGATGAACAAGAAGACTTAATTATGATGCCCACTGGTTTAGATTATGAGTTATGTCTGTAATCCTCTAAAGCACCTGAGTTGCATGGTTCTTCAGACTCCATCCACGGAGTTGTGAGACAAGTACAGGTGACGACCCAACATAGGCATCCATCATCTAATGGTGACAAGTCATATACTGGTCAAAGACCCGCTTCTTTCAACAAGTCATATATATATATATATATATATATATATATATATATATATATATATATATATATCCACTACAGGCGGCGGTGGTGATACATATGATGATGTCAAAACCAGGATCGGAAAAGCAAGACAGGCCTCCACTCATCTCAAGTCAGTGTGAAGATCTAATGCACTGCACTGCACTGCACTCAGCATAAAGCACAAACAAGATACAGATTTTCAAGACTACTGTCAGTCAAGTCAATGCTTCTGTGTGATGGTTGAGAGACTTGGAGCGTTACGAAAAGCATTTTCAACAAACTCGAGACATACATCAACAGCTGCCGCCTACGCTCACTCGATACTCAAGATCAGATGGACAGAATAATAAGAATAAGCAACAAGGAACTCACTCTCACTGGCAACGAACCAACGAAGCGAGAACCCATCACCCAACAAATATGCAGAGGAGAGTGGAGATGGATTGGATTGGATTGGACTGGACTGGACTGGAGATAGACTGAGAAGACCGTTTGGGGACATCTCACGCCAGACCATGTCCTCGAGTGGAACCCAAATGGGAAACGACGAGTTGGGCTTCCGAGGCGAAGGTGACATGGAGGAGATGGTGTGAGGAAGAAACGAGAGCTTTTTGGCAGTCGTGGACCCAGGTTGATAAGACTGCAGAGAAGAGAGTGAAATGGCGAGGTGCTACTGAAACCTTATGTTCCAGTAGGAACCCAAGAATCAAATAATATATATACGCATGGAAAAATGGACAATACATTATGTTCGAAGCGTGAATAATAATAATACTGATCCACTATGTGATATACCTAACAAACTAACTAAATTTGAATTACGCTTCGTCATACTGCTTAAATTCTACTCCTATGTGACAGAAACAAAATGAACTAACCACACGTCCATCACCGCTGCCAAGATCAATCACATATCCCAAAGACCGATCAGTTTTTTGATCTTGTGCGTAACTCAAAAGCTTGAACGTATTATCCAACTGAGTAGGTGTAGCAGGTAAAAATGGCAAACGAAATCTACGGAATGCAGGAGAAATAAATGACCAGAAAATATAGTATGTAGCGAGTGCTACAGCACCACATCCAATAAGTATAGGATTCCGAAATTGAGCACGGTTATTTGACGTTGGATGGGTGTTGGAATGGAGAACCACTGGCTCCAGCGGAGTGTCTGTATTCATTGCTCCATCTAAAAAAAGTTTTAAAAAACGAAACTAACTGGTGCAGATACAATCATAATTAACCATCTACATGGTAATATCACAAGTAATTTCTTTCTCTTTGCTGTAGGGTTACTTACAATAACTTCCTTTCTTCCTGGTGTCTTCAACGTTTGTATGTTGATGTGAAGCGCAACAACTAAGCCAGTTATGTCACGTCTTATGTGAATAATGCCTGTTTTTGCAACTGACAAGTAGCATATGATGCGATAATTTTCAACCAGCATGAATATCAAGCAAACTCACTAACCAAGTGCAGGTTTTTGCACTAGGAAATGAACCATGCCTACTTTGTGAGGGATAATCATACTACCCACCTTTCCAAAGCTTTAGTCAGTGGAGTGCAGCTGGAATCTTTGATTTATGGCTTCAAAGCCAAGTGCCCAAATTAATTAGCCACAGCTCTTTGTTAATCGTAACGAAGCATCTCGGTGGTGTTAGTTGAAACACTTCCTTTTGAGTCTTACCACCAAACGGTCAGTCGTGAAGTAGAAATACTGAGAAATACTAAGACTACATCAAAATTTCATGTAAGCTACCTTCTGACTGCAGGAAGGAGGGGTTATGGACTGGTCCTATGGATAGCATGCTTTTGTCTTGCGAAGTTCCCATGCTAGCAGTAAGATTTTCAGAGTTCAAAATTAACTCTACAAAATCTTATACAACTATTTCTGAGGGGGCTGGGTTCAGCCTACCTTGAGCAAATATTCCCCAGGGTTCTGGAATCCTATCCACAAGGCGACAAAGCGCGCAGTAATAATCCAGCTCTGCTGTAAAATGCCTGAATGAAAATGATCATTATACGGCTCCGGTAATAGAAGTATCGACTTTCTAAATACTTAAAGATCTATCCAGGTCCCTCTCGACCATCTAGATTTTCAAAAATGCCATGCTATCTTGGCCGTTCTTACTAACAATCGGAACCCAATTAAAAGCATTCGTAGTCCCGAAACCTAGCTCTAAAGTGGATGTTTGCGAATTTCGTCAAACAGTATAATAATATAGTTCATACACTGAAGCGTTGGTACACGGTTGTATGCTATCACTGCGATACAGCAGTAGAAGCTAAGTGTAGCTATTCAATTTGGCCTTATCTGATTGGTGTAGTCAGGTGGCATATTCCATGTCTCAGATATCTGAAGTTTCGATTACTATGAACTTGTGCTTACTCGGTGAATTAAATTGTTTTCTCTACGCAACCTTATACACAAAGTTTACTTGCATATGGAGTCGGATGATAGTACCTTACTGGATGAAACGTATGACAGGAGGATCGTATTTCCAAGAAATACGATTTCATAGGAAATGCTACTTCCATTTTCAGTTGCACAAAACTTGAAAAAATTGTTACAGGTCAACACTATCAAAGGTAGTATTTGAAAATAGCCGTCAGTGCTGTATGTAATACTAAAAGCGTTCACAGAATTCTTTAGCCGGACATAAGACGACCTGAATATGCTGAATCAGTGCTAATTATGCAGTGTAGTTCATATGTGTACGATGCAATCATAGTTTAAGACAGTAATTTTTCGTCACTGCCTATCATTTCGTTGTTAGACATTCCTCCGGTCACTGAAACACCCTAGGATTGTAGTGGAAAACCGGAATTCGAGGGAAATCTCAAGAAATCAGTAATAAGACTGGTGTTGACAAAAAATGCATACTGGCAGATGGTGAAAAAATAATGCATACAATAAAATGACATCTTCCTTAATAGTCGGAGAGTGTTTGGTGCTTATCGAATACCCTGGATAGTTGGCTACGAGCTAGCAGACAGTATTGAGGCGTATTACCAAATAACACTGAAAAATGTCCTCATCCCTAGGGTAAATTTTCTCAATATTGCCAGATTTTAGCTGGATGTTGGTCTTTTACCACCCAACAGAAAATAGTGCAGTCAACATTAGGAAGGTTAGTGTATCCGCTCTTCAGCAAAGTGGAGATCATTGAAGTTTGTGACGGATTTCAGAAGCTTAGAAAATTCAATACGTTTATGTTACCAGACACTACAAAGTTAGAAAAATCGAATCCAAAAGGCATTATGCTGACATATTTCAGTAAGGGTATATTAATCGAACTGCAATACATATGTGATAAACCTGCAATGTCGGGTGTCACAGATGACATGTGGTAAGTGCACCGACCAAGACTCGCATTAGTAAGAAAACTTTTTATAGGTTGTGTTGCAAAGTAATATAATACCGGGCGAGTGACTTATTCTAGTGATATTGAGTCTATTAAGAATGACGAAACAGTCAGGTTGAAAGCCGATAAAGAACCCCCTAACCCGTGGTTTTACAGACCTGAAACGTCTACTAGTTGATATGGTGCAGTGTATTCCGATCAATTGGTTGAGCTTTATCCGCTGGGGCGCGGTGAGAAGAGTTATAGGCAAGGATACCTAATATCAATAGGCTTGGCGTACTGAAAGGTTGCTGACGTCAATTATTCTACTTACTATCTACCCAGTCAGGCGCTATATGAATCCTAACTTGAGCTGAAAAATAAACTCAAGAAAAGCAAATAGGTTTCAGACCCACAACAAAGTGCATCAATCAGATCTACACTTTTCGATAAGTTGTGGAACACAGATATACTTACCCGACAGCGAGGCGTTGTAGCAATGTTTAACTTTAAGGGGCCCAACGAGCAAGTATGTAACACTATACAAAGCCCTCTACTCAAACTGTAGCAGCCATGTAAGGGATTATGCAGTGCTGTCATCTGAAGTGTCCGGCAGGGATGCCCACTAACACCATTCCTGTTTAACTTCGTTACAGAAGCATTACTGGACATAACACTGGGTACCTTTGACTCAACAGTTGATATACTCGCTGCAAAGCACCTGGATGACTTGGAGTGTGCAGACGACATTGTCCTGTTAGGTCAAGACGCTGACAAAATTCAGGGTCTTTTGAATACCTTAAGCAAAAAATCTGAGCATGTTTGGTATGCATTCCGCACCTGATACCTCTGGACTGGTTGGCAGCCACTATCAGTTTATGAAAATGTCGACGAACTCGACCACTTACTTGGAGAGTCGGAATAGTCTGAATGGGCTGTCTGCTGATGAAATCTGTCCGAATTTAGGCCTGTTTAGCATTTGCCAACTTGCGTCACATTTCGCACCGACTGGCGGGATATTCGACCACCTATTCAAAGACGAATACACTGCTCTGCAGTCCGTTATGTCCTGTTGTACGGCTGTGAAGCGCAGCCATTCAAAGTAGACGACATAAAGCGATTACAGGGTTTTGATCAGCAGCAGCATTGTTCGTGTTTGGCGGAATCGCCGTGAGAGTAATGCTGAGATCAGGCGAAAGGTACTAGGTAAGAAAGGGAAGTCGATTGGCGAAATCGTTAACCTTCATCTGCTGAGATGGCTTGGAAATAAATTGTGCATGCCGAATCACCGTCTGCCTTGAGGTCCCATGAGAGAGGGAGTCGGATTAGGTTGGAAGAGAATTCATAGTGGCTAGACTGAGACGCAGAACCAGTTAGTGAAGACTCTCATTGTTGGTCTGTGCCGTGTGGGGATACGCAGCCTGCCTGGCTGGAGCAACAAGACTAAAGCAATCAGGGGATAGCAACTCTCGGTGGAACGGCTTAGAATCGGTCATAATGGCAGATTTATTTACCCTCTGATATCTACTATAGGTCGCTACTAGACATTTTTTAAAAATTCTCCATTCTTCTATTCATTTACGTACACCTGGCTATCATTTTTTCCAGCTAGTTACCTTTTACATTTCCACACACTGTCCTATGTGGAGACTAATCAACTCTGACATACTATTTTTCTTAAAATATTAGTGTAACGCAGCAGAAAACGATGGGTTGACCACTTCAAAAATCTCTTGAGTTGACCACCACCACCGCCTGGAACTCATCCAGAAATATCACCAGCACCCCAACCACAGAACTGCCAGTGAACACAAATCCTTCGACATCAACAGAAGTCCTGGACGCCATAAAGTTGCTGAATGCAGGTAAAGCAACAGCATCAGATGGAATTCTTCCAGAAGCACTGAAAACTCACACACAGACATAAGGGGACATGCTTACACCACCATTGCAGGTTTGCAAGGAAACAAGGAAAGAAGGGTACCCGCCAACTGATTGGAAGAAGGGCCACCTTGTCAAACTTCCAAAGAAGGGAGACCTAAGTCTTTGCAAGAACTGGCGCGGAATCATGCTCCACCCCTGGCCAACCCAAGCAAAATATTAAGCCACATCATCCTGGAGAGACTACAAAAAGCTCCGGGTTCAACTGGATTACGACCGGAACAGGCTGGTTGGCTGGCTGGCTTCAGGAAGAACAAATCATCTGAGGATCAAATTGCAACGCTACACTATGCATCATCTTAGAATACAGCATAGAATGGCAGTCAATTGGATCTCTACCTCAACTTCATCGACTTGGAAAAGGCCTTCGACAGCGTCGACCGAGAAGTAATTTGGCAGCCAGCTGCTTCAACACTACGGTTTTAATGCCACAAACCTTGGTCAACCTCATTCAACAGATGCACGCCATATAATGCTACATGCCAGGTGATTCACAATGGAAAGCTCAGCGTAGCCTTTTAAGTGAAGACAGAAGTAGGACAAGGCTGCCACCTACTTTCACTGGTGGTCTTCCTGGTTGTGGTCGACTGGACTGGGTCATGTAAAACACTGTGAGGAGCTAGAAGATGGTCACACACTGGCTGCACCGATGGAAAGACCCTAAAAGATTAGGATTTCACCGCCGATGATGATTTATGTCTAATGACTCGTTGAACAAACTCGAAGATCTACAGGCAAAAACCAACCAGTTGGCAAAGGAGGCGAGGCAGCGAAGATAGTACTTCAGCTGAACGTAGAGAAGACACAGGTGATGAAGATACCCAACCAACAACAGCGTGAACAACAAGCACCAATCACCTACCTACTTACCTACCTAGGCAGCATCGTTTCAACTACAGGCGACACAGGCACAGATGAGGACGTCAAAACCGGGATCGGAAAAGCAAGACAGGCCTCCACTCATCTCAAGTCAGTGTGAAGATCTAATGCACTGCACTGCACTGCACTCAGCATAAAGCACAAACAAGATACAGATTTTCAAGACTACTGTCAGTCAAGTCAATGCTTCTGTGTGATGGTTGAGAGACTTGGAGCGTTACGAAAAGCATTTTCAACAAACTCGAGACATACATCAACAGCTGCCGCCTACGCTCACTCGATACTCAAGATCAGATGGACAGAATAATAAGAATAAGCAACAAGGAACTCACTCTCACTGGCAACGAACCAACGAAGCGAGAACCCATCACCCAACAAATATGCAGAGGAGAGTGGAGATGGATTGGATTGGATTGGACTGGACTGGACTGGAGATAGACTGAGAAGACCGTTTGGGGACATCTCACGCCAGACCATGTCCTCGAGTGGAACCCAAATGGGAAACGACGAGTTGGGCTTCCGAGGCGAAGGTGACATGGAGGAGATGGTGTGAGGAAGAAACGAGAGCTTTTTGGCAGTCGTGGACCCAGGTTGATAAGACTGCAGAGAAGAGAGTGAAATGGCGAGGTGCTACTGAAGTCCTATGTTCCACATCTAGAAATTACCGCTAGGAAGCGAGCTTCACTGTAATCTTAGGGGAATTGCATGCATGCGTAGAACCCTTTTTATATAAGTCAACATCCCAGCCAGCATTCAGTTCTGGCGCACTGTGGAAACTTCGGGTTATAGCCCAAATTTACTTTGGGAGCACTCAGTTTTTGGGCTGTTCCATAAAGTTTGTAATGTTCGTTTGTTTTTTTCCAGCAAAAAACTTTTAGTACGCAAGCACATCCCAAAATATCACGTCAACGATATACATCGATATAATGATCATTTTATTACAATTAGACTTTATGAAATAGTGTCTTAAGTGTTCTGAAGCAAAGCTGCACACTGTAGACGATTTTTGAGCAACGGTCGCAGTGCATATCATTAGGATAATTCAGGTGCAATTACGAATCCTCATACATATCACAAATACTGCAGATATTAGTTAGTGCCATAAATTTGCAATGACCTTGATGACGTACCGTGGACATCAGTTGATTGCGGTTTTCGTCCAACATCCACAACAACAATGCGAATAGAGGAAACTCGTAGTTTTTGAGCTCTTGCTTCTAGGTCTTGGGGCTCAGATCTTTTTATCAGGCTATAATTCATCGGTAGTTGGGGAAGGCTTTACGTTTTTCCTACTTATAACTTCGGAAGTAGTGGTTGTCCTTCTGAAAGTATTTTGTTTGCGGATTGTAGCTTGGTTTGTTCTAGGGGGTGGCAACGAAGCTGCTGAAAAGATCAAGTAGCCTTTTGCAATTCCTTTTTTTGTAAGCACCTGCAAGTTTGATCTTTTATCTTTGGCCTATTGTAGGACTTACGAGTGGAGTTCCCGCGAGCGTCTATTTGGGGCTGATAATGCTGACCTGATTGGATGCCCCACTTGGTGGATGATCTTGTAGGCTATTATCCGGTCACCCCATCTCGTTCGATGGCCCAACGTCGACAAGTTGAGTTACCTAAGGTGATGCGTACATGTTTTACCCTTTAATCCGATAACCGGCCTTGTCGCTCTTCTTTGTACCTTTTCGAGAGTAATAGCATCTCTCTATAGTAGAGGGAATGCTATCATGTGCAGTCATCCTAAGCCATCATCAAGGTTGTGACGCATGACCATCCGGTTCTAAAGCCATACTGAGTGATATAAACGATGTTGTTTCTGTTTAGGTAGTCATTAACAACATCTGAAACCAATCATTCCAGTACCTTGGTTAGCATGGTTAGTTGCGCTATTGGTCCGCAATTACACGGGTATTTTCGAACCTCTCCTTTGAAGACTGGCGTAAATTCAGCAAAATTCTACTCTTCAGGGACTTGGCTTACTTCCAACGACTGCTTGGATGGATTGCATAAGGGTATGCTTAGCACAACTCCGTAAGACCACCGATTTATGCTGTCACAACCTTTAGCTTTCCCTATTCTCAGTGTTGGAAGTTTCGCAAACACTTGGCTTGAAGAAAACTGCTTTTATCAAGTTTGTATCGCAGTCCTGGGACTTCATTATATTACTTGATGTTGGTATTTGATGGATCACTGTGTTGAGCTGCTGTTACGAACACCCACATTGCATAAGCTGCGTAGCTTCTTGTAGCTAAGACAGTCTGGTCCCTTCTGTGACGTGCGCCACCGATACCACGTTTTCTTTTTCCTCTGCATTTGTCTTTGGCCAGCACTAGTTCCCCAAGACTGTTTGAGAGGTGATCGTCTGGTCAATTTCGGAACGCTCTTCTCAATACCGCTTCAAATAATGTCTTCAGTATGTTTCCAGTGTTTGTCTGTCGATAACGAGTGCAATTCTTGAGCCATGAAGCCTCCAGGAGTTCAGTGATTATGAGATGACATCGAACCTCTCAGTAACAGCGAAACGGTTATGGCTCAAATATTGGTAGTTTCTCTTTGGATGTCAAGGGAAATCTCACCAAAGCATGATGGCTTTTGCCTGAGGGGAGTTGGACACAGATATTGCTCACCAAAAGATCACTGTCCTTTAGAGCTCAGTCAAGTGGTAATCCTTTTCTATCTGGCCCCCGTCGAGTGTTTTCCGTAACTTTCTTCTTCAGTCCTGCTGCTGTAAACGTACTTCAGGGTCTGTGTTCGGAAAATTACTGTCTACCGCTCGCCTTTCATCCCTGGCTAAATGCCAGTGTTTTGAAGTCTTCAGCAAGGACTACGTGGCTACAGGCCGCCGAGGTGGACGTAGAAGTGACGGCGCGAAATCGTGCCTTATGCTCTATTGTGACTAGAGGAGGTCCGTTTATCACTGTTAACGGGTACTTTGTTTGGCTTATAATGAAATAGTACCAAGAGGATTCGGGTAGTTGGCTAAACAAATTTTCAGCTGCCTCCTTGGCTCTTAGGTGGGTGCTAATGCACATAACCACTCCCCCGCCTTCTTCGGACGGCCTGTCCTTTCGGAACAAAGTCGTGTTAAACAAAGACATTTCCTGACCCACGATTTTAGATGAGAGCCTTGTCTTCGTAACGAAAGTCATATCTATATGCGGATTATAGCACATTGTTCTTAGCTTCAGTAGTTTAATTTTAAGGCCTCTTACGTTACTGTAGAGGCACGTCAAGAGGCGACGTCTCGAGCTTAATAAGACTAGGCAAAGTGTGCGAGGATTAATGCGCTTCTTCATTGGATTCTGACTGCCATTCCCTCCTGAACTGGCAAGTCTCTGTTTTCCGTCCTTCCTGGCATCCTGGTGTTGATGTGACGGTAGTGTTAACCGTCATGTCTACGGGCATGAGTTCACTGGATAGTACTTTTGTGACTGGTGCCGTCTGTATAGTCCTTGAAGATTGCCTTCATACTCCAGTCCGGTTGACCATGGTTTGCTTTCGTAGCAGTGTACAGCACCTCTGATTTGGTCTTTTACGCGATGCCTTGCTGTGAGAACTTCTGTGAGCGATCCCCTAGAGTCAAGGTGTGCAAATAGCAGTCTTGGTAGGGAGGTGCTACGCAAGTGATTGGGTCTCGGTAATCTGCTAACGCTGCTGGCAGACAGATTTTCTAATCCTATTTTCGCTACCACCCATCCCCATCGCTCAACATCATGGAGGTGATGATCACATTTTTTGGATCCACCCGACATTTCAGGTGTTCCATCCGCCACTATGGTTGCGGCTTTTCGCAGACCACTGAGTGTGGACTTCCACCCTGCCCCTCTGGTGACACATGGTTTATCTGGCTTCACCCCTATGATGGAGGAGTCTGCAATATCTGGTACGCGCGACAGTGGTAGTATGTCCTCAGATTGTTTCGTTGTCATCGGTGACGCCCTGTGAGGTGGTGGCTTACCTCGAGGTGCTGTGCTTCCTCAGAAGAGCCGGCACAAGCTAACTGCGGTGTTTCTTATTGCCAGCTCCCTCCAATAGCCAGCCGGCCTTTCCTTGTCACACCACTCCCCTTTTCCTAACAGTGAGTTCATTAGTGTGACGACACTGACCAAAATGATGGGATCCGTCCCCCGTCTTTTGTGTGCGGCATATTCGGCATGGTAGTCTACCCCCTTCCCTTTCTTGCATCGTCTGCAAAATCTGGTTCTCTAGGTTGTTCAGTCTCGCTGAAACATCTGGGTTGTATCGAAACAAGTGAAGACTTCATTGGTATCCTACATAGAGTAGGAAATGGTAGTTTCCTATGCCCAGAGGTGACATTTTTCCACCGTTGTGGGGTTCGCTAAGCTTCTGTGGGTAGCTTTCGAGAGCTTGTACTTCGTTATGACTTGGGTCGTGCCAGGCAGGTTAATAGTTCCCGACATTCTGGGCCCAAATGCAGCATCCAGCTAAACAGCCGCCACCTAATGAAAGTGTGATACTGACCCGGAGTAACCTCGTCACAGTTACAGTATACGCAGTGTAGGCGAGTGTTGCATGCAAAGGCTTTCTGAGCCTCCAACGCTGATGCACTGCAAGACATCACGGTCGTCAGAGGTTTCCTCTTTGCTGACAACTGAACGGTTTGTTTTTCGCGAGTCGAGGGCAACCATAGCATTTGTCGGTATACTCGCTTGTCGACATACGCGTTCTTCCCGTCTTTTGTTTTCTATCAACAGGACATTTGGAGGCGTACTACTATCCCTGTGACTACATGAGCCCACTGGTTTTAGTAAGTGCTGTGTCTGGTGTAACAGTGATACAGGGATACTGGAGGGTTTGGGCATCGTAGCGATCAGCTACAGCCTGTAACCTAGTTCTCTGTACCATTACAATTGGGCAGTCCAAAATATACAAACAGTGTAGAGGGCACGAGAAATAAGGTGCAGTTCATTTCCATTCACCCGCTCTACAACCAATCCGAGGCCACTTCGTAATGCGCTTGATTCTGCTTCGGATGTCACAGCAATCTATAACTTGACGTCGTCAGCAAGAAGCGAAATAGGAGAGCTGAGACCCAACGAGAGGTCATTCACAAAAAGAAGTAATAACGGCTAACCCAGAATCTCCCCTTGTGGCGCATCAAATGATGATCTCTTCCAAGTCAATTAGATCCTGTTGACTTATGCGCAGAGGTCTCTGACTTCTAAGCATTCCCGCAGCCAGGAGAGCGCTTGTCCGCTGATGCCCAAAATTGATGTTTTGTGAATGAGAAAAGCGTGTGAGCCCGTGTTAGAGGTGTGGACGGAATCCAGGAAAATCACGTGAAAGGGGCTTGGAGGTTCCAACATGCCATCCATTTATCACCTGTGGCCAGAAGGTCTGAAGCGCAGGACCTACCTTTTCGGAAACCTTATTTGGCAATGATTAGTGCTTCATTCTTGACCAAGCACTCCCTGGCGTGGTCGTCTACCAGGCTGTCCTTTGCATCCGGCTGCATCTAAAGAGGTGCCAGGGTCAGATTGTTTTTCGGGTTCTGCATGCCTTTAGTTTCGAAGGGCGTACAGAATGTGGCAAGTTCCCACTCTCCTGGACGTATACTTTTTTCAAAGGAGCATTGATACAGATGGCAGAGAGAACCGCATGGGGCATCCCCACATTACTTCATCATAGACGACTGAGTGTTACCTCACCTGCTTTTTCCCGCGCGGAATTTTGACAGTCTTTCGTGGGCCATTGCGGGGGTTACCTCTATTCCGTGCAACTTCTGTACTAATTAGTGCTGGAGGTTGGTTAGATGGTTGATAATTTTCACGAAACAACGGGATGTCCAGTCGTATGTCGAAAGTGGACCCTAGAGTTCTTATTTTCATTTTACTTTTCCTCTTAGCTTTTTACTGCATGCTGAGGTTCGTTTGCAGCAGTTGGTTATGGAAGGGACCAACGCTGTTTATTGGTCTTCAGATTTCCCTAAAGTCGCCTCAACTTCAGATTAAATCACATACCATAAACCTCGAGGTGCTGCTCAAACACATGTGGCATCTGAAGTCGATGAACACATCCCCTCCAAAACCCGGGCAACATTAGGTTTCCGAGGAAGACAAAGCTGAAGCTTGCGAAATGCTTATCATTCTTCACTAAGTATCCTGTTAGGCTCGGCA